TAGAAATATAGTAGTACTAAAGAACTATGTCTGGAAAGCCGTGAGAGTATACGAGTACTATTTTTATTAGTGACAGAGCCAGCGAGGTAGAGGGCTGATAATGCCGCAGACCTGAGGTCGTGTACTCAGTACTCCGTACGTACTGTCGATTTGTTGTACTTCACTTCACTACAATAATCAGCCAATCGCAACTAATACGTACGCAAAGCGCTGGAGTGGACCCGAAATGGAGTTATCCACCATCCCCTCCGCATTTCGAGGGGATTGGTTACTGCCAATTATTCAATCGACATTATGTATGATGGGGTTATACTTACTAGTACCTAGTAGTAGCCGAACCAAACCACAGTTGCAGACTCCATACTATTAGTATATCTCCAATGGTACTGTACACGAAGACACCCAGCTGATCTCCCCACCATCCAACTCCAGATCCAGCTGCATCTCGGCCAGGAAATCTCGGTGTGGAAAGGAGAAAACATACTCCGTACTCCGTACAAACAAGACTAGCCGAGCGGCACACGCCGCAGTGGGCCTATTGAATTATCTCCCGACACCCACCGCATGTCCGACCTGCCGATTCGTCCTGTATACTGCAAGGGGTCGACGTGCTCTGACTTGCCGCGGGTAAGCTTGGAAATCGCAGGAACATCGACCTGCTGGCTGGATGAGACTCCCGCCCGCTGGAGTATCACCGGGCGGGGAAAGGGAGGGGGCGCAGTCACGCCGCTGTTGCTTGTGACTGGTGGTAGAAGGGAGAGGCGTTAGCGCACGCGCGCGCCCTTAGGCTGCAGCCCTCTAAGGCTTAAGGCTGACATCTGGGAGAACCGTCGGGGGACTGGTGATGCTGCTGACAAGGGCGTTCCCCTTTTCCCCGGCCTTCGCTGATGACCTACGCTATGCGCCGCGTATACTTCGCTCTACGTATACACAGTGGAATGAACTGACACTTGGCTGATACGGATACCCCTCGCGAATCGCCAATCTTTACCTGAAGCGAAGTGCAGAACTGCGCCCCCTTCGATGGAGCAAGAGATGCTTGGCTATCGCAAGGACCGGATTTGACTGTGGCGATCAATAAGTGCGAAAGTCTATTGAGACTAGTTCCGGGTAGCGAGTGTCGCCGGCATCCGCCACATCCTGGATACATTGACATGGGCATTGGCATCACTGGGTTGTGGGATGATGGGACATGCCAAGATATTTGAAACCTGGGTATGTCTGCACAGAGCGAGCAGCAGATTTGGGCTGGTATCTGATCTCCCTTATACCACCGCCGAAGGAGGATCATGTCTCAAAGCTAAGCGATCCTCATGATCCATCTTACCTCCTAATTCTCCATACTCCGTACTATGTACCCTGGGACTTTATTGATTAGTTTAGTATATCTGATATTTAAGTGCCAGGTACGAGGTATACGGGGTACTAACTAGTTACTAGTTCCAAGTATAGTACCTCGTACAAGTTCTAGACAGTAGTATATTGTCTGAACTGGTCTAGTGTCGAGTTCACAAGTTGGCGTACCAGTGGTCAGACAAGATGCCAGTCCTTTCATAGGCCAGCCTCTATACATCACCTTTTGACCACTCGATCGATCACTCCATCCCGTAATGTAGCCGTGGGACCTGATCGAGGTACAACTTGAATGATACAGTTGACTCCTCCTCCCGACTCGTAGTGAAATACGTACTAGTTTTACTGCTAATTGCGGTTCTTTCGGGTTGGCACCGAGCCTAGCGAGCAGAGAACCTTGGAAAAACTCGAGAAAATAAGGAAAAGAGCCACAAAAAAAATCGAAGGAAGAACTTGGAAGCCAAGAAACATCTGTTCGTGAAGCTGGTGTGGAGCATAACGCATGACTCAGCAGCTTGTCAACGGTCTTGGTGCACTGACAATCAAGGTTACTGCAACCTCCTCCATCCATCGAGGCAGTCATCGGAGTAGTGTGGCAGGATTTATCCTCTCTGCTGCCTGTTGGACATGTCTTACTCTCCAGGATGACAACAATTGTACGGAGAACTCAGTACTGAATAATGGTCTCTCCCCCCCTGCTCAATGTTAATTGACAGGCGGTCCAGGAGTGTGGCAGTGCATGCATGACTGGGGCCCAAGTGGATCACGCTAGGAAATCAGTGGGCCCAAACTAGCGACTCAGCATTGTCCATTTAATGTGGAGGCAATAAAGAATGTTCTCTGCTTTTTGCAACGAGGAGACAAAAGTGATACCAGGGGGAGTTGGAAAAAAAGCCAGAAACCAACGCTTGGACAAGACCATCCGAGGGCTCCGATCAGATCGCGTGATGAATTCCTAGTGGAACGCGTCCCTGCTGCACACATTTTCACTGGCTTTGTCTGTGTGACCAGGATCATGTACCGACTACATGATTTCTCACAATCCCAGCATATATAAGCCTACCGCCAAGCCCTTTCCAAGACTTGTCACCGGTGCATATTGTATTCTTTCCCTTGTCCATCTGAATTCGCCTCCCCATCCCTTTCCCTCCTCATGGGAATCCTCATCCGTGGTATTGACCACATACATACCCCCTTATCCGTGTCTTCAATATGTCCACCGCACTAAACCATGGTTCCTCAAACATGGAACGTGTTGTACCCTAGTCTAGCCCAATGTCGTTCCGAGCCGTTACCAACAGCCCTCGGTACCTTGCTACCGTAGGGCTCAGGCGATGGCACTTACATGCGACCCCCTGCCCCACGGAGGGAGAATAAGTCCCAGCCATACTATACATACGGTGAATCTACAGCAAAGAGCCAGATAGACGGAGAAAGGGGACTGCAAAGGACGGGTTCAGTTCATCGCGTGGCGTCCAATATACGAGAAACTCCATTCACAGTCCACTCCCCACCCTGGCGTCAAGCACAGAGAGGAGAGAGGGGGCGGTCCCATTTCATTCTATAGGGTGCTTTGGTTGGCGTTACGCGCCCATCATGGCCCCGGGATGGGGTAAAGTAGAGAGTGTGGCCGTGAACTAGACTGGATCTTATTTGTCAAGACTAGAGCGGCCCATGCCTAGATTGCTGGACCCCCTCCATCTTCATTTCGTACTAGGCTTGATCGTCTCGGTTTCTGGAAGGCCGGATTCCCAGGTTTGGATAGTGACTGAACCACGGGTGATCCTTTGGACAAGGCTATTCAGTGGGCTATTCAGTGGGCTGAATAGCCTAGTCGTTACAGTACAGCAAGAGTTAAAAAAAAAAGTACTTCGTACTTGGTAGTAGCAACGGCCACAGCCACGGCCACAGTAACAGTAACAGGGCAACAGGGCAAGGGAAGTTTAATCTAAATGCCCCAGCCTTGTACTGGACTTCATTCCCAACGTGGTCACCCACGCGGGAGCTACAATTATAATCTGAGATCTAATGATGATCCTAGAAATGCCATTCTCTTTCGTCGCCCCCCCCTTCTCCCGCTCCACTCCCTCCTTGGCTGATTTTGGCTTCCCGCAACTGTCCGTACTGGTATGTAAGTAACTTACACTCGTACGAGATACCAACCCAGATTACATACAATTCATACAAATCCATACAAATGCGTTTGGGAGGGTTTTTCGCCTCTTTTACCACGTCAACCCTCTTAACCCACCCCGAACTGCAGGTTAGGTCCGAAGACCCATCCGTTTATTGAATTGTTTCAATTCCAATTTTTTTATTTTATTTTATTATTTTCCATTTATTTTTTTTTGGGATTTTTCGTTTGCCCCCCTCCTCTACAGGCGCCTTGTTCCAGAATCTCCCCCTACAAACCCATCTTTCTCCCCCCTCCTCCTTTCTTGGCTCAGCTCGGTGAGAATGAGATCATCGACATTGCCTCCTCTTCCTCGGTCCTAAATCACTTTTGCACCTTTGGCTCGAGCCCTTAGATCCAATCATTTGGCTGCACCGCCTCTTGCCTGACTTTCTAACTGCCCGATTTTCCACTGTCTCTCTAGGGCGCAATCCTTTCCTTTCTCCCTTTCTTTTTTTGCCCTTGAACCTGAACTAGTGCATTCTCTGGACTTGTTCAGCTCTCTTTATTCATTTCGGTCTTTCCGTGTCTCCCTAGGGAATTATTATTCAATTGTTCAGCCCGTGGTGGGGTGTTGCCCGACACAACTAGTTGGTTTGAAGCCATTGCCATTGCATTTGCTTCTCATATACTTGTGACCAAAAACGAGGATACCAATCGCATCGGGGATCCTCTGCTAGAGAATATCCGGGAGGGGGGGATTTCACCATCTGCTCTAAAACAGCGTGCATCTATTCATTCCCAAAAATCAAAAGATCCAAAAGCATGTCCAGTCCCGCTGTTCGTGACTGACTGGTTCTATGGGACACAGACGGCTTCCAGACAGGGCTGTGTGTCACTTATCAAACGTTTCATCCCATGAGGCGAATCGCCGAACAAGGGTACCGAGCAAGAGGTAGGTTCCTTTTTATTATGATTTATTGCTCATTTCTTTTTTAATATTGCGCCCCTCCCCTCAGCCCTATCTTCTTGCGGATGCGACGGTGAACTACGAGTGCGACTTGCAATATCAGGTCACCTTTTGCCGCCTTTTGGTTCCACACATCTGACTCTCAACTAGGAATTTTAAGCGCATGAAAATCTCCACCTGTTGCCACTCTACAAGTTCTATCTCGCTCCGCCTGTTCTTGCTTATCCATTAGAAGCTGGACCTTCTTGGTTCCCAAGTAATCGGAGGCGGGGGTTGAGGCTGGCAGTCCGCTTAGGAATCCGAGCCTGGTTCCACCAACCTTTGCGCTGCACTCAACTGGATTGAGTTGCTGTTGATCTTGATTTGCTCAGCTTATTCTGATCAACTTGCTTTGCTTTATTTTTATCTTCTTTTTTGTCTTTTATTTTTTTTTTTATCTTTTTTTCTTTTCTTGGGAGTGGATTTTATTCGGACAAACGCCACCGGATTCAGCTCATGATTAGTGCAGCTGGCCATCCACATCGCTCCATCTTCACTTCCACGCCACCCCACACACCATCTAGAATGGACCGACTAGCCGCATCATCGAATTTCTATGCTTCAAAGGATCACGAGTACGACCATCGCCATCGCCCCGAAACATCCATGATGCCCGAATTGCCATTTCCAACTTACGGCCCACTACCTATTCCATCTCGCCCCAATATGCATACTGTGCCTCCTCCATTACCTCCGCCTACACGCATTCACGATTTAGAGAACGGCTATGATGCTGGGTGGTTGCATGCGAATTCTGATCGATCTACATCTGTTCTTCCCCCAATCAACCCCTCTTCAAGCTTATTTGGTGGTGGCCGCAGCCGTCCCGACTCTGCAGCTAAAAGCGATCGAATGGATCTTGATGAGCTTGAAGGGAGGCAAAGCGGTATGCCACTCTCACGCAGCTCTGAGGCTCAAATAAAGATTGAACCGCCACCACCGACAGATGATGGATTTCCCAATTCCATGTCTGTCAATCCCAATGGTCCGATGTAAGCTCAAACCGACTTGCTCTTCTTTCTTATGCCCCTCTCGGTTTTCTCCATACTGATCCTTCTATAGACTGAAAGGCGAGCGTGATTTTTCTTTGCGAAGTGTCAAAGATTCGTCAAATGCCTACGATCAGCATCTGTTGTCAAAAATCGGGAAGCCTATTTCTCCCCGAGGATCGATCAGTTCGGACCACCGGAATTCAATCTCCGCGCTTACTGTTCCCTCTCTCCCATCACGCCCATCAAGCAATTTGCCATCACCGGGGCCATCAGAAGGCCCAACACTTGACGTGAAATGGTATAGCAGCCCGCAGTCAGGAGGGGTTTCACCCCGATCGAAACCGGATTGGAGGGAGTATGTCGAGGGCCGTAGCCCAAGTGTCGAAAGCAATCTACCGTCGGTAGTGGATTTTGAATTCGGAAGACGTCGATATCGTGGAACGACCCCATCGCGCGAGGACAGCATCAGCTTACCCAGCCGATCAAATCGAGGCAGCTACGACCAAGGCGTATTCTCTGATATTGAAGGTGATTTCTCGACGGACGAGCCAGTTCCCCGACAATTTATTCTTCGTGAACCGACACCACCTTACCCTGAAGGTTCAAGACAGGGAATGAAACGACGAGCATCGTCTCCACCCCGGGAGCCGATCAATACCGACGATCGCCACACTTTGCACACTGTCACGAGTAACGGGGATTTATCGCAGCGGAGGACCAGTGGTCACCCATTCACGAACAATTTGACGGTAAACAGCAGCTACGCTCCAAGCCAACGAACACTGTCAGCAGCTTCTTCGCTCAGTATCCGAACCTCCGGCTCATATTCTTCTGCTCTTTCGATTGGTGGCAGTAGTATGACAAGCCTCTCGCCATACGACCGCCCATCCCCTGGGGGCCTTTCTCCTTGCTCTGATCTCGACGCATATCACGAAAAGTCGATTCTCAACGCAAGCTCCCCCCGGAGTACCACTTATGTCTATCCCGAGGCCCTTACCAGGAGCCAACACCCTCGAACCTCCCGCCACAGATTCAACTGGAAAGATGTCGATGCCGATGCCAATGCCAATTGCGCTGAGCGTCCCAAAACCCGCCTCCTCGAAGCTGGGCGGGCTGTTCATTTGCGATTGCTGTCCGAAGAAGCCCAAAAAGTTCGATAGCCCGGATGATCTACGCGCCCATGAGATGGAGAAACAATATTCGTGCCAGTACTGCAACAACCGCTTCAAGAACAAAAACGAGGCGGAAAGGCATCAAAATTCGCTCCATCTGCGACGCCATTCGTGGTCTTGCGCATCGTTGGTCTCGTTCCAGTCTGCATTCCATGGCTCAGGATCGCCATCCTGCCAAACCAATGCCGGTCCCTCGCATGATACATGTGGATATTGCGGTGAGGAGTTCCCCAACTACCCTCGGCCAGACTGGGATCGTCGGTTTGAACACTTGACGACAGTGCACAAGTTCGGCGAATGCAATAATGCGAAGAAATTCTTCCGTGCCGATCACTTCCGTCAACACTTGAAACACAGCCATGCAGGGACGGGTGGGAAGTGGACCAATATCCTCGAAAATGCTTGCATGAAGGAAGAGCAGCCACCGGAGCCACGAGATAGAAGTGGTTCTGGGGCCAGTAATGGCCCGCAAATAAATCCCGGATCTTTGACATCCAATACAATTGATGAGGTTCTAGAATGAGAAAACCCAGCTTTTCTTTTCGCTCTACATACGCCGTGCGACTTTCTATCTCAATCTCCCATTTAACCTCTCAACATCTACATGGCTTTTTATCACCAAGCCGCATTCTCGACCTCGATTCTTCGAGGCCCTTCACCCGAATCTCTCAACCCCAATTCTCAATTTTAAAAATGCAATAAAAAGTGACTTTCGAAAAATCGCATGAAGGCACTGGACATAACGAAGTGAAACGATTTTACAACCATCTTTTTGACCTATTCTTGACTCTCCATCCTACTTCCCCGCACAATCCCACCATCTCAATCTTACTCTGCTTCTTCCTTCTTTTCTTTTCTTTTTTTCTTCTTCGTTTCAGGTTTTCGACAGGCGGCAGGGAGTTTCTGTTTGTTCCTGGGTTTTGGATACTGCCATTTGCGCGTTGTACCTGGTGCATCATAACCTGGGTGGCTTGGCTGGGGTTACATCTATTATCATTCTCCATGATACCGGAGTAGGTCATTTCCTCTATTTTTTCCCTTTTCAATTGTCCCATTGGTGGTCGGAGTCAGTGCATGGTTTGGGGGTCTGGTTCTCATTTTACTTCTCATATCCCCCCGCCTACTTTGCTCCGCTCTTGTTCTTTCCCACCATACATACTATATCCCCATTTGTATATAGGCCGAAATTTAGACCATATCAAGCGCATATCTTATCCTTCTAGTATATTTTGGGTGAAGTAACTCGATTTTTGAATGTTGCTGCTACGTAGTGGTTTGATTTGATGGTTGCCTGCCATTTCTACTAGGCTTCTTCGAATCCATTTCACTGAGGCTGAGTAAGCTGTCTATCGCGGCTTAAAAGCAGGCACGAAAACAACCCCGCAGAGGCACTTGACAACATCCCAACAGTTCGATTCAACTTGTGTTTTAAATTCGTACTCCGGCCGCTGTTTGAACTGCCTAAGCCATGAGTCAACCAGAAATTCCTCCGGAGATTTGGTATCTCATTTTCAAAGCTGTATGTTTTCCTGTTGCTACTATCATAAGTTCCAAAGCCTAACCCTAGTAACGAGATTAGTTACCCACTCGAAAAGATCTCGCCAACGTCTGCGGGGTCTCCAGATTATTCGACACTCTTGCCACTCCACTCCTGTACCGGTCAGTCATTTTAAGCAGGGTGCATCAAGACTGGTCACTTTTTCCCGAAGATTTTGAAGCCACTGAACAGCCGAAGAATTTGGGAAAATGGGATCTGAATTTCAACCCTTTCCATCGACTTCTGGACGACAGAAATGAGGTATTACGAGCATTTGTGCGTGAAATGACCTTCAAAGTCGGCGGCATCGATCAGGATAGATATCGTGCCTGGGACAAGTTGAGGCCACCCCAGGACCTCCTGGCTGGGCTGGTCAGGAAGCTTCCAAACCTGGAGGCTGTCTAGTAAGAGAGAGATGACCCATTTATATCACATGCACCAGGGATTTACTCACACTCATATCTAGCTTTCAAGGAGAGCTTCCCATATCCGACGCCCTTGTGGATGCATTTATCGCTCATGAAAAATCTCCAAAGCTCTATTTAAAACGCGAATCAGGACTCTTCCGGCCGAAACCATGCGTTCCGTTTGTGCAGGAAGTATGTATCTTCGTGGATTCTACGGACACAGCCCCTGATAGAGAGCTGCATCCTGGTGAACGAGAGTTCAGGCCACAAAGACTTGCTCTGCATGAGACTTTCGCCGCATATCCGAACCTTGAAGACTTGTCAGTTTCGATCAATCTTTTACGGGGAGGCTGTGTGATCAACACCTCCCCTCCTTCAACAGAGATAGTACCGCTTTCGCTACCAGATGTATTCACCTTCCCACCCCTGAAAAATCTCTCACTGAGCGGCTATCATATAAGAGACGAGGAAAAACCTTTCTGGAAACAGAGGTTTCCTTGGGGGGGAGTTAGAATCTCTCACGTTGGGAGTTCAGACCCACAGCGGTGTACTCGAGTCGGCCACCGGGAACATCTATCGCTTGAAGAAGTTTCAGATTACAAGCTATACCCGCTATACCGTTTCGAACTCGAGCCCTGAGCTTGAGTCGTTTCTTTCCTCTTTCCATTCCTTGGAGAGCCTCACTGCCAAGGGACTTGTCCCTTCGATGAATTCTGTGATCAACCATTCCAACCTCAAGCACCTTTGCCTGCATGCCATCGAAGAGACTGACCAAGAGAGAAAAACTCTGAGTTTGGAGGAGATAGAAGGCTTGGATCACCATTGTCCAAATCTCACGAGCTTGGAACTAGATATAAACCCGAATGGCACATGGGTAAGCCACAAGTTCTGTCCCGTCAGAACTACTACTCTCAAAACTAACAAAAAGCTTTCCAGCCAAACGACACGATGGAGGCTTTAGCAACGAGATTTGAAAATCTTCGCGAATTAACAATTCATGTCGGACTAGGAATATCAAACGCAATAAAAAACGCGCAGAACGGATATCCATTGACGAAGGCTTTTAAATCGGTATTGACCGAGGAAATCGCAAGAGCCTCTGCAAAACGATTCCTCGAATGCAGAGGGCTGTCAGAATTGAAGAAAATCACGTTGAAAACCGGCGAAGATCTGCGATGGTTCCCACAATGGCATCCCGGATACGCTGATGCGGAAGAGGAGTGCTCGAGGATCTTTGAGATAGATGCGCGTCTGAGACAGGATGGTGGGATCAGCCTCGAGGAGAAAGAAAGTACCCGGGCTAGTCTGTATAATCATTTGAGCCGGAGATGGCAATATAGCTTTCCACAAAATGCGGCCCCTCCTGCGCAAATCAGTACTGCGCCACGGGTGCTTCAAGCACCGGCTTTCAGTGCAGGCTCAACTTGACTGTAACTAGGTAGGTCTTCATTGTCACAGATTGTCACCCTCAATAGCTGCAACGACTGCAAGTTCAGCATTTCCTGTGCATCTCTCCCGAGTGACGTCCAGTGGGACGACTGCTGCTAGTGAATTATGAAAAAGAGCGTTGAAGCACCGTAGCCTCTCATTTTCAAATCGAAATCAAATGTCTTTTTTCTTGGCGACCGGAACTCCTCTATGTACATTATCCAATCCCATTATGTCAAATAACCATATATTCACAGAAATGCAAGCCATCGAAACGATGCGCGGAGTGTAATTTACTCCGTGACACTATCCTGGATACTGCGCAGGGCACTCATCTTATGTGCAGGGTCGATAGCAACAGCATTGCGAGCGCGACGTCTCGCGTCAGTCCAAAGCATGAACTCTCCATAGCTCTTGGGCATGACGTTGATGTCCTTCTCTACCAGAAAAGTGTAGTTGAACATACCAGTCGACTTCTTGGTACCGTGTTCGACATCGCGAACCTTGGTATCGACGCGGACTTGTACCTTGGTGAAGTTGGACTGGCCCTCCTCGCGCTCCTCGGGTTCAGTGAAAGCCACTGTCGCGCGCAGGTAGAGCACGCTTCCGACGGGAACGGGGTTTTCAAAGGTACTGGGGTCGAGGGCAAGGAAGTTGGGGCGGGCGTGGGCGAAAGAGGCAGCGCAGCAGAAAGCTAGCTCGAAGGATTGCTTGAGGAGGAAACCACCAAAGATCATGAAGTTGTGGCGGTTACGATCTTGGGGCTGCATGATCATTGCCGATTTGAGGACAGTGTCACTCATGAAGACTTGGTTGTTCGGGCGAAGGGCTGGGACTTGGGGGTCTGGGGGTTGTTTAGCGGAGGTGGATGAGAAATAGATAGTACATGATGGTACTCACTCAGATATGACATCTCCTTGGTCCACATGGAGTGGATCAAGTTACTCTCTTCATCGTCAGGAGCCTTCTCGAGGAGACTGCGGGTGCGCAGAGCCTTCTTGGCTTGATAGTTGGCCTCGCCCTTCTTGAAGAGTTTCTCTTCCTCTGCGTTCTCCAAAATCAGAGGTGCGACAGGGACAGGCCTGGGAGATCGCGATTAGCACGTTTTTAGTTTCAGCTTCTAACGTAGAACATACTTCTTGGTAGCAGGGTCAAGGGAAACCATCGTGAAGGCACAAGTAATCAACACATCTTCGGGCTGAGCCGGTTGTCCCTCTGGGCGAAGCTTTGAAACTTGGCACGACACCTCCATACTGGATCGACCAGTAGCGTATGAAACCTGACCACTGAGCTCCAGATCACAAATCTCCATGAGGGGGTGCTCAATGGTAATTCGGTCCACGGCCGCAGTGACGGTACTGACGCCTTCACCGGTATGACGGTAGGCAATGACACCAGCCAGGGCATCGAGGTCCATAAGCAATGATCCCAATCTATTTAAACATTAGCCGTCGCACAAGCATGCACGTATGACAAGAGATATGCCATCCTCACCGGATATGTCCAGAGGCATTGAGATAGGTATCAAGCAGCCATTTATCTTGCGCTAGAGGCAGAATCTGAAAAAAAAGAGGCCAGCTCGTTAGCTGTACTGAAACATCGTAGGTTCCAATTAGCGCCGTAAGTCGATACATACAGCACTGTAGTAACTGTCCGACATTTTCTTCGGCGTCACATCGGGCTTCACAGCTGGAGGTGGAGTGCCCTCTTTAACCCCCCCTAGCCACCTCGCGACTCTCATTCAGAGCATCAATCCAGGGCGTCTTCACTCGCCCAGCCCAGACCCGGCGCTTTTCCTCTTCATTGCATGGCGTCGCGTGAAATCCACGCGAAGCGCTCGGCGATTGCGCGGCGATGGCTACGCGAGCAGGCAGAGTCCTTGATACAAGCGATTTGGACCCGGAAACGGCCGTCCTTCTTCCTGCGAGACCGAACATGGCGAGATCTGTATCTGTGGAGGGATATGTGAGGATCTGGAAAAGCGTCAGATTAGTATCAGCGATGACGCTCTTGGTTACCGAGGGACTGGCCCGGTCGGGTTAGTCCCGGACATTCTCGGGATGCCAATGCCGAAAATGCGGCTTTTGTTGGCGGGGGCCAATCTCGCGGGGAACTTTATTAATAATTTGTTTTCTGGGGTCATACCTAGTTATGAGATGCCTAGAGCTGCGGCATATTGAAAAGTTTGTATTAGTAGTCGTAATGCTGTTCTCGCGGAATATTTTGGAGAAAGATAGTGTTCCAATGATGGCCATATGTAGGCCTGAGGCACTACTGCCCGTGCCGGCGTCAATGTCCAGGTGCTACTACCGGGCCGGGGGGGGATCTGGCTCAGAAATATACTAGTTACTATTAGTACTTGAACCATATTAGTACTAGTAGTAACAACACTGGCTTGTGACTTTGATGAGTATGGCATAGCATAGTTTTCGGGCGAGGTTCGCAGAGCCCGTTCAAGTTGTTCGTAAAGCAAACTGGGGACACAAAGGGTTAGATCAAGATTTAAAACAACCTTGGAATTCTCTAGATTTCTGAAACATGACGTCGGGAACCAGGGTCTACCCTGCAAAGATCAAAGCTTGAGTGAGATGAAACATCGTCTACAAAAGTCTACCACTAGGGCTGGAACTTGAAGTGAAGATATTTCTTAATGAGATCAATTATTATGGTTTCTTGGTTGTCCGCCAAAGATATCGTATTCTTATTGTACAGTGATGGATCCATTCCATGTTTCAGACCCAGAAGGCAATGGGCGGGGATAAAAGAGAAGAAAAAGCGCAAATGAGACTGCACTCTAGATGCAAGAAGTGAAGGGTATGAATCAAGGCAGCGCGGAGCGAGTGGTATGTGCAAGTGGGTATCACTTGAATGCAAAGAAAGTCGGACACGTAAAGTGGATGATCGAGAGTCAGTTTGCGATGATATGTATGCCAGTTTGACGGTATAAACAAGAACGCCAGGGACGAAGGCTAGCAGCTTAACAGCAAAAAAGGGTATTGTGGTGTGAGACGAGTAGTCGAGGGTAAGATATTGGTGATTGAAAGATTTTAAAGGATAAGAGCGGCAGCAAAAGTCATCACTAATGACAGAGCTAGTCCGCCGGACATGCGCGAGGCGGAGTTGATAGTGGGCGAGTCGGTCTCAGTCGCTGAAGACGAGGATGAGCTTGGCGTTGTGGTGGAAATCGCCGCAGTGGAGACTTCAGAGCTGCCATCAGTGGCCGCGGCCGAAGGACCGGTCGCAGTCGCGCTGGGAGCGACAAATGTGCCATTTCCAGAGGACGAGGACGAATTCGATGACTTTGCTCCAAAGCCAATCTGCCCATTATCGAAGTCAAACACCGAATAGACGTTTTTCAGAAAGACATCGCCGAGAAGCCATGTGTTTGATCCGGAGGACTGGTGACCAACTATCGTCGAGAGACAGCCCGAGTCCGAGCTGGCCTTTGAACCAATGTAGTCTTCTGGCTGGACGGTGTATTTGACTCCAGAAAACTCGAATTCGATAGTGGCGGTTGAGTCACATGGAATTATGTAGTTCTCCCCGGATTGCTTAGAGCCCGGAATGAGACCAAATAAAGTCACAGCATCGGCTGGTGGAACAAAGACGTATGTAGATCCGCTGTCGATGATTGCAGATTTTCCAGTGAAGTTGGCCGCATTGCCATTCACGTAGACGTCATCCAGTGGGATAGTCCAGGTTTCGGCATTAGTGGTGGTGTAAGAAATCTGTCCGTCAAATTTTGTTGTGTCCACAGTTCCGAAATTCACCTCGCCGTCCTTCTTGTTGTCGGAGGCGCGCGACAAGCTAAGCCCAATAATGTTACAGCTGAGCCCTGCCTTTTTGGCGACAATATCCATGAAAGAGGGGATCTTCCAACCACCGGTGTATGATCGGCCTATGCCGAGAATGCCATCAATAGGATAGCTATCGAATGGCTTGGTTGCAGACTCGGCGAATCCAAATGTGAAAGTGATATCCATTCCAGCGATCGACATGGTATCTTGACCCAGATCTCCCTTCACCTGACCACTACCGTATCCGAGGCTGTAGGTCGAGTCATTCGAGTGGAAACTGCTTGATTCGGAGATATTGAATGTGTGGTGGTTTGTGCAAGTTTCGGTGGTACACTTAGAGCTGAATACCCAGCTACTCGGCGATCCGGTGTCGAGTGCCAACCACATTTCTTCTTGTTGTGAACCGACCTTGACGGTGACGAAGTAAGAAAAGTCCACTCCATCTTGATTCACTGCCGCACTGTTCTCCAAAGTGGGGGTTTCCGACTCGACAATTTTATAGGTATCGTCCCGGCGACGGCGAGCCTTGGTGATATCGAGCGTGATGCCTTGGCTGTCGTTGTCGGAATCCGAGCTGTCCGGGGCTAAGATCCATGGCATGAAACGACGGAAACCGGTTTGGCGCGAAGAAATAGTGGCGCCTGTCGCTACCTTAAGCTCCCAGGGATAGAAGGCATGAACGCTTGTCGAAAGGCCGGCAATGACCAAATATGATGAAAGATGCATGATCCCACAGCGGATCTAGTAGTAGAATAGATTAAACCGCATTGAAGTTCGTGATTTATGACGTAGTGTAGGTCGTCCAACTGCTGTCTATTCGATCAATTGGTGTTTTATTGGCGATAGATGTGTTGTTGAAAGATGGGGCGAAGGATTGGGGCGGTTCCGTGAAATCCGGGGTTCGTCAATTAAAGAGGTATGCGAACGAAAGTGAAGAAAAGAAAAAAAAGAAAATCGAAAACCAGCTAATAGGAAGATACAAATAAGCGATAAACGAGCAACAAAAGGAAGGACAGTGAGCTGGGGAGGTTGGAAAGAAGCAGATTGATGTGAGGGGGGGGTGAGAAGTGGCGAACGGGCAGACTGGCAGACTGGCAGACTGGGGGGGAGGTCCCACTTGATGGTGAACCTCTGAGGAAAATCCTCCCCTGACAAGACACTTCTGCCCAGTTCTTGCCAAGTGCTAATCCTATTTTGGAAATTGACTGGATAGCTTGGGTTACTCTGAGCTCCACTCCGCCTGGTTCCGGTTGTGATCGGCTTTTTGGTCGAGGCTAGCTGCACGCTAGAGTCAGGTTACTTGCTCCTTTTCTGTCAAGCCTACAAATCTGTTCTTCTTCCCTTCATGGATAGCTAAAAAATAACGGAAATAGTTTGAAAGCACATGATTTCGCGGAGTTTTCTATATTGAACTGAGAAGTTTGGCTCGTAAATCAACAAATGGAAGAGTTTGTGGCGGGAGAACCCTGCGTTCGAACGCACAACTCAGGGGAACCGTTTTTTGGGGAAGCACTAGCGTTTGCTGCTTATCACTGGTCGGTTCTAATGCACGGTCCAGCTGGGTACACATGCACGGAGAACATCAATACACAAGTCCCAATCCTTCAAGCCACGGTTGGTCTAGACTCAATCATTCCACCCTCAGCTGCAGGACTACAGCAGAGCCTACGCAGGTAAAAAAAAACCCAAAAAAAAACCCAAAAAAAACCGACTGCTGAATAAATTCTTAATGGTCCCTAATAAGAGTCAGTATAGGCGGCATACAGAGATGCCTTAAGCCTAAGGCTTACAAACCCTTTATCATGATACTCAGTGTTTTCGTTCCAATAAGCAGGGAATACTCCGCAATCATTTCGTTTATTTCAAGATTATTTCGAAGCCGGGGGTTGGTTAACCCTCTCTACTTGGTCTCGAAGCAAGCAATTAGCCGGTTTGTAAGATATATAGCGCCGATTCAAAAGGTGGAAGAACATAAGGTTAAGGCACAAGGCAATGCTGGCTGTAGATCGATTGGCCGCCAAGCAACTGAACTCAGTAGACATCAAGAAAGACATTCAAATCCGATGCAATGGAGGATGAAAATGAGAAAATGGTGCATGCATGCATGCGGATATCGATGAGAGAGAAGGAGTGTGGCCGTGAAGGCGAGATGGCCTGAGGCTCCACACCTTAATGCTGACTGACCAAAGTCCATAAAAACTACTGGCCGGGTGGGAACTAAAAATCGAATAAGACAGAGGGATGAATAGAAATCTAACCCTGAAAATACAGTGGGATGATAATGGCTTCAAGAATAGCAGTCAGCGAGTGTACATCACCACCTGTCTGCCACTTCTAAACCGTTCTATTCTGTAAACAACTGGATTTCCATTAAAGTTTACTTTGTCTACTGCTGAACTGGTGTACCTGGATACATGCCCTAATTCTAAACTCCCCGATGACCTCGTGAACATAGAAATGACAGAATAACCGGTCTAGAAGAGATTCAAGTTCTGGCCGAGGAACTATCGTTAGGAAAGTTGGAAGTAAATATATACAGACCGCGCAGATTTGGCCATCGCCGAGGCTCCAGGAACTTGAGGGAAGAGACTCATAACCAGAATGAGGATAATTGATGAGTTGCCCGGGCGTTGAACGGCCGATCTTTTATGCCAATGAGATATATCGAGATAGCGACTTGAATGAGGAGGGGATTATCAGGCAATAATGGACAATGCTGGCGGTGAGTGGCCTTGAATCAAGCGAGATCACTGGGTATTGAGAGCGGCCGGCTATCAAGCGCCTACTGATCAAAGGCAATGTTTTAAATGTACTGGTGGGACAAGGATTGCAATATTAGTAAATGTGGAATGAGAATATGAATAAGAATATGGATAAGAATATGGATAACACTAGAAGTAAGACTAGGAGTAAAACCATGGGTAACGATATGGGTAAAAACATGGGTAAGAATAGAAAAACAACTTGGGTAACAATATGACTAAAAATGTGGGTAAGGATAGGGGAACAACACGAGTAAGGATATGAGTAAAAATGTGGATAAGGAAAGAGAAACAACATCAGTAAAGATATGAGTAAAAATGTGGGTAAGGATAGAGAAACAACATGAGTAAGGATATGAGTAAAGATAGGGTAAGAAAGACGATGATAAGAATAACCGCTAAAGATACCATAGTCACAGGCATAGACTTAAGAATGAAATGGCAAAGGCCATTGAATGCAATCGGAAAATCGAATCTGTAAGAAACGATTCAATCCATAGAGACCGAGAGGAAATTCACCGAGAGCCAGCGAGCTACGACTCGCGCAGTCTTGCTCATATCGAGGGTCGTGGCGATGGCTTCGTAGCCGGGTTTGTCAAAGGCACCATGATCAACTTCACCGGCATGCTTCGAAATATTCTCGGAGGAATGTTGTTTTACGTCGCTCATAGTTGCTTGAAAGAGGAAATGGACCTTGCAAAAGAGCTTCGGGAAACCCTCGAGTTAGAATAGGAGCGATGATGATTGGGAGAAAGAAAAATGAACAAGGAACAAACCTCAGCCTTAGCCAGTGGTGCAGATGTTTCTTGTGCCAAGCGGCACTCATGCTCGCCCACTCAGAGACAGTGAAGATTTAGAACGTTTGCCAGAATGAACAAATGGTCAAATGACCGGCCTCGCACAGAGGCGATGGAATAGTTGCTGGAGGTGTTGGAGAAGAAGAAAGAGAGAGTGACGGGTAGGGGACTCTGTTTTGTAGTAGACCACCCTTTTGTCTACGTAACGTCATCTTGTTTGTGTTAACTTTGGTGCCTGCAGACAAACAGTGAATAAGTAAATCAACAAAGCAATAAGAGCAAACAAATCAGGACCCGGAAGATGGGCGGTGAGGGAAAGCACAATGGAGGTGAACGGTGATATGTCATGAGAGTAACTAGGCAAGTCTAATCCTGTATTCCCAAGGTTGTCCTTTATAGGTCCTGTGAACAGTACAAATCACCTCCCCTTACGGAGGTCAAGAAAGCAAATAGAATCCGAGGGCGTGGAATCTATAGTTTTTGGACCTCAAAGACTTGAAAGTCAAGATTGGAAATAGAAGCTGCGGGTGTGATAGCTCGAAAATTCTCAATGTAGATGGTAGAAATTGAATTCAGCCTTCCGGACGGCCTTCAATTTGTATTCGATTCGATTTGATGTTTGTGTTTCGAACACTGGGCTGCTCAAAGGCAAATATTATGGAAAGAGGCACAAATGGACTGAGGGAGTGTTCTTTACCACAAAACAATTGTCTCGAACTTAAGAAGGGGATTGAAAGCTAAGGGTGTTGATTTGAAGTAGCTGTAGGGTCGTATCTGAAGAACGCGACCTAAATGGGTCGAGAGCAGAGAAAGCTGTACTGGGACAGATGATTCGAGAAGAATGAAAGAAGCGGACGTGAAGGTCGAAGCAGGCAATCGAGAAGTAGATAAACATAAAAGGCTCTCCCATGAAGAAATAGCGAAGACGTAGATGCGCTGATCGTTTTTAATTTTCACCAGTAAAGATCTGTGAGACCACGAGCTTGCTCGTCGTACAACCAGCCGATCGTTCCACGCTGCAGGGATCATGTACCTTATACCATCCATCTCCATGCCCACAGTAGGGCCCAAACCTGGAGATAGTTTGCTGTAGGGCTTCGCAAACATATGTCTGTAATGCTAAAAGGACTAATTGAGCACCGATATACAATCGACACTGTACAACGAATGAATATTTAGTAGATTGAAAATCTCGATATCTCCCCGAAACAACCCGTTGATCGGTGTGTACTAGGCCATTTGGTGCCTGGATCTCACCGCAGCTTCGAAATAGAGGAGTTAGTTATGGTCACGAATTATCAATCAATCAATTTAATTCGCCATTGGTTGCTGCCTTATAGCAACTACAATGGCAGGAGTTACTGGAATCATTAAAAATGATATGGGGACGATGAGTGAGTATTTGGACAGAGATCAAGGTAGTGCATTCTGGTCGTGGGCGATTGGCCGCGAATCAAGCAGACCAAGTAAACCTGACATGGTGCTAATGGTACATTCGATTAAATATGATGTCTCTACGGAAATCACAGGGCATGGAATTACGTTCCAAGGTTCTGGAGGAGATACTAGCTGCCAAGGAAAGTTGGAGACAGAGAAATAGCATGAGTCAAAAGGGTCACTGGCAGCTTTACTGTGGACAAAGATGTCCACAAAAGGCACACGGGACCCTGTTCTGATTGCCATGTATCAAAGGACCACTCGGGAAAGGCATTATAGAGAGAGAGAAATTTACTCAATGATGAAATAGTCTCCTACTAGTACTACTTTTAAGAGATGCGTTACAAAATACCACAACCTCCCGATTAGTGAGTGGTAGAACGACCGCACGGGCGAATGCTCGCTCCGAGAAAATATATTGGGATCCATAGTTGGCATGATAATGGACTCAAAGAGTTAAATTTTTATCAAGGTATAAGCTACTGAATGGTGGCCAGAAGGAAGGAGAAAAGACGAAAGCGCGATCAGTGCAGGTGGGTACGTGCCGGATGTTGCTCGGCCAAGGACAGTACAGCATGGTTACTTCCAGGATAAGGACTAGAAGACGGAGGAGAGATTTGGGCTGGAAACATTGATAAGAATAGGTGTAAAGATATCGATGGTATCAGGAATAAGCAAAAGCGCGAGAAGAGCATAAATAATACACAAAGTAAGAACATAATAATTAGGGACGAGAAGGACAATAAGAATAGAAGCAACAGAACTTTTCCACCCGCCTAGCTGACAGGTAAATTATCTCATCCCGAGACAGGTCTGAGCTGGCATGAAGCAGCGAGTCGAAGTATTTCTTCCTGGTCCATCACAGGCCATGGCTAGCTTGGTGACTGGCATCCCGCGGGAGCAACGATACCATGCCTTGCCCATGGGGCATTTCGTGAATGCTCGTCAAGTTGATCAAGTCGTTCATGGCAGGCCACGGGTAGCTGGCGAGTGGAACTCTGTGGAAACTACGGTTCGATGCAATGCAGCTGAGGGGCGCATCCAGTGAAAACTTGAAGCTCAGCGATTCGATCATATCGTTCAACTTAAGATGGACTCGGAACCGGAATATCGTATACATAGCAGTGTATCCTGGAGAGTGGGTTAGAAAAGGAGGGATGGCATTCAAAAGGGAAACTTGACAAGGAAGCCACCCCTAAGGGAGTTTGCTCATGAAATTCCTCATTCAAAAGCAGGCATGGGGCATGCAAGCCTGAAATTTGCGGTTGGAAATGACCAGGGATTGGGCTGCTTGATTCAACGGCCAGTATCGACTGATTGATGCCACGGGAATGTAGCTGAAGAAGTCAGGAGAGAGTGTGTGACTGGAGTAGAAAGAGGAGGGAAAGGAGAAAGAGTGAGAGTGAGAGAAAGATCTTTGGCATGGGCTCTGACAAACAGAGCCGCTTATCTCCGGCCGAAAATATCCGCTCCGAGGGTCAACGGCATGTAGCCCTAAGTTACTATGGCATGTAAACGACATGGGCTAAAGAAATAGTCTCGTGGAAAACAGTGGCGTTTGAAAAGGAATGGCTGGAATACAGAATGTTTACATCTGGCAAAGGAATACAAAAAAAGAAAAAATAGATAACGAAATGGTTGACTTTGACAGCCGGGAGTTATGGGGATGGGAAGCGGAGTAATTTCATTGAGAAAGAGAAAAGTATGGGGGTAAACGGTATCAGCATAGTAACTGGATCTAGATTGAAAGGGATGAATATAACTGTCCTGCACTATACACTAACTGCCTTCGTGATTTTCATTCTTAATCTCACTACTATCAAACCTGCGGAGCGCACACTGGGGAGAGTCCACGGGTACTTTGGCATATCGCTGTATACAGCACTCATGACGTGGCTGCGGCATTCGAATTTTATTCAAGCCGTACTAGAAATATGTTGAGTAGTATCGGTTTCTCATTTATTGTCGCTCAATTTTAGACTCTCAGGGGTCCAAATAATATTTTCACTCGGTTTCAGAGCCTAGTTATCCGAAATGACTAAGTTCCAGAGTACCAACTTGGAAATTCAATCGATGCCTTCATTGGAAGAAAGAGAAGCCATGTGAGGTATAGTCACTCTACCTGTCATGGAAATGACCCTCAGATATACCTACAAGTAGCTCATTGAGAACCTAGAATAGTGTTAGTCTGGGTATTAGCTGGCGGTAAACATTTAGAGTGGAGAAAAATTCATTTTTATCTGTAAACATTGAGGTACCCTGGCCCAGCCTTCAGGATACCCTGCCGCGGTTTGTTTGTAATATCATGCTATTGAGATAATGAATTACTGCTCGATCACCGATCATCATAGGCCGGGAACTGAAAGATAGATGATATTTTAAATAGGAGAAACTAGGGGCAGAGGAGTCTCTGGATTATAGACTCAAGGTCAGAAAATTGAGAATCATGCAGAATAGCAAGTTACCACATCGGGGATTACTACTACAGTGGCAACCGCATTCGCCTTCCATGTGGTGAACATAGAGAAGCTCTTTGAAACCCTAATCATATGACATGTTGAGCTCGATCCGCCACAACTATGGTTAGTGCGTAAATTACCCGCTTTGTTCAAACGCTGTAATAAAAGTAGATGTTTCAAGAGACTAGTATCAAAGAAAAAAAAGCCTGGGGGTCAGAGCCTAGAAGGCTAGAAGGTTCGATACAAAATAAGTTATCCAGACTCTTGGAAATCTGCGTAAGACTTTGTGGCAACAAATTTGACAACTCACTATTAACCTATTCTTTGACTCGAGTATGAGTGTCAAATGTTGTTCCTTAAAACCTTTCTGGCCCTGTTCTGAGGGAAAAGGTTGAGCACTTTATGGAGGTCAGTGCCCGAAAGATCACCTGATAGCGGGGGTGGAGATTGACCTGCGGGGTAGCAGCCTGTAACTCTATCTGGTTCCCCAAGACCTTTTTTCTGATGATGGATTCTTTATCGTTTGGCGGTAGAAACTCGGGTAACCAGGTGGGAGTTAATTACGGAACAATTCATCTACACCCAGGTAAGTTCAATTAAACCCTGGCCATCCAGATCGAATTTACTAATATCTAGTTGTGACTCTACAGCGTATGACACTTCGACAAACTCCGGTAAGAGGCAGCAAGCTTAATGTATCCCAGTTCTAGATTCGAGTTTTGCTAAATAGTCATTATATCCAGCTCACCGCTTTAGGATCCCATTAGACCTCACTGCCGTGCCTGTGATTGAAAGCTTCCTGGGGCGGGAAGCTGAGCTAGACCGTCTATGGCAATATTTACAGCCGAAAAATGCCCAGTCACGAAAAGTCGCGATTCTCCATGGGCTTGGGGGCATAGGAAAAACACAGCTCGCGATTCGTTTTGCGCGAGACCACAAAGATGATTTCACTGCTATATTCTGGTTGAATGGCAAGGATCGAAGTACACTTTTGCAATCTCTTAGCTTAGTCTTGCCTCGATTACCTGGACAGTCCCAGGAAAACAAGGTGATCGATGACGAGAAGCTGGAGCAACGAGCTAAGCATGTGCTAAAGTGGCTAGCGAAATACGGCAACTCACGCTGGCTACTGATTCTGGACAACATCGATCAATACTCTTCTGTCAACAGCGGTATTGGTGATAAATATGATATTAGAGCATTCTTCCCTTCAGCAGATCACGGCTCTATCATTATTACTTCTCGGCTCTCTGGCTTGACTGAGCTGGGAAAGTCCTTTCCAATCTGCAAGCTTGACAGAGCGGAGGCAATTCAACTACTCTTGCAGAATAGTGGTTTATCAGCAATCACCACTGCAGATCTCGAAGACAGTCCAGGTACGAGAATATCAAATATATAGGTATTCACAGAATACTGATTTGCCAAGACACCCTTGCCCTTGCCAGTCGTCTTGACGGACTGCCATTAGCGATTATTATCGCGGCGGCATTCATGCGTCAAACCGGAACCAGCATCAGCGAGTACTTACAATATTACGAAGATTCTTGGTCTGATTTACAATCTCAATCACGTACTGGGCTTCAATACCAGCAGGGTAATATGCTACAAACATGGATGATCTCATATCGTGAGATTCAGAAGCGAGATCTAAATGCAGCAGAGTTATTACTACTACTTGCATGCTTTGATAATCGGGATATTTGGTATCAGTTATTGAAAGGCGCTGACAATAGCTCAAATATCCCCACCTGGCTTAAAAATACTATATCAAGCGGACTAGTGTTTAAGACTAGTGTGAAGACTCTTATCACATTCTCCCTCCTTGAAACGAAGCTGCTGGAGGGAAGTTATGCAATACATCCTGTGGTACAGGACTGGTGCCATCACATTACCTATACGGATAAAAAAGTGAATTCTATCCAGCTTTATGAGCTGGCACTGATTTCTGTTGGATACACTATCCCTAGTGTAAGTGACAGAAATTATTCAGAGCTCCAACGACGGCTTCTCCCACATGCGAATCTTGTACGCCATAGGAAACTAACCGAAAATAATGTTTCGATATGGGGAGCATTTAATAACTTGGGGAATCTTTACTCTGATCAGGGCAGGCTCAGAGAGGCCAAAGAGATGTACCAGCGAGCACTAGCAGGTAGGGAGAAGGCCCTAGGTCCAGATCATACGTCTACTCTCAGTACTGTGAACAACCTTGGGGTTCTTTACTCTAATCAGGGCAGGCTCAAAGAGGCTGAGGAGATGTACCAGCGAGCACTGGCAGGCTATGAGAAGGCCCTAGGTCCAGATCATACGTCTACTCTCAGTACTGTGAGCAACCTTGGGATTCTTTACTCTGACCAGGGCAGGCTCAAAGAAGCTGAGGAGATGTACCAGCGAGCACTGGCAGGCAAGGAGAAGGCCCTAGGTCCAGATCATACGTCTACTCTCAATACTATGAATAGCCTTGGGAGTCTTTACTCTGATCAGGGCAAGTTTAAAGAGGCTAAGGAGATGTACCAGCGAGCACTGGCAGGTAAGGAGAAGGCCCTAGGTCCAGATCATACGTCTACTCTCGGTACTGTGAACAACCTTGGGGTTCTTTACTCTGATCAGGGCAGGCTCAAAGAAGCTGAGGAGATGTACCAGCGAGCACTGGCAGGCTATGAGAAGGCCCTAGGTCTAGATCATACGTCTACTCTCGATACTGTGAACAACCTTGGGGTTCTTTACTCTAATAAGGGCAGGCTCAAAGAGGCTGAGGAGATGTACCAGCGAGCACTGGCAGGCTATGAGAAGGCCCTAGGTCCAGATCATACGTCTACTCTCGGTACTGTGAGCAACCTTGGGATTCTCTACAAGAATCAGGGCAGGCTCAAAGAGGCCAAAGAGATGTACCAGCGAGAATTACCAAACAGTCAGGAGGCCGAAAGCCCCAATGCCAGCAAGGGACGGCGGGTTATAGAAAAAATCAAAAGATGGATTAAATAATTAGAGGGAAATAACTACATACCCACAATGTGTCTCGAAACAATAGCCATGTCACTTTGATATATCCTCTACTTGAGCTTACTACAGTAATCATAATCGCAAATAATCACTGTATAACAGGCCGCGGCGAAATGCTTGATACAATTCAAGCTCGAATGAAAGTATATTATCTTTTGGAAAGAGAACACACAGAAGATGAGGGAAATATACCCATAAGTGTTGTAAATTAACTACAGTACTAAATTCAACTATTCCCTCAATCACGTCACTTCAACTAGATCCCGTCATAGAGTCATATGGTACAGTATATAAAAGGAACCAGTGCCGAGTCTGTTACAGTAGGGATATCGTGCGGCAGATTAGGCGTCTTTGCTGGTGGGCCTGAAATATTTTGATCTGTCAAAGTACATGTAGAGATACCATAGCTGGTATTTTACTTGTTCTGAGTCATACAATTAACACTCGGAACAGATCATGTAATTAGGGTTTGAAAGAGCTTCTATATGTTGTTCGACATGGAAGGCGATAGTTAGCGGTCAGCACTGTACTAGTACTACTACTTAGGTATTAGTTATCATTGATCCGGAGTTGCAGTAATACAAATTCCCTCCAAGAACACTCATTCGAAAACACGGAAAGGTATTTGGGAATCCGATGTGTAAGGCTGCCTGTATGAGGGTCATTTGACTACTTTCCACAGGACTGAAATCACCTGCAAGTTTACAACTCCTACCAATAGATCAATTGACCTAGAAAGGTTTTTTTTTCCTCTTTTTTTGCGAATTGCTAGATCGGCTGTTTGGTCAGCTTTGTAGTAATATAATTGCGGGGCCAAGAATCATCATAGAAGAGCGGAGTTTGCTTAGCGGGAAGTGTAGCAACACTTATGCCCACTGGGAATGAATGTCTCCTCCTCCGATAGGTCATTCAATTGGAAAATATGACCACGTCTGCCTTCGTCAAAGTGTAAATTGTAGAGCTTTGAAGATCAATACAGAACCTCTCGAGTCCGAATTAGCTTTCGTGAACACTTTCAATTTATAAGTTCCGCTAGGTTCTACACGAGGTCTAGCGCATGGGCCCGGCCCCGGCTTCGGCCCCGGACTCAGCCTCAAGTTTGAAGAAAAGAGCTCCACTTGGTGCCTAATGAAGGTCGCCGGCTTCGGACCCACAGGCACTTCTCCCTGAAGCGTTATTGTGGGTCAACTTGCAAACAACTTGAATCTTTCACCTCCAACCCTCCATAGCTCAAGCCTACAACATAAGAGATTGATCTTCAAGTTTTCGAAATTCATCGCAGCTCTTACTACCCAGGTTTTCCATCCAGCTTTCTATTCCTCACCCTGATATCATATTTGGCTTCCTTCCATTGCCACTAGAATCTCAGGGCCATTTTGGCATGCATGCTGACAGCATCCACTGCCTTACCTTCGTCTCCTTCCAGAGAATCCACAATCTATTCACCGAGAAGAAAAGACAGACTTTCGAATAGCGGCTTTTGCTATCCTAGATAACCAAAGGCCAGAAAGTTAACCATCTACCAACCATGATTTACGAGACACCCAGTCACCCCAAGCCCCGCGTCTGGGCAGACAGCGACCAACCTGGCTTTTGGGCAAAGTTTGCCATGGACTCCGCATGGACCGGCCCCAGGAAAAGTGCTTTGCTTTACAAACTTCGCCGAATGAAGCTTTCTCGCGAGCCGAGCTTGCGTGATCACACAGATGGGATGTTGTTCCTCGACATGGTCAACGAGAAAACGGACAACCTTGAGGCACTTCTGGCACAATCGATTGGTCAAAATCTCGGGAACCTGGGCTGCTGTGACCGCTGTTTAAACCACAAGGGCATCTTCTCATCTTGTGTCACTGTCGCCAGTCTTAAAGACATCATGCCCGAATGTGCCAATTGCCATTTGAAGGGAGAGCGAGAGGAATGCAATTTTGTTGACGGTCTTGAATATCTCACGGAAGATCCCGATACCCGTCCTTTGCAACGCGAGAACGAAACCCATCGAGAACAGCCCGAGTCAGTCGAGGTGATAGATCGCCTGATAGAGGAAGAATACCACTTTATTGATGAGATTATGGACTCGTCTGCCGACTCGTCCGCCGAGTACTCACGGCGCTTGACCGGGCACTCCCAGCACATCTCACAGCTCAAGACGCGGAGACTTTCCCTACTGGCAGCGGAGAAACGAGCCCAGCGAATGAATTGATGGTACTGAAGATGTGAATCGGCCTGTGTACCCATTAGTTATCTGACTGTGTCAACGACACGAACTCCCCACAGTCCTTTCACGCTTGCATTTATTTGCTCTTATCCGCCGCTGCAATTTCATAACCCCCTCCATTACGCCGAAAATTCATTTGATTGTCGCTCCCGCAACTTCCCTGGCAACTCATCTACCTCCCAGGGGCTATCCTTGGACCCCTGGCCACATACTCCGCATTCCTTCTCCGAGATGGCCTCACCATCTTCGGATCCTTCAGTCTCCCCCAATGGTCCCGGCTACTATCCCGAACTCCTTGAATTGCCTCGCAGGAAAATCTGAAAATCCCGATCGCTTAACTCGCCATCCCTCACTCCCTCCTTCCCTCCCTCCGGCTTCGCACAAACCGCCCCCCTCCCAAAAGCCTTTCTCACCACCCATATTCACGACTACTCAGAGGTCACGCCATTTCCCCATAAGAAGCTACAGTCAAGTGTTGCCAAAATTTCAACAAAGCATTTACATGAGCTACAAGACAGACACAAGTAGCCTGGCCACCTGGCTGCTTGAGACCGCCAGCGAATGTTGTTACCAACCACACAGCCTTACCGCGAATGTCCTTTCGTCAACTGAGCAGAGGAACAAATTTAAAGGCCCGGTCGCTCAACAACTACTCTACCCGGACAGCATCCGATTCAGAAATTTGGTCTGTCCCTCGTTCGTTTTCTCTTTAATACCATCGCTCCTATTCTAACCCGCTATTCAGGATATATGTCTACGGCAATATCCCGATTCCGATTCCACCTCCTGATGAACGATCTCATTCACTTGACGAGACATTTGCGAGATTCTCCCCTCGGCATGACATGATGGCTCCCACAGGCTGCTCGCTAGGCCACCGCCGTGGCCCGCCATTTCAAGACGGCGCCTTGAGTTTGTGTTCTACATCAATTCCCGATTACCGTCATTCTTATCAGAGTCCCAGAGACGAGGACACTGCAACCTAACCAACGATGGCGTCCAAGATTCCCCACATCCAGCGACTAAGCGCTGTCGTCGAGATCTCTTTCTGCTTATTTGTTGCCGAAATCTTCACTCAGTTCTTCTCGCAACCCATTCTTATTCTTATTACTATCCTCGGGCTGCTCATTCTTATTACCAACATCTCACCGTTGTCATATTCCCATGCTCATTTCTACCCCCATGCTATCTGTTATCCTTAAGATTGTTTCTATTTCGAATTTCTAATTCTATCTCTTGTCCTATTAACAGTCATCAGGGGCTACCTTCGGCTGGTAAACATTTGATACTGTTTTCAATGTCCAGCGGTATTCACATACATGCTCTCTCTTGGGGCATGACATAGTTTGATAAGTCTAAGTCAGTATGGGTTCCCGTTTCGCCAGATACTACACGGTCAGGGTATAGATCACGAAAGTGCTTAACGTCCTGCCGTGATTTAATCTTCCAGGCTGTAGCTAACATTTTACCATCAAGTCGTTTTCGGGTAGATCACACGAGCATTGATTTCAAGTTGACTTCATGCATCCATCGTATCAACCTTGGAAGTAATTGAATAATTAGAAGTCATAGTATCTAGAGTTCAGTCTTTTATTATTATACATCGGTATATTCAAGTACCTTCCGCGGCCCAGCTCAACAGCGAGCTTCAACTTCATGGAGTTGAGACCTCCGAGTCCGGAATTTTGCTTTTTTATTATCCCATTCCAATGTTCTTCCAACCGTGGTATTAACCTTGGAACCAGATTCATGCATCTAATTCAAAAATCCAGGGTCTTCAAATTCAATAGACCTAGTTATCCAAAATTTATCCCAAGGACGCCAGTCCGAGAAGGCTTTAGGGAAGAGCGACCATGGTTAGTTGATGTTGCCAATGCCCATACTTGCAACTGATCAAATCGGGAAACTACGACGGTAGAAATACTGCCAGTGGTTATTACCTACTTGGGTAGGTAATACTAGTAATACTAGTAGGAAAGGCAGGAGCAACCCTGCAAACATTCCAATATTTTTGTCCAAACTCCTCGTAAACATTCTTCTTCTTCCTTCTCTTCACCCTGCCGATCATTATTCCTTATTCCTTTCCATTTTTCCCGTTTCCTGGTTGATTTCATTTTCAGGAATAGATGACGAGGCCCGTTTTGTTTATTTACTCAACTGACACCGCGCAGGCTATCCGTCGGTGATAGGCCAGGCGAGCTCTTCGGAAGCCTTGTGTGACAAGACTATTATACCGTTGCTCAAAACGCGAGGACTGCGGCCATCTGGGAGGTTCAATGTGCCATCGAATCGAATCTATTCTGCAGGGCAGCCGTGATTGGAACACTCTACCCAGGATTCTGAGGTAGAAATTGCCATCATCTCCACAGGTCGAATTGGTTATCGGGATTGGGCTTTATCGAACAGCAGCTGCGAATAGAAAGCCGTAACGACAATTGTTTTCAGGAAGCCACCTTGAAACCTTTTTGCACGAAGGATGATTACGATGAATTGATCAATAGGTCTCAGAACCAAAATCCGTCACGAGGCGAAGAGATCGTCTTTTGTACCGCTATTACGGCAGACCGTCCGATTCTCAAAAACTTTGCCGCACACTATGTCTTGGTCGATGAAGTAATACAATGTGACCCTCGGACCCTCTCTATGGATAGTTAGACTCTTCATATTCCGAGGATCATCATAATCTTCTTCTCCAGACACCTGTCTCCATACGCTCCTCTCCGCCGAGTAGTCGACAGTTTGGTAGCACGTCCCAAGTGCCAGAAGAAACATCACTGATCCCGATCATGGCCCAGTACTTACGGGGCCTTGAGGTGATCGTCAGCGGTGACATTGCGCAATAACCGCCAGTGGTTATCTGAACGCGAGTGCGAGTGTTCTGAGATTGATGTCTTTGTTCGAGCGTTTGCTTCTTTCTGGGTACTACGGGATGTCGAGACAGACCTGATACGCCTCGGGAAAGACATGTTGCAATGAATGGAATATGAGTCGAACGAAGCGAGCTGCAGGGCCTAGCTGCTCATACAGCAAGATACCTTTTTGCGCAGAGTACGATTGCGCGTGAATAGGCGTTGAGGACGTGTGCCTGCCATGTATAGATAGCTCTCTCTCTCTCTCTCTCATCCATATCACGATCTTGTCCCATATCTGGTCCCTCCCAGTAGCACACCTCCGATAATAGGGAACAGGAATCAATGTGAACGACCACAACCGAGCTGCGGGCCTTGCAGACGCAACATCTCTCGCAATCTCCCGTCGGCGTGTGGCAGCCTTCGACTCGCACGAATATCGCAATGCTGCAACAGAGCCGATTCACAATGTCCTCCTCCACGACGGCCAAGACCCTGAGCTATGTGAGGGCTGGCTAGAAGGGTAATCAAAAGCTTATTCGACACAGTCACTTTATTCGAAACACCGATAATCCACCGGTGGACTGTTCAAACCAGTTCTTCAGAGCACAGTTCCATGTTCACGATCATAATAAGATTGCCTACAGAGGCAGGGAGTTGATCCTCGCTAGTGGGACCGTGGACCTTATTCCTGATATCTTCGGCTTTCAGAATCTCTCAGGAGATAGTACCATGTACGTCGTTTTGCCTGTTCGTCATTTTTTGTCTCATCTGTTCTGCTGAAATTTCATCTGACGCATTACATCCAAGCCTTCGACTTGGTGATGAGTGGCCTCCTTACAATCTCGTTCGCGAGTCAACTGTGGTTTTACGAGTTTCCGATTTGACGTCCAGTGCCTTTAATTAATTGGTGACTACGAAAATCTAGTGCAGTCGGTGTGCATATTGGGGAATGTTTTCTGGCATGCCCGATTGCATCTTGCAATATTTGTCAAACTCTGTTCTGTCTTAGGACACAATTCACATGCACCTCTCTTATAAGACCTTTTAGCACTCAGTTGAAACATAAAATTCAAATTCAAACATCACAACGCCAACCTGAAGTTACTTTAGCCAGCCCTGCTTGGGGGCGGTTACGGAGATTCAAGTTAATTCTTATCCTCATCCTCGGCAGTCGGACTACGGAAACGACTCGGAGACTAGTAGTTTCTTAGCAAAAACTGATTGGCTTTTTTTGCTCCAGTCAGTCAGGGAAGTCTGACAAACCGCTAGATAGCCGATTGATTAGGGGCTTGTAGAAGCCAAGCGTCGCTTCCCCGCAAATTCCCAAGGGAAATGCGGGGTTTCCGTCGGCCAAGTTGACTCCGAGCTCATCGACCATTCGGCCACGAGGAGCTTGCGATCTCGCGATCTCGGATCATGGTTCGAGCACGAAGAAAGTTTGTAAACTCCAGACTCTCGAACGCTCTTTGAAGAGCAAAGAGCACCGAATCTGCCGTTGAAAAAACAACTGTCCGGCGATTTATCCCCGCATATTCGCACGTCATGGCGCCTGCCAGCAAAGCTAAGAGGCCGCAAAGCTCCCATGCCGACCAGAAATCCGTCACAGACACTAGGTGATTTTTTCCACCAACCAAAGATTTAACGCTCAGATGGGCTAATGAAGCAAAATCTAGAAAACTCCGCAATCGAATCTCCCAGCGTGCTTTTCGAGCGCGACAATCCGGGTATATCAAGGAACTTGAGGAAAAGCTTCAACGAGCAGCAAAACCTGATGTCAACATCACTAAACTGGAAGAGGAAAACCAGAGGCTGCGCATTCAGCTTTTGAATTGCCACAAAAAGTTGGAAAGTCTGATTGTGTCGATGAAAACAGTCTCGGCATCTTTGTCTGAAGCGACTGCCATTGAGGTGAGAGAGTGGCCGTGGTTTGGAGGCCAAGAATTTGCTAACCCTGTCTTTCATAGCCTTCCAATAATCAATTGCCCGGGGATAGTAATTTGAGTGATGAATCAAGTTCACCAGGCATTTCTCCACCAGATATCACTATCGCTGGAGACATGGCTGGATGGGAACTGGATAACATCCTGCAATTCCATGAGTGCAGTGTCCCTTCGCAAGACCCCATTACCCTCCACCAAGAGAACTTGGAATCTCACCTCTTGGGCTCAATATTCGATGAATCACAAACGCAGACCCAGATTCAGACAGTAGCCGCAGCACAATGCCAACCGGCTCCACAGGAACTGCTTTTCAACTATCTCCAGACAGTACCTTTGGAGAAGATGATGGGAATTGAACGATACGAAAAACTTACTAGATCCAAACAAGTCATATCTGGCGATGTATGTCTGCCGGTCACAAATTCAGTACTTTCTGATCACATCTCAAACTGGGAAATGTGTCTCAAGCAGAAATGGGGCGCCACCGCACCTTTCTTGAATGGGAGGATGGACTGGTACTTCGCCCTACTTCAGCCCCCCTTTATAGAAACACGAAAAACTCACATTGAAACAGTCTTATCACCTCCGCCTATTTTATGACCTCTGCGTTTATTTGCTTGTCCTGGTCATCAATGACATCCTGGCATACGTATACTAAGGCACATATACCAGTCACGAAAATAACTGCATGGCATATCGACCCAACAATCGAAAGCTATAACAATATGAGCCAGGCCTGGAGGCCAACAAAAATTCAGATTTTGCGGAAGCATCCTGCCGTTATTGATTGGATTCCATGGCCATCGATCCGGGATAAACTGATCACCTATCACGCTGCTAATCCTCTGATTGACAATGTCATTTGCGCCATCGGACATTCATACGTCATGGAAATTGACCTTTCCAAACTTATAGCCAACATCCCTCCTACGCCAGGGTATGTGTCCGTCTGGGATCTCATTCAGGCAATCTCGCCGGAAACATCGAATAAAAATACAAAAGCAAGCAAAGATATCAACTTGAATACTTGGAACGGTTTAATTGGCCCGAGAGTTTCCGCAGATGAAAGTACTCAATTTCAACAGAATGACGAATCTTTCGGGCTGCGTCTTCCTGCCCCCGATACCAATACTTTGTTCGGCTCCCACTCAATGGCCTTGCAGGCTTTCAAGCTGCTAGGCATGGACAAAGGAGCGTCGCTATTTCGTCTAGCCCCAGCCTTCTTTGAAACTCATCCGGAAATGTATGATCATCGAGATAACATCATGGCCAGCGGAGTTCATCTCAAGTCGCCCTACAGCGATACGATGATTTCGCCCCGACCTTTGGATGTTTCGGTTTCAACGCAGTACAAGCAATTATCATCGTGGACTGTAGATCTCCTAGTAGAAGGGACATTGCCTGTGCCTCGATTACATCTGGACAGCGATTGACATATTACCCCAAGCTGGCTAAAAGCGAAGGGAAGATTGAAGAGATAATTTGCCCATCTTAAACACTAAGGAACTCAATCATGGCGTTTTGGATCTCCAAATGAAAATATCACTCTGTTCAATGATTTGACTTGTCAATTTAGTGATTGCATCTACAATTAGAGCGGCTAGCTTCTCTCTATCTTGGAATTAGAAAGATTCTGAAGCTACCGAGTGATTTTCTTTTTCAGATACCCGAAACTGTTTCGAATTATTTCAACTTTGACCCTTGCCTCGGACCACACTATAAACAGCCTCAACTCAAACATTGGTAGTTTTACGGAGCGCGCCAACCGGATTTTTCAACCTTTTGACCATCTGGCCTTCTCGAACATCGCCTTCCACGCCACCCAGCGCTCCAGTCGTGCAAAATCCCAACATGGCTTTGACTTTGTCCGGAAGATCTCTCTCAACATCTTCACGAAGGGAGAGAAAATTGTTCTCTTGTTGGCGAATAAACGACCGCATAAAGAACATTAAGATGACCGGTCTTTCTCCTGTCTGTTGAATATTCGGACCAGTCGCATGCCACAGACGACTCTCAAACACAAGGGCTGTCCCCGCAGGTCCCTGTGCTGCAACCGAGTCTTTCAGGTCAAAGATATCATCAGGCGCGACATGTCCCAGATGGGACCCGGGGTAAACTCGAGTCCCACCATTCTCAGCCGTCACGTCTTCAAGAAACCACATAATATTCAACCCAAATGCAATCTCCCGCACTGGGGGGTTGAATTGCAACCTGATCAGTGTGTAGTTGCATGGGAACGTTCCCAGGTCGAGCGATATTGGCGCTATAGCTATGTATTAAGGCGTGCTCTCCGAGGAAATCCGGGACAATCTCATCAATAAGCGGGTGTTGAAGGAGATCTATAAACTCTTGCCCCTTGTTGATGAGCGTCCATATACGCTGGTTTGGTGCATTTGGTCCGCCATCTTTCGCCGCGACGCCTGCCGCGACCTCCCCTGCTGCTTGCTCCAGTACGGCCTTTTTGAGGGTTGCGATTTGCTCCGGCGCAAGTGCATCTTTGACAAGGCCGTAGCCGAATTCCGCGATATCGGCTCTCACACGATCGAGATCCTCCGTTGGTGTTGGAAGACTTGCGACGGGAAGCACTTTGGGAGGAACTGGACTGATGGGGCATAATAAATCTCCAAATTTTATGGCGACGCAGATGTCGCCTTTGGGCATACTTGCTTCATGGAAAAATGCATCTTTGAACAAGGCATATCGTGGCTCGAGCTTTCCTTGTGAGAACTGAATCAAGTATTCTGGTTTGGTTTGAAAGCGGCAGTCTGGCTCTTCGGTTGTCTCAAGTAGCAAAACTGGCGGAGTTTGACGAGCATCCACCAAAATGTCTTCCTCTTTCCCAAGATTTATCATCAACAGGGCGTTGAGGATCCTCATCGATGGAAGCTTCTCCTTGATGAGCGCAACCGCACGTCGATAATTGTCTTCTGACTTGTCCTTGCCGTATTTTTGCGTCATCGTCATGGTGACTTTAGCACTTCATATGGAAACAATGACTCTTTGGAGATTCCTTAGACCGTACCCTCGTGGGTATTCTTTCCTTAAAGAACTTTGCAAATGTGAGAAAATGGATATATTGGCTGACCCTCGAGGGCACCCATAATTTGGCTCTTGTACTGTTAGTCAGACTTTTCCTCCTAACGACATTCATTTGCTGAAACCCCTCATATGCACACTCCATGCAGCAAAATGAACTAGGAATCCTTTGACAAGGGCCAGCTCAAATGTTGAGGCGGGGTTCTAGCTATTGTTTCCCTAACCCGCTTAGTGATTTCAATCCCATTGAAGCCGACATCTTCGCCCAGAGTTGCAGATGGTAAATCTTCCATATCCTTATAACCGCAAGTTCTTATCACACTTGACTCTGCTGAGTCTCAGTCTCAAATAATCTTTTTTTTAATTCTTTATTAATCAAACAAGAACATGGCTATTCCTACGAAGACGCTTAATCCAGAAACCCTAGCCACGGCCCAAACAAGTCTTGATGAAAATGGATTTTTCATCGTTCCAAATGTCCTCGACGAGAAAACTATCAATTTCGTGCTTGATCGGCTTTGGGCTGCAGCCGAAGAAAACAAGAGACGCGGCGCAGAATTGTTCATGCCAGCATTAGATCCAAACAGTTCCAACGTCCGCGTTTTCTATCTCATGGAGTTGGACTCTGTTTTCCGAGAATTGATTCAGCACCCGGCAGCTCTCGAAATCGCCAAACTAGTCATCGGACCAAAGCTACTCGTCTCCAATTTTACCGCCAATATCGCCAAGCCTGGCTCCGGCTCAATGGCTCTCCATTCCGACCAGTCTCTCGTCGTTCCAGATCCGTGGGAGAAGCCTTGGGCTGTGAATATTGTTTGGTGTTTGTCTGATGTCTATTTCGAGAACGGGGCGACTTTATTCATACCCGGCAGCCACAAGTGGATACGGAAGGATGAGGTACCGAATAATGCAAATGAAATGCTGAAGCCGTTTGTCGCGAAGGCTGGGTCTATCATTGCTATGGACGCGCGTGTTTGGCATACTTCGGGTGCGAATATTACGAAGGATCAGGAGCGTGCGCTGCTCTTTGGGTATTACACTGTTCCTTTCTTGCGCCAGCAGGTCAATTGGACAGCGGCTTTGTCGCCGGGGATTCAAGATTCTCTGAGCACCGATATGCGGGAGCTACTAGGGTTGAATATCACGGCCAATTCAGGGTCTGCGTCCAACGTCGGCACTGGGCTAGAGGAATACGAGGCTAAGAAGATCGATGTATAGGTGAAGGGCGTTTCAAGCTAGGTTGATTGATTCTGAAATGATTAATTTATTTTACTTAAAACTCTCGATGGCGAAACCCATCTACTCAGTAGTACTAGGTACGGACATTGACCGAGCTGGGATCAAGATCATGATTACTAGTAGTTGATTCTCTTCGCTACCTGTTAGTGGGGAGACGATTTTGATTGTTATTTAGAAAACTTCGAGAGATTGCTCCGTACTTGTGTTCAGCTCTCCTACTAATACCCACTACTGTCTATGCTGTTGAAATACTCATGATTACCTCGATAGGTACTTCGGTAGCCTTTGAGTCCTTCTTCTGCTCCTGCCAAAATCGGAACTTTAAGGCATCACATGCACGCGTTCCTTCCACAGGAACAGTTAACAACAACAATAATCAGGAAGTGCTACCCCCGCTCGACGTGGCAGATTTCCCATCCGAGCACAGGACGAAGCCTGCGTCATCCCCATCACCATAATGAATGCAAAGCATGGAGCAGTTTTCGAGCCTTCAAGATAGACGCTTTCCATGACAACAAGGCGGACACCGTTATTTTCGATTATGTGCGTACCGGGGACGTGCACGGTTTCAAGGGTGATTTCCGCCATTTGAACGTTGCATGCAGCCGTGGTATATTGGGTTTCTACCTTGTCGCTCGTGCTCCTATCTTGAAAATAAGGGAGGGATTCGGTCAAAATTCTCCTTCAAATGTATTCGGGGGCTTCAAATCTTGAAAGGCGATGGTTAAACTGCGCAAACCGGCTTCTGGCACTGCGGAAACAACTGAACGTTCCTCTTCCTCTCCTCCGTTTCCAAGGGTTTCACCCACCCTCCGCCAGACCTGAACCCTAGGGCGTGCCCCAGCAGCGATATCGAAGATGACGATACTCACTTTGGCCAAATCGACGACCCTGCCGTCCCCTGTCTTATTCATAGTCACATTTCTCATACTCGACTAACAGATAGCAGATCAATAAAAGTTACCTTATCCAAGTTACCTTCAATTTATCCACTATTCAGCTCCGCTACTGGTTTAGTACTTGGTAGGTATATACTAGTTTGAACTAGAGTAGGTACTAGTAGTATCCTAGAAGCTTGAAGGAGGACAGCTCTTCAGAACCTTCAAGTTCAAGTTGGAAGTCTTTAAAACCTCCAGGGATAGTAGTACTGCCCTGCCGGAGCAGACACTTCAACCTTGAACTTAAAACTTCTGCAAACGACGAATAGATTGTGCGAGGGGAATGCCATGGAATATTCAAAATTTGGGCCCTGAGGTTTACTATCATTTCTAGGGTGGAGCGCTCACTCACACAATTTCCGGAGTAAACGCACACGATTCGCGTATTCTGGATAGCTGAAGTTTAAAAATGTTTGAAGTCTGTCTATTAGTTCAATACTCAACCACTAATTCGAATTGTTTTCTGTCATTGAAGCTTCAAATAAACGGCTGAGGCTGAAAGTGCCGTGGCCTTGGGATTTGGTGTGGGGAGTGAGGTTGTTCGGGGAAGATCGGAGGCACGCCAGCCTTGCAAAATCTGCCATTGTCATTGACATTGCCATTTTTGTATTGAGGGCGAAAAGGGGAGAATCGAACATTAAATAGAATCAATTGAACTGGTAGTAGTAAGTTCAACTTCCAAGGTTTAATCGAAAGCTAGAAAGAGCTATCATTATAATTGCCCGGAACAAGTAGAAAGCACAGTGGTACGATGCGGTGCTTGAATCTACTTCTGCCCCCTTCCACCAGGAAGCAATGCTGACCATCGAGGTATTAAGGAAAGCCATAAACCCCGTAGCAAGTAGATATAAGGCTAGAATAAAGCACTGATCCGAATAAACTACCCTCAACCTCGGGTGGATAAAACAAACCCCGTTCACCTACCCGTGGATCGAAATGAAAAACAACCTACTCCGTACTTCACACTATCATCAAACATCACGCGATCTAATCAGCCGGTATGCTCCGCCCCAATAGCTTCAAAAATGACCATAAACGAGGACCGTTCGGACGCGGAATCGGACAAGGTCCCATGACCTCGGGACAGTCGGAGGGCAGAGCCGGAGAGTCGGGACACAAGTACGGAGCACAAAGCTCCTAACCACTAGTACTAGCGCAAAGGAAGCCAGGAATGGAGTCTGCGGAGAAGAAGAAAGGAACAACTGAAAAGATCGGAAGAGATCATATCCTCCCCGGGCTAGTGTCGATCGGGCCTTTTCGTCATGCAGATCAGGGCGGGAGGCGTCATTGCGTTCCAGAGCTGGGCTGGCGGTTGGACCTCGGCAAAGCGAAAATGGCAAGGGTATCGGCATTGGGTGAGTCAGGATCAGATTAGGATCATATGCTAAGATGGGGAATGATGATTGAGAATGTTAAAACATTATGACGTAGGATTTACTGGGATCGGAAATTGGTTGGATCTGTCAATGGTGCTGGCAATAGCGGTAGCACGGTGGATTCTGGTAAAAAAGAAGAGAAAGATATTACATCGCAACGCTAGATCAGGGCAACAAAAACAACCCGATATAAGGAAATAAAAATAGTAGAAAGGGAAAGGTAGTGCAAATCGCACTGCAAAGGAATAAGTTCGTCATGGAGAGGCCGTCACAAAAGCGCACACGCTTCACATCTTACTTCCTGATCTCCTTTGGACCAAAGGCATCATCCAGGAAACCGGCCCAGAGTTCTGAAACAACACCAGGCTGAGCGGGACCGCCATTGCGGCTGCGTTGGATTTCCTCGCCGACGCGCGAGCGGCCGACAGCCTCGGTCAGGGAGAATGGGTCGATGTCAACGGCGACGTTGTCAACAACCTCGGACATGGCGCTGGCGGCGACGTCAGCGCCGGAACCTGCGACAGTGTAGATCTGGGGCTTCATGGGTGAATGGGTGGAGATTGTGGACGGCTGTTGGATGGAGTGCATGTCGGGAAGGACCGGAATTTGGGGAGATGAGCGACGGATCGTCGTGGCGTCCATCTCGGACATTGTGGGCATGTAGACGAAGTCGACGGTGGAGGAGTCGCCGACAGCTGATGAGGAGCGGGAGGTGTTGAATTGGCGGGTTCTAATGATTTGTTAGAGTGTGTTCTTCTTTGTATGACTTGATGGAACTGGGGGTAAGACATACTCTGGGGCAGCGAAGGCATTGGGGTTGATGCGGCGCATGGCGATGCTGAAAGCGCGGGTCTGGAGGATGTCATGGTTGGAGAGGCGTTCGATGAGCTGAGAATGTTAGATCAGATGTATATAGTGATATAGATAATGTGCGGCTTACCTCGGACTTGCTGCCAGCAGCACGGATCGAGCGGCGTTGGCACTCAAGCTTCAGGTCAGGCAGGGTGCGAGCAGCGTAGAGAGAGGCCTTGTCGGCCGGGTTGGCGGGTTGAGCGGACTGGACTCCGGTGATGTGCAGGCCACGGCGGGCAGGGAGAGCAGAGTGCTGGCTAGAAAGCTGGCGTAGGGCACGCAGAGAGGTTGAACGAGGAGCAGCCATGATGTGATAGGTGTATATGTGAAGTTTGGAGATGGAGGTAATGGTAGTGGTAGGTATGGATGGCGGTGGTGGAAGGTAGAGGGGAGTGGGAGAGGGGAGGGTAGAAAGGAGCCGGAAGGGGAGAAAGGATAACAGAGGGATTTATAGGATGGAGGGGACGAGTCGGAGTACAGTGAGTACAGCGTAGAGAGGATAGCAAGTACAGGGAGTACTCTGTACTTCGGAGCACCTTGGGAATGGTTGGGGAAAGCTATGGAGAATCCACTCTTGGCGGTCTAGCCTACGATCAGTGGGTATCCTCCTAACTACAGAGTATGGTCCTATGGTAACTACAGAGGGAGTCTTGACGTGGACTATCTGTTATCTTTACTCTTTACAACTGTTGATAATGGAATAAGGATAATAAGTAGTGATAGAGTAAGTAGTGATGTAAATGATATATACTCTCGATGCTACACTCCTCAGTATATTCTATAATTACTCAGTACTGTAAGTACCGGTACTTGATACCCACAGTGCGGGACACCATTTACCCTGTACCCGCCAGCACACTGCAGTACCGGTACTTCCCCTACGCTGTACACTACTGTATGTACCTACTGTACCCTACACTTCCCTCTTGTGTCGGAGTCTTCCATACCCTCCGAGATCGACCTTCCCCTCCCCACCTCCCCCCATTATTGGCCCATATCGACCCATCCTCCCACTTCCTGCACAATGCAGTCATGGGAATCTGTCCAGGGAATCTTCGCCCACCAACAAGCTGTCACCATCCTCAATTCCTTGCCGCTGACTGGTTCCCGCCAAACAAGCATCCCGTCCTTCTCCTCACCCTCTTCTCACCGGTTCCTATCTCAAGTGAATCCAGATGAGATGGATCACCTCAGCCTGGCCTGATGGCAGCCTACCACAAAAATTAGGACGCCCCCGTGCGGAGCGATCGCCCTCAACGCTCTAGACGGGGTGACGTGGATCATCTGCTCAGATCGGGTCCCATGACTCTCCCCTTTCCCTTTCCCCTTTCCCCTTTCCGGCGGTGAAACTGAGACCAAGAAGGTACGTACCTACTGACGATGCCCCCCTCCACGGAGAACAAACGGCCACCACCCCGATTGGTTTGGCACTCGCTTTGTCTGCCCGATATCCACGGTCGTAGATGGTATGCGTGGTACAGAGTACTCCGTGGTACATGCCAATGCCAGTTGCTTAATTCTACCCCTTCCCGCCAAACCCCGCTGTCTGGGATTGGGCATGTTACCCTGACTTACTTATGTGCTACATGACGATCACCCGTGGCGCAGTTCATAAGGGATTCTGATTCTTTTCATCGTGATTGTAGCTATCGGCTTGGCTCTAGCTTGGCGGGTTAATATTCAGACTCAGACTCAGATTCCTACCCCTGCATTGAGTTGGACTCTTGGCACAGGGGTGGATCACCCTGGCGATCTTTTGTTGAGATACGGATACCTTATTCCTTTCTCGGGTCGATGAGGTTGATCAGATCAATTCTCATTTGTCTACATCATAATCCGTAGTAGCTCGGAAGCTTTAGACTATGAACTCATTCGATGATTGGCAGATTTTCTCTATCTGATTGCTAGTGTATACTGCCATAGTAAACCGGATCTACAGAGTACTGGTATCTCAACCAAGAGCCCACTATACATCGCACTATACAAATATTGACTGACTTATAGCTTGGCGCCCCGTCGCCCCTTTGCGACCCCCCGAGCATACGGGTGCGAGGCCGTGGCAGGCACTAAGTGATCGACATCTCCCGTGTGCAACAGATCCGGCGAAGCCTGATCTAACGAGGTGATACCGATATTCCGCATCGCCGTCTCCAATTCATCTTGCATGACTATGAGTAGAACCAGTTAGCAGCCATCGTGTAAGGGAAAAGGTGTAAAGGAAACCCACTATCAACCAAATGCTCAACACCCTCCTTCCCATAATTCGTCGCAAAAAGCATACTCCTCCCCATTCCCACAGCCGTCGCCCCAAGACAAACCGCCTTGAGAATATCCGTCCCCCGCCGAATCCCACTATCAACATAAACCTCCATCCTCTCAAACACCTCCGGACAGCGCCTCTGAATCTCCAACAATGTAATAATCGACGGCGGACTCGTATCCAGATTCCGTCCACCATGGTTACTCAGTAGAATCCCGTCCAGGCCCGCGTCCATCGCCATCCGCGCATCATCAGCACTCATAACGCCCTTCAAACAAACCGGCTTGTGCGTATGCTGCCGCACCCATTTCAGATCTTCCCATGTTAATCCTGGATCGATGAATCCGGCCATTACTCTGCCGAGCCCGCCGCCCTTTTTGTCGTTCTGCGCTTTCGAAGGCGACATCGGGACGGAGAGGCTCTCGTCTGCTTTCACGCGCTCGTCCGCTTCACGCTTGCCGGGCCAGGCAGCGTCAACGGTAACAAAGATCGCTTTGATGTTCGGGTTTGCGGAGCATTGGCGGAGGAGGGCGGCGGACTTTTCGCGATCGCGATTGACGTACAGTTGGAAGAAGAAATCTGCGGATGGGGCGGCGGCGCGGAGTTCGTCCACGGTGTAGGAGGAATTATTTGAGATCTGCAGCAGTGTTAGTATGAAGATACAGGGGTTTACCCATCTCCCTTATATCGCGGGTTGGACATGGGGAAGGAAGTGAAACGTACGCCTTGCATAATGCCTTTGCTCTCGCAAGCCTGTGCAATCGCGCACTCGCCGTCCGGGTGGATTAACTTCGCCATTGCCGCCGGACTAACGAAGAGGGGGAGCTTATAGTCGCGGCCTAGCATTTTTGTGCGCGTATCGACTGCGCGGACATTGCGTAGGACCCGTGGTCGAAACCAGATCCGGTCGAAGCAGGTTTTATTGGCTTCGCGTGTGATTAGATCTGTTGCGGCGCTGGAGTAGAAGGCCCAGGTTTTGCTGTTGGCGGTTTTGGATGCGACGGCTTCGAAGTCGTGCGAGTTTATCAGCGTGCCTAGTGGGGGTTTCTCGTTTTCTGCGAGTGGTTTGGCTGCTGCTGCTGCTGCTGCTGGCTTGGCCCATTCGGCGTCGATTGTGGACTCGTCAAGGACGCCTTTGAATTTGTCTGCTTGGAGGTTGGTTTTCATGACGCTGGGGGCGTGGACTTCTGAATAGGCTTCTGTTGCGTCATTGCCGGCGTACTTGAGGATGACTATCGCGGCAGTATGTGAGCTTGGAGATCGCTAGTTGCAGTTGACTGGGGGGGCTATTCATACTGGTTGATCCACCGGGATGTTCTTCTAGGAAGTCTGTGACATCCCACACCTGCTTGTCAACAACGAGCCAGCAATCATCTGGCGAGTTATGCGTCGAAATCTGTTGTGTCGAGAGGAGTTTCTGATCGGCCATAGTGTAGAGGGTAGCTAGCCGCGACCGAGCAGACAGTGACGAGATATGTGAATGAAGCAGACGTGTGATGACGGTAGAAGGTAAAATTGACCTGCCAGAGATATCTAAATACTCAGCAAGGGCCCTTATCACGGTGGTTCTCCGTGTAGCGACCAGTTGTCTCCACCACGGCAATGTCCCCGGCTTACCCCGGACTGCTGGATTGGGCCTAAAAATCGCAATGGTTCGGGCCAAGTTGTACCGAATGTTTTTGTCAGTGGTTGATATGATTGGCCAACGTCAAAAGGTTCACAGTCCATGCGGTTTCTTTCATGCTTCTGTGCAGCTTCCATACTAAAACATCGCATGTTGATTGAATCTCAGCCCACAGAGAGGGCCACAGGCCAGCCAGGGCCAATTCCTGGCAATTCATTCTGCCTATCGCGTCCACTTTCCCTGCAGCATATCAAGTCGATCATCGTCGGTATGAGCTGTAAAATGGGTGTCCTTCAAACCCTCAGACCCTGAAGCGGTCCAAACGTCGGGGTAGCCCCGATGACATCGCGGATTTCTCTCCGGGTTTCTGTGATTGATTAGTCATCCACCCACTTGGGTGCAAATTACTGCGCCACAACCTTTCTGTTCCTGTGGCTGAAATCACCTGAGTCAACAAAATCAGCCTTCGACATTGCCAGCCCTGCGCAATTTCATAGATCAGCACAGTCGGCCATCCTAGTACTCAATTATCATCCTATGCACATTCTCCCTACTGGACGCAGTGCCTCGACAATTTTGGGCCACATCGGTACATCCATTGGACGAACAACAGGATTTATTCACAACTCTTCAGGTATGTCACCAATGCGCCTAATAAGGCATAGCGGAGATGAACCACTTGGCTAACCATTATGCCCTAGCTCCTGCCCAAAGCTACAAGTTCATTTGCAGGTCACAGACTCAAGCAACTCGATTTCGTGCTGCTGCTGCATTCTCCACCTTTGCACCCAGACACTCGCTAGCAAGAATGAGCGAGTCAGAGACGAGCAAACCACTCCGTTATGTCGATGTATGTGCTCTCGATAATCCCACTGGAACTTGACAAAGCACACTCGCTAAACCAAACATACAGATTGGCATCAACCTAAGTGACCCGATGTTCCAGGGCCACTACCACGGCAAACAGGCACACGAGGGCGATCTGGACGATGTCATCCAGCGCGCCAAGGACGTCGGATGCGAAAAGTTTATGGTAACAGGCTCAGACCTAGAAGAGTCCCAAACAGCCATTCAAATTGCTCGAGACCACCGTCAGTCTCCCCTTCCCATTCTCCATCAGTAACCCACCCCCAACTAACCCATCCGACAGCCGGATTCTGCTACGCCACTGTCGGCGTCCACCCCTGCCAAGCAAACCTCTTCGACAAACACCCCGGCGGCCCAGAAGCAATGATCGCCGAACTGCGTAAACTAGCCACCGAAGCCAAAGAAGCTGGATTGGCCGTTGCATTTGGGGAAATCGGCCTCGACTACGACAGACTATTCCACAGCGCCAAGGAACCACAGCTCAAATACTTCGAAGCCCAGCTCGACCTCGCAGTCGAGATTCAAATGCCCTTGTTCCTTCACTCCCGCGCCGCGAGCGAGGACTTCGAGCGTCTGCTCGCATCACGATTGCCCCAACTGCCGAGGGGTGGTCTGGTGCATAGTTTCACCGGGACGATGGAGGAGATGCAAAGGCTTGTTGCGCTGGGTGTGGATATCGGTGTTAACGGGTGCAGTATGAAGACGGAGGAGAATTTGGAGGTCGTTAAGGCTGTTCCGTTGGAGAGGCTTCAAATTGAGACGGATGGTCCTTGGGTATGTGTGCCGCATTCCGCCCGGGCCTGTCTTTAACTTTGTTTTCTTTTGATCATGGCTAACCATACCCGTTAAATAGTGTGAGATTCGGCCCTCGCATGCCTCAGCTAAGTTCTTGCCTGGCGCCCCGGAGTTGCCGAAGTCCTTTAAGAAGGAGAAGTGGCAGAAGGGGTTCATGGTTAAGGGGAGGAATGAGCCTGTTGCTATTGCTCGGGTTGCGCATGTCATTGCGCAGGTGAAGGGCATCACTGTGGAGGAGGTCTGTGAAGCGTAAGTCTTTGGATTTGACAAATAATATGGTAAATGAATAGAATGTGTGCTAACTTCGGCTTCTTTTTAGGGCTTGGAATAACTCTACAAAGATGTTTGGTCTTGGGATTCAGTCTTAAGGAAGGTGTTGAGCCTGCTCTACCTTTCAACAGTCAAGCGTTTGGCCTAGAATATATCCAACTGCGAGGGGAGATGGACTATCCGAGTCCCTTATGACAGTCACGAATGCAAAATACATAGAATTTTCATATACCACATGAAGTGTCTGTCTCGGAACTGCCCATCAAAGCGACTTACAAAATACTACTCAGTACAATATTCAAGCATCTAGAAATCAAAAAGCAGATCGAATCCATCTTTATCAACTTGAACATCATCATCTTCGTCGGGCAGTAACATACCAGAAGAACTGGATGGAGACTGTGGGGACTGTAAATTTTCGCAAGGTGAGAAGAGACTGTCTGCAACAGTTGGATCCCAGTCGGAAACGTATTCGAAGAAGCTCGCCACATCGTTTATATCATTACAATCTTCGCCAATCCAGTCGACAGACCAATCGGCGGCTTCTTGTGAGTAAATGGTTGACTGGCTAAGGTCGTTATAAGTATTAGATTCAAGTAGTTCGTCGTTGGAAAAAGTGTCGTGTTCGAGTAGCATATTTAATCCCGCGTCGACAGTTGCACTCGGCGACGTCGATTCAGAGACATCAAAGAAAGAAGACGCCTTCATGGGATTTTTGATTCCACGGAGCTGTGTTTGTGCGATGCACCACAACGATGATTGAATGGCGTGGCTCAGTTTTCTTTGACCAGGCAAGCTGGCTGTGATATTCGGAACCGAATCACCGACGCTCTGTAACAGATTCCCTGCCATGTGCCTTAATTCCGAATTCTGACTGCCCTTCACCATCGAGGTTATTGCTTTTGATATTATTGGTATTGATACTGCTCGCTGCTCCATGGCCTGATTGGGGTTAGCCATCAACCCTAGTATATCATGCGGAGGAGAACTTGAACCTGACCTGGCGGTAAAGTGGGTTGAAAATGGCCGGTGTCAACCCAGACATATTTTCCAGAGATTCCGATGCTTGAGCTGAGTCCGACTGAGAGACTCTCGATAGAGGTGCTAGCACTAATTTCCGAAGAGACTTGTCGAGTAGCCGGTATGAAACTGAAAAATAATTTGCGGCATCATCTTCAAGTTTTTCTGATGGGTAGTGTTGGACAAGGTCAAGGAAATTCGTGAATTGCCAGTGGTCTGCAACTTGAATTTCGGCATTTTCTCCGAATCCGCCGTCCCGGTGTGCCACTGGCAGTGGAGGATATATATTTGGCGGCGTGTAGTAGTATATAAAATCCTGCTCCAAACTCTGCAACAAATCACCCGAGTTCAATTTTATAATCTCATCCACCTCCATTTTAATTTCCGGATAGGCTGGCAAGCTGTACTCCAGATATATGTCCAGCGCTGCGAGAAGTATCTCGGGATATTTGGTTGGCGGATGAGCCCCGGGGGGGGTTTCTCAAAATCGACGGTACCCTTCGACTGCTGACCTGGTGGTGGGGGTGCGTTTCCTCTGCACATTCCAAATATGAGGCAGCTTATGCGAGAGCCATTGGTGTTCTTGAAGGTTTCGCAGCTCTTGAAGACGATTGTGGAGCCAAGATCTGACCAAACCTAGACTCGGGGTCAAAATCAACATAGTCCTGCCTGAGTTCACAACGTGGGTAAGGAGCTCACCTTCGAACTGCACATCTTTTCTGCCAGGCTTGAGACAAGGTTTGACAGAGTCCTGTCCAGTCGTGGGTTGATATCGAAATGAAGTCGGAGTTCGAGTTCCGGTGCTTCTGTGACCCAGGAGGAGAAAAGATGAAGCAATTGAATATCCTCGATCTGTGGAATCTGGGTTGAGTAATTGATCGGCAATTTGAAGTCACCAGTAGCTGTGAGTTGAAGCTTCAAAGGGGAGTCGGCTGTCTGGAAGTGAGCCTGACCCAAGTCGACTTGATGCGACGTGGTGGAGAAGGTCGCCATCCCGGAAATTGATGTAAGCTGACAAGAATTGGGATTATACAAAAAGGAGCACCAATATGGTGGAATTGTCCCCGGGCTGAGAGAGTGCAATGGGATGCCCAGGTGAGTTGTGCCAAGCTCCGTCTGAGGCAGCGAAGGCACATGATCCTCCAACTTGAAGTATAGCTAAGTACATTTCAAGTTGTCTGTATCGAATTTTCTACTTCTGCTATCAATTCGTACTCTTTCTTGGCATTGGGTCTCTATTGAAAAAGCACAATCCAGTGTATTTGTTTTGAGCTATCTTTTTAGAACATGGGATCTATACCTAGTTCTAGGTACATGGAGGAGCCCCATATTAACTACTGGGCCCTGAGCAGCCGTTGTTAGTCTCCACAAAGAGCACACACGTCATCAATTGGACCGGCTGGAGGAAACAAAAAACCACATTTTTGAGTGTTATTAAACAGCAGCTCGTATTTGTCAAATAATGATTACTGAAGTCCACTTCTCCATTTTCCATTCCCATTCCCCATACATTCCAATCGTTATCAACAAAGACCTCTTATCAGTCACGTGCAACGGAGCAGGTGGCCTCAAAGGACCGCGCGACTTTCCTCGTAAACATCACAGCCAACAATGCCCAGGGATGAGGGAGGTAATGACCTCTTATCTGGTCAAGATGATGATCACTCACACGAATCGCAAAACCTCCTGTCCAGCCCACACGAAGAAGCCGACGATCTTATAGTTCACCCCGGATCAGCGAACTCACCCCCGGCCCCCGCGGAGAGCCCAACGCATGGAAAGCGCCAATCGTCAATATCACACCCTCCACCCGATGGACAGCGTCGCACACCGCGTACCCTCAACCGTGTTCGATTCGATATAGACGAGGAGAGCGGCGAAGATGACCTCCTGTCCAATGGCGCGCCTCGCAGTCCGGACGACGCGCGATGGCTTGATGAAGAGGACTACGAGCTTGGTGAACCCGGTGAAGAGGGCGGAAGAAGGAACACAGGGCAGAGCATTCCTTTACTCACCGATATCGAAGCCCCGAGCGTGACGCTTGCAACATCGGACGATTTCTTTCCCGAAGATCACCTTGAACAGGCGCGGCCGCGCAGCGGCATGAAAATGGCGTTTATGAATATGGCCAACAGCATCATCGGGGCGGGGATTATCGGTCAACCTTACGCCTTGCGCCAAGCGGGGTTGGTAACGGGAATTCTGCTGTTGACAGTATTGACTGTCACGGTGGACTGGACTATCCGCCTGATCGTCATCAACTCAAAAATGAGTGGGGCCGACTCGTTCCAAGCTACCATGCAATACTGTTTTGGGAAAAGTGGACTTATCGCGATTTCGGTTGCCCAGTGGGCTTTTGCTTTCGGCGGCATGGTTGCGTTCTGTATTATTGTCGGCGATACGATACCCCATGTCCTGGGCGCTCTTTTCCCGTCGCTTCGAGATATGGCGTTTCTCTGGCTGCTTACGGATCGGCGAGCGGTGATTGTGCTTTTTGTTCTGGCTGTCTCTTACCCGCTGTCCTTGTATCGGGATATTGCGAAGGTGAGTCCATTGGAAGAGGTTTTTTACAGCCATCCCGTGCAGGCGCTGACTGGGTTATAGTTGGCTAAAGCATCCGCACTTGCATTGGTCAGTATGGTTGTTATTGTTGTCACGGTCCTCACGCAAGGTTTCCGTGTCCCGGCGGAGTCGCGGGGGGAAGTGAAGAGTCATCTTATCATCAACTCCGGGTTCTTCCAGGCAGTTGGCGTGATATCATTCGGTTAGTATACCCACGAATTAGCCCACGGAAAATTGACGTCTTTCGGATATGCTACTAACCTTCAATAGCCTTTGTTTGCCGTATGTTACTTTTGATGCGCCTTGCTTATAACTCGAGCTAACACCTTCTAGATCATAACAGCCTTTTGATCTATGGATCCTTGAAGAGGCCCACCCTCGACCGCTTTGCAACAGTGACCCATTACTCCACTGGCGTATCGCTGGTGATGTGCCTGGCCATGGGCATCGCGGGATTTCTTTTCTTTGGCTCCAAGACACAGGGCAATGTCCTGAACAATTTCCCATCGGGAAATATCCTGGTCAACATTGCTCGATTGTACGCTGCTCGTCTACCCCTCGTTCCTGGCGACCATTCTAATTTAAACTACAGTTGCTTCGGCCTGAATATGCTCACAACCCTCCCACTGGAGGCCTTTGTCTGCCGATCCGTCATGACCACCTATTACTTTCCCGACGAACCATTCAACCCAAATCGACACTTGATCTTCACGACCTCGTTGGTAGTTACTTCTATGGTGCTGGCGCTTGTTACCTGCGATTTGGGGATGGTCTTCGAACTTATTGGAGCCACGAGTGCCGCTGCTCTAGCTTACATATTCCCTCCCCTGTGTTATATCAAGCTCAGCAGTGCCAGTCGCCGAGAAAAGATCCCAGCCTATGCGTGCGTTGGATTTGGAGTCATTGTCATGGGGGTATCCGTCGTACAGGCCGTTACAAAGGCCATTACGAGTAAGTACTCCGCTAATCCTCACTTTATTGTTTTGCCACTACGTCTTTTATGTTTCGTTGTCTCCACCATACCTCACTGTCTTTGGTTTCCCTTTTGTTCCCTCCTCTTATCTAGTATCTCTTGACTAATCATTTTCTAGATGAAGGAGGGGGGGTCTACTTGCGGCGTCTCATAAATGGCATTTACCCTCGCGATATTTGCGTCCCATAGATTTCGACCCTCAGAACGGGTCCCTGTACATAACTTTCCTAGGCAGCATACCGAAATGAACATACAAAATCACCAATTTGAATACAACCCACTCATCTGGATCGATTCTCGAGCCTCTATGTGGTAATAGGAACAGTACATAGCCCATCCCATGGTCGGCTTACAGTATCTCCCATGAAAGGAGCTTGCTGGAACCTGTTCCGCCGACAATTAGTCACAGGCAATCGTACCTCAACTAATATTTATTTTGTTTTTCGCATTAACTCCTCCATTCCACCCTATTCCATCCCAATTCCACCCAATCAATTGTAGTGGCCTGAGGAGTGACCGAGTAGCCCGTGTTCCTCCACTGCGGCACCTTCCTTCACTCTGCCACTTCACTCTTCCACCCCCTTCTCTCTTCCTCACACTCTCTCGTCAAACCTCACCCTCTCTTGTCTCTCTGGTTTATTTTCATCAGCCCATCTCCTCCTCTGGATATTCCCAATTACCTCAGTGCCGTGGACTTTGCGAGGTGCGCCGTCGTTCTGCGAATCACCCACTGGAGCCCACTCCACTGTATACTTCCTCCTTGCACCTCACTCTCACTTTCAGTCTCTTCTGGGCAGCTCTATGAGCTGGAACTCGCTCCTTCAACCAGTCAGCGAATCTGTCTCTCCCACTCAGCCACCCCTCGACTTTGTGGATCGTTATCAACGCCAAAATGGAATCCACCATGAACCGTGAAACACAAGAACGCATGAAAGCTCTGCAGATGGTAAGAATCCTCTCAATTGCGTGGCCATCCTCTCCGAATCAGTGAGCTGACAGCGTGGACAGTCTGACTTGGGATCTGAACGCCGTGAGTTTATCTCGACGCGTGAGGACAAACGTTACGGACAGCAATATTCATGCGAAGAGCTCGAGGCATTTCGAGCATTTCGCAAGCCAAAAACCGCCTCAGGACGTCAGGCCCAGGCTCATCAGCCTGCACTAACCGCTTGGTCTAGTTCGTTTTGCATTTCCCCCCAGTTCCTCAATCTTGTTTGCTGATTTTTCGGTGTTCCACAGGCCTCGCTCAGAAGGTGAATGACACCGATAGTCTCGAAAGGCTGGACCCTCTCATGCACGGCCAAAGCCACCGAGCCCGACTCATGGAGAAGATTCAAGAGCAAGGCGGCCAGCAATATGGTGAAGGGTACGGCAAAAACAGCCAATCGAAGCCAGAAAATCATCATCCATTCTCCCCTGTCTCGTCTGGCCGGGGAGGTGGCATTATTGGAACGCGCGGTCGAGGACGGTAAGCTTCTATTTTCCACCTGGACTGACTGAATCTTATTGCTGACTAGAACCAGTGGTATTGGGCCTCGTGGAGCTCCTGGTCCAATCGCTATGCGCTCGCACTCTGTGGTACTGCCAGCTGGACATGCGTTGACTAGACAGGACCCGGCGCTGGACTCGAATAATGGTGGACCCGTCACACTGGAGAAAAATCACCGCGGTGCGCGCGGTCGAGGTCCAAGTAAGCTAGCCTCAATTCCGCCTGTATGGGGCATTTATTGACCACAACACAGGGGGCCAACCTACGAGGCCTACTCCACGACTCCGACGGGCGGCAGCTATGTAAGTATTAAGGCGTACTTTCATATTCTTCTCCTCTTTATAGCGATCACTTACATGTATCTGAACAGGGAGGATTATTCAAAAAACCTGGTATCCAGCGCTGAATTCATGAAAACTGCTCAGGTACAGGGGTACACCAAACCTGATTCGCAGGTATCATTGGGCTACCCGCCTCGAGTTTCGACATCCCCAGCACGCCGGCATTCTCCTTCACGATCCGTGTCTCCTCATCGACGTTCTGTGACTCTAGCAGGACCGGTTGCTCGACCGCCGCTTCCGCCGCTTTGCCCGAAGGCTGTGAAGCAAGAGAAGCCGGAGCAGCCACATGTTCCGACCACAACCTTGAAGCCATTTGCCCCTGTCCCGAAACTATCTATTCCTGCATCAAATCCCATTCTCAAGGATAGCTTTGGACAGCCAGTATTGCAAGCCAAGATCCAGAATACTATTTGTCCCATCCCGAAGCCGTCTGTTACTAAGACAAAGCTCGCTCCTAAAGATAGCCCGCCAGGACCATCTGAAGATATTTTACTCATTGAAGTCTCATCAGAAGATGAAATCCCCAAGCCTCAGCCCGGGCCTTCCACAAAGGCCTCACCAAAAGTTCCCACTGGAGCTCTCTTGGATCTGTTGGATTCTGAAGACATGCCGGGCCCTGGGCAGTTGACTCCCAACAAATCCAGACTGAGTGAAGCAGTCGAGCATCAACTTTCGGGACTTGAACTCATAAAGACCGTTCCTATGAAGCTCTCAGATGCCGATTATGAGAATCTACCCCAGGAATTACAAACGGTGACTGCTACGGCTACTGGTATGATCAATGGCTTGGGTCAGTGCTTATCAATTCTGCAGAACAGGATATCCAATGCTCTTCGTGGAACAGAGACCTCTTCCTCTTCCAAACAGCCAGTGAATCTATCCACTCCAGTCAAACAAATTTCGAGTCGGGACGAAGGCAAGAATTGCTCCAAAATATCTGCCACTCTTTTCTCAACGAGCTTACTGACATTCTATAGATATCGTTCCCCCTGGATCAAAGAAGAGTCAAGCCGGCAGTTTTGTTGAGCATCGTTCACCCCAGAACAGCTTGTCTTCTGGTGACTCAACCCAGCGAGCGAAGGAAACTCTTCCGGAAGAAAACCTCTCTCCTCGAAAGGCAGGGCCCACTGTCTCAGAACCATCTCTCATAGGGTTCGAAAAGCTTCAAATTTCCGAACCCCCAGGGTTGGAGTTCCTGGCTAATGAGCCCCAGACTGCTGCTTCGCGGACACAGCAGAATGAACAGGATGTGCGTCCTACCCCGAAACATGGTGGAATTGGTATGCTTGCAGATTCAATCCACGCCGTCGACGTCATACACGCTCGAACCATTGGAGATGCCCGTACAATCGGTGTCAAGCCTTCACACACAACCAAGATCAACAACGAGGTGACCATCGAAATTCAACGTGCTAGTCGCATCCAATCTCGCATGCCATCCGGGATCTCCACTCCCATAAATCAGCCATCCGGACTTGGTGCAAGCATTTATGCCACTGATCAGAAGTTTGATGCCGCGTCCACTACCGTGTCTAAGCCTCGACAGGCTTCTTTCAGGTCTCACCATCGCTTGGCTTAGGGGGGTTTCAGTTTCATATCGAAATCAACATGTACCTAGGACATCTTCTCCCGATCAACTCTGATGTGATCATTGTCGTTCTCTTATTATTCCACAGCCGTAATTCATTTTACGCCTTTAACAAATTAGTTATTACGCTACTCTCTCCTTCGGTAATTCTATGGCATCATGAATTTGTTGCCGGCAAAAGTCTCTTTCTCCCTTTCTTTCTTTTTTCCATCGTAGAAATCTTGGGTCGCCTCTACTCTCGACGATGCCTCCCTCATAGTAAGCCAGCGATCAGTCCAGAGGGTTGTACTCAATCTAAGTAGTATTATCAGCACAATGCCGCCAATTTCCGAATGAGAAAGCAGCCTTTTTCTACATCGGTCAAGTACATCGTAAAAGATGATTCGTAAAATGTGGGCCCGATCTACTTGGGCGAGAATTTCAAAGCGGCCCCATCCTGCATTGCCGGATTGTCCTTACTCGATTTGTACTTAGGTCCGCGATGTGTCACAATTGGGGCAATGGTTCGTCGTCCCGATCGATCCCCGTTGAACGGGAACGTTTGTGGATGATACAGTGTGAGTAGTTGGTACTTTGTGAGGAGCTTAAATTTACTTCGCTCCGTTTGCCCTGATAGAATATGACCACTCCTTCTTGTCTTTTTTAGGTTTCTAAGCGAATATCAAAACGGGGGGAAAGGGGGGAATGGCAATATAGGGAAGATTGAGTAGATTGGGAAGACCGAAGGCACCTGAACACGACAGAATGAGGAAATATTCACACCGTGACAATCAATTGAAGATAAAATGATTATCTGCGATCATCGAGCAAAAATACGACTCATCCTTCCAGGATTTCCCTCCAAAGTTTCCCCCCGTGGCGCTTCCCTTTTCGGATTCGACCGACTGATCTATCACATTGAATCTCGTGGATCTAAGCGTCTCGACCCATGCAGTCCTAGCGCAAGTGGATCTTTTAAGAAAAAGTACCCATTTACTGGGTACTTTTGATCGTACTCTGTCTCTTTGGTGCTAACTCAATCGAAACAAGGCAATGCCGGATTCCAAAGTACCATATTTCTTTTTACAGTGGGCACGGATGGTCCTTTTGTAACCCGCAGGTAAATCTTGAATCAAATAGAAACGCAGACGGGTGTGAGTCAGGCAGACCGAGTCCCCCCTCCGATATTGCGAGGTAAAAGGGGTTGAAAGGGCACGGAGGTCAGGTTGCCAAGGACACTTTGCAGCCCACTTGGACAGGGATAAAAATTCAAATTAGATAGGCCTTGTCATGCTCTAAGGAATAGTCAGTCGACTTGGTACTTTTTGCGCCAATTAGATCCTAGATAGCGATCACTAGGGTAAATCTGTTTGAACGCGGCTATCTTCGGAAATTAGATAGTGGCCTTTACTCCCACGTTATTATTTGATCGGCGTGTTCATTATTGTCAACTTGAAGTTGTGGGAGTGTATCGAAGCGGACTAGGATTGATTCTGGGCTTTCCCATTCTAGACGTCCACATTTCCACACGATCTATCAGCAAGGCACTAGTTGCATTGTATCGGAGAAAAGCCGAGACACCGATAGCTTAATAAAGGACGGACTGCCGGATGGGAGTATGTAGCGGCATTAGTGACACAACTCTATCTGCCTATTTCAGTGGCGGCAATCTGTGCCTACCCCTTTCTTCTGCATGATATTCTCTGCCACGTCAGTCCGTTGTTGGGGTGCTCGGACAATGGTGCTAATCAAAAAGTGGTGGCAGAGCCCTGCGGATGTTTCACGTTCTGCGTCCAAGCTTCCGGAACATTCCCCGGTCAGGAACAGGTTCATCGCTGTTTAGAAGCGTAAAGGATCTCCACTTTGCCCGGGTGATGCGCTCTAGGATAGCGGAGACCAGGTGATCATCCCCGGTATGAGACCGGTTTCATATTGCTCCTATGAATCATCCAAGGGGCATTTAACAAATTTTCCAAGTAGCGGTGAGCTTGAAGCTGAAAGTTAGCTGGGAGGATTTCGGGGGATTTGAAAATCTCGTGAGGCTCCGCGAATATTCTAATTTCTCCATGCTTCCTGGATGGAGATCCACTACGTTACTCCATGTTTTTATTTTTGATGCATGATGTCCGAATTCGCACTTCCTGCTAGGTACCATTTGGCTAGTCAGAGCTTTGAGTTGTGATCTTCTTTTAGTCGACCATTCCGGTCAATGTTTTATATTCAAAAGGCTCATTAGGCTCACGCCGGAAAATCGCATCAAACCCCTGCTAGCCACTGACTAGCCACTGAAGAATCAAGCAGGGTTTTCGCAGCTTCAGTTGGGGGTTGCGATCCAGAATCTAGCCCTTCGCTCCTTTTTTTTCTTCCCTCCCTAATCTCCTCCGCGGATTCTACTACGGCATTGGAATCCACAGTGGGTGGAGATACTATCATGTTAGCTGCATGAGATGATCATGTGTCCTTATGAATCAAGAGGTCCGGCGTCTGTGTGCGTGTCTGTGATGAATCCTTCGGCGCCCCCGGCCCCCAAAATCACAATGGGTTGCCTGGGTGAAGAACCAACTTTCCCCGATTGGACACTCGAGCGATTCACCAGCAGGAGCTTCCACCCGCCACCCCCGGTGTCGACTGGCCCTTCCACCTTGACGATCAATGCGGTATTCCCCTTTGGCACAGATGCCATCATCCGAATTTTTCTTTTTGGTTTAAGGCGCGATCTAGAGGATTCCTTAGGGCTTTATCGAGCTTGGCATCCAAACCTTCCAACTTTTGCGACAATGAAAGGCATTCTGCCGGGATACGATTCGAATTATGTTAGGATAATAAGAACAAATGATTCCTCTTGCCGTTAGCTCGTCTTTTTTATTTTTTCTACGATATACCGGCGCTACAGACAGCATGGCCTCTGAGTCTGTACTACTGAAATTATTAATTTTCTACTACATTCATCTTAACAAATCTGGGGATCTGGGGAGATGGCCATCGAAGCTCTAGTCAATACCTTCGTACCCTCCCTGGTTATTCTCACGCTCAATATCGACGGCAGCCTAAACATAATTTTCCATGTTCCCAATATCCTGAACACCGCTTCACTGTTAAGCTAATCCTCCGAGCTTATTTGCACTTGAAGCTTCATCGGTCTCAGTTTCTAGAGCGAGAAGACCCATGTCTTCGAGCCAACCAATACCAGTTATCACTTCCTCCAAGTTCTCCGGTATGATCGAGTAACGGCACCCACAAGAGATTTCATGGCATCCTTCCTCTGTATGGGGGATCGAACTGCTGCGAATGATCTCTCCGAAGCGATTATTCCTGATCGCAGGGTTTTCAGATATGTAAAATCGCCTAATATCGTGTGGAAAAGCTGCTGGAGACCGCATTGTGAGATTTGGGAGATTCAATCATGTACTGGCGGCGCCGGCGTAAGGACGAGCTGGAAGCTGAGTTCTTCCCGGGCGCACATTTGGGAATTGGAACACTGCTGTCCTAGATAAAAACATGCAATGCGTTAGCCAGCAGTCGATCGAGGAGATCCACGAAGAGAAGAATTACCCCTTCCTGATTCTCGACCGCATCTTCCGTTCCGCGACCTTGGGAACTAGGAAGTGGCCTCCAGATGGCGGTCGCAAGATCGATTGCAGTGGTGTTTATCTCGAGGGCATTTGCGGTGTACCAGTGGAAAAGAAAGGCAATAATGTCAGTGGAAGGCATGTTGGTATTGAGGTAGACAGTTTCCAATCTAATGCCTGAGTTTAATGTGAGTGAAAAAAAAAAGAAACCCTTTTTATATCGAATACTGGGGCATCTGCCCAGCTTTCTCAGCTCACTTCCTGGAGGGTTGAAAAGCGTGGTCATTGGTTAATTGGGCTTGTTTGCAATGCACAGTCTAGTCTTGACAAATCCAGTATACTATTTCCTATTCTTGCTCTCTGTTTTTATAGGTGGCTTGTGCGCGTACGCCAGAAGACAAGTGTCCAGGCAATTTCGGGGCTCGTCCACCGTCCTAAATCCACATTTTTTCAGTGTCGTTTTTCTGGATCCACGAGTTCAGAGCCCCCAAAAATGTGGTCCAATCTGAATTTCCACTCAATAATTGTACTGGTCAAATTCAGCCCAGAGCACTGTCGCTGTAGTTAGTTAAACCAGTATTACGCTAGAAAAACAATCTCTAGGCCAGATGATCGGCGGGACTCCATTTTGTTGGGCTTGCCTCGAAGCTGACAGCTGCCATCGCGTCCATCCGTCGTCCGGCACGGTCGATCTAGTGGGTCACACGTCATGTTTTATGTGCTATTTGATACTCTCCTGGCACATAGCAGGCTCTTCGGGCAACCTTTTTCTTAAGTTGGACACTGATTCATATATCTTCTCGGCAGAGCCCGTAGTACTACAATGGAAGGTTCACACTGGCAAAGATACATGCACAGGCACTAAAGAACAAAAAGCCAGCGGAAGGGGTTCCGGATGGTCCATATTCCCGCGCTTGATGCAGCTGCAGTCGAAATTTCAAGCAAGCTCCTCGTGCTTTTCCCAGTTCTGGAACTCGGATCGCCTTACGGGGTACGGAATAGACAGAGAACGCTTGGTCTAGGCCTATATGTTGGTAACCGTAGAAATCAGGAAAATTACTGGTATATCCTAACAAAAAATTGGAACAGAAATCGATTCTTCCGAGAGGGCCTGCTTTTGTTTCCATACCCGTCCGGCAACTTGTACACTCCACTTCCGACTCACACTGGCACTCAAATAATCTTACAGCATTGATTTTTGTTACGTTAATTAATGCCCTTTTTTCATTTCCTTTTACGGGTCGTGCCAACCCGTGCCATCTGCACACTATTAGCGCCGTCTCGGAAACCGTTGATCAAGACTGCAGTCGGTCGGGGTCAGTTAGGGCAAGGCTGACTCGGGCGGTCTCACCCTTCATCTTTTCGTAGATCCTTATTAATGTGGCGACGCGGGTTCCAAATCCATGGCAACTAGCGCCAGCATGACCACTTTTGTTAATTCTCTGCCATCCAAGCTCATATCCTTCATTGCACTGCCTTAGGTGGATCGAAACCGGCAGCAACTGTCTATCGCAACGTGTCACCCGAAAGTCCCCTGCATGACGAGCGGCCCATGCGGGTAAGGCCACGATCTCGGCATTGGTGTCGATCGGTGGAGGGCCATGGAAAATAAAAAAGACCTGTATTACTATTCGAGATCAAAAGGGGGGAAGCCCACCGCTCATGTCAGTCATGTAGTTGCTGGACCCACGACCAGGTTCCTGGAAACGGGAGGAGCGGGCCGCGCGCCAACGAAGTCGAACGAAGAACGATCGGGATCGAGACGAGACAGAGACAGTGACAGGGTCTACAAAGGTACTGTGCAGGTTGGGGAAAAAAAGACTTCGACAAAACATAAAATTTTTTTTTTTAAAAAAATAAAGGGCAACGCTGGTAGCGAGGTCGAATCGGGGCCGGGATTAGACACCCTACTTGGCAAGGACTACGCCCCTTCCGGCCTGTCAATTCCTTTGAAAATGACCATATCCATATACTACTAATAGTAAGTCCTGCGGCTCGTCGGCTCTGTGTGCCCAGGTGGTGTGTCCGAAAACCTTAGAAGCCAAAACAGTAACGAAAGTGAACTCTTTCAATTTCTGCAAGGCAAGGGTTGGCGGCCCAAAATGACAATTCCAAAATGGTCAGAAGTTTGTTAGCATCATTGTTTTCACATTCCGACCGATGATAACCGCGGCCATACTTGAGTCAAGACCGAAACAGCCCTCAGTTGACTCCGATGAGATTGAGTCTGAAGAGCGTCAAAGATATGTCGTGTTATATGGCTTTCCCCGCTAGTAACTTGTGGGGCTTGATCTAAGGCCTGTCACTATCTCGAAGTATTCTAACGACTTTCTACAAACTCTATTCAAACTTTTTGCATCATGTAGCCAAAGTTGGTTCGCTTCTTCAACAGCCCTGCCGGGCTAGCTCAATCGGTAGAGCGTGAGACTCTTAATCTCAAGGTTGGGGGTTCGACCCCCCCCGTTCGGCTATTCCTACAAAAATCACCTGAGATATCTTTTTGCTCATACGTAAGACCTCCTCCCGAGGTCCGATTCCGATTTTCGCTCTTTTTTTTGGGAAAGGGAGCAGGGGATGGTGAATAAGAAAAAGTCCTCAATAATTCCAGTTGAATTTAATCTTGGACTACCATTATCCAGCAGAAACAGTGTTGTGTACAATTTCCTGTTCAAAGTAATGTTGTGGCGGGGTTTGACGGCCAAGACGGAAGGGTCACTACTACTAGGGCTTGCGTTGCCGTCTTTTGGTATCTACTAGAAGAATTAACTTTGAAGGGAAATTGAATATTACAAGTTGAGGGCTTGGTTTTTATTTAGATTCCTTTGCAATTTTGGAGTTTGAGTGATATTATTGTCCCATCCCTTTGGCTTAATTCTGGTTGATACCCTGTTCCTGTAGCCAAGTCTGGACAATCTCGTTCACTTTTTGCGGGCGTTGAATCATGATCCAATGAGATGACCGGACTTCCTTTATCGTCAAATGTGGAATATATGGTAGCATCGTGTCAACCATACTCGAAGTAATGGCAAAATCATCCATAGCGCGAACAAAAAGCGTCGGACAATTGACTTCAACTTTTTTATCCCCACCGTTGCTTAGAAAAGGCGTCTCGTCAATGAAGTTCTGATGAAGCACTCGATAGGTATTGCCTGTGCGTATCGTATCAGTCTTGCGTAAGAGAAAAACAAGAAAGGTTCTTACATGGTCCCCGAAGACCCGTCCTAGAATATTCACTCACGTAGTACTGCAGGTCTTCTTCGGTCAGAAGTTTGCTTGGTACCAGATGAGAAACAATATCAAAATCTATCCCATTCGTCGCACTGATGGCTCTCCGTCCATCTGTGGTCAGCCCTCCATACAGAGCGTTCAGAAATCCTCGAATTCCATCCTCAGATTGCGTATGTGACTCTATTTCGTAATCATCACTGCCAAATTGAAGCATGTAACCAAAGGATGGCTGAAGTTTGACAAGGTCAGACACGCTACAGTATGTAGACGAAGGTGGAAACAAAGGAACCACGAATAAGATCAGATGTGTGACAAAATCAGGAAAGTAGAGCGCGAAGCGAGAGGCCATCATTGATCCCCTAGATTTGTTAGACTATGAAAATCCCGAAAAATCTCAAAGCTCTAAGCATCGTTGCACGTACCAATCATGGCCTCCTAGAATGATATTTTGGCATCCGAGTTGAACTGCTAAACCGTGAAAGTCCGTGCATTGAGATTTCAAGCTGAAAGGGACAACAGATCCCGAAGGAGAGTCCTTTTAAGCTCAGTAAATATTCATCGATTCTAGAACGCAACCTACCGATTGGCCATATCCCAAACAGTCCGGGCAAATTACACGATGTCCGAGCCCCAAGAAAAAAGGTATTTGATATCTCCAGCCCATGGAAAGGTCTGGAAAGCCATGGATCTGCTCAAGTAGTCAAAATTATGCCAGCACAATATTAGAAATATGCACGCGAACGAACCAAGAATACTGTTCGAGAATATCCTTCCTTTGGCTCTGCATAAAGATAGCCTACCAAGGGTCAGCATGTGCAGTTATATCAGCTACGCGACATCGATACCATATGTCTTTCCATTGATGCAAGCCTTCCGCCGGTAAAGACGCGGATCCTTAAGATCCAACTTCTCCAAGGTATTCATTGTAAATGCAATTGAAAACGAATTAAGATTAGGATAAGTTAAAATGAGTGTATTTAAGGATTTATGCCAATTATATGAAAAGGGGGCTACTTTCAAAGTCATATGCAAGGAGGTACTAGTAGCGTCACACTAGATTAATTATGTAATTGGAGGTGCTTTCGAGTTCCTCTGGGTACCGAAGTACGTAAGGAAATTCTGTTCTGGAAGTTTATCTCCGAGTCCGCTTGATCTATCTCTAGTTTACATTTACATTTGAATACATATTATCGTGGATTTGAGGAGTTTTTGATCGAGTGTCATAATTCTAATTCAGATATCACCCCCCTGCAGTCAAGAACTACCTTAAGTTAATAGACTGTCTGCTATCAGACTATCTACTCAAGACTTGAGCACGATTTTCTCTTGTTCCGCACTATTTCTTTGTATTGGAGCCTTTGAAAGACTTTCCAAATGCTGCCTCATTATCGCACTGGCCTCAGCAGCGTAGTGACACTTCTCTCGAATTTTCGAGCCGTATCGAGAGAGCATAAATGGAATCGGTAAACAAGCCAAGGCAAGAAATGCTGGAACTGAAGATGCCCAGTGGATCCCCAGAGCTTCGTACATGTAGCCTGTAAAAAGCGGGAATGCGGCACCAAATAAAGATCGCAATAAGGTGGTTGATGCTAACACCGAAGCAGCATAAATTGTATATGCATCAACGAGATAGTTGAGGACGGCAAGAAACACAGTCAGCATTCCAAAGCCGAAGGGAACCCCCGCGGCGACCGAAACCAACCAATGAACCGAAGGAGAATTTGTCCATGCGAACATAAAAAGGCCAATTGGAAGTGTGATAGCCCCCAAGAAGCCATCTGCCAGACGGGCTTCAGGTGGCACGGGAGTGCTTGACTCCGATGACTTTCTCTTATATCGGTAGTACATGGGGATGGTATAGGCGCTGCCGCACAGAATCCCGATCATGACTCCAACAAAAGTAAGACCCGTCGTACCCTCATCCCATTTGCGAGCCCCTTGAAAAACAATTGGATATGCAGCAAAAAGCATGTAAAGGGTGCCATAGATTATGGCAAGATATAGAGATAGCAAGAACACGATGGGCTCACAGCATAGAAGGATCCAAGGTCGTGACAAAGCAGAACCCAACTTCTTTGCCATTTGAACTTTTCCTTGCTCCGAGTCCATTTTACTGACATAGACATGACCAGTCTTCTTCGCCAGGATCGCTGCTCGTTGTCGTAGCAGAACAGGGGCATAGGTCTCAGGGAGCAGGACAGACATAATTATCAGAATAGCACCAGAAAATGCAACTAGGAGCCACTGAACTGCTTGCCAGCCCTTCTCCTGGGCTAAATAGCCCCCGATGACTGGTCCAAGAGCAGGGCCCATGAAGGGAGCAGCACAGTACAGACCTGATACAAGTCCTCTCATCGTGGCTGAGAATGTGTCGGCGATGACACCCCCGGAGATGGCCATAGGTGCTGAGCCAAAGCTGCCAGCCAAGAAGCGAAATATTATGAGTGAATGTATACTCGATGAGGCAGCTGCACCAGCCGTGAAGGCTGTCAACGAAATTGCATTGAATATGAAAATAGGACGTCGTCCGTAGGTTTCACTCAATGGCGCCCAGAACAAAGGACCCACCGCAAAGCCTACCACAAAGACAGATATTCCCAGGAATGCGAGTTCTTGGCTTGTATGGAGTGAGTTGATGATTTCATTGAGACCCCCTGCGTAGGCAGACGATATAAGAGAGACTGCGAGCGTCGCAAGCGAGACGATGATAGTAATGATCCATTTAGATGTTTCAGTGAAGGCGAACGGGTTTTGAGGATCGTCGGTGAGCCAAAAAACAATAAAAGGATCTGCTTCCGTACCAGATCCGGTGTATTGGTGATGAATAACCTGCTGACTTATCTCAGGCTTGAGCGCCGAGCGCCATAAGGGTGGTTGTGATGCCATGGCGAGTCAGAAAGTACGAAACAATGTTACTTCACGCTGAAATCAGGAAAACTTGATACTATTAATTGCTTACTGCACTAAAGCTGTGTCTAAGCTGGCGTGCCGATCACGTCCACTAAGTCCTGAGTTTCAGCGAATTGTAAGTCGGCAAGGGAGAGCAAAATGCCAATTCTGAATAGGGACTGAGAAACAAAAATGTTGATAGAATTTCAATACGAAGTTGTGCCAAAGCAAGGGTGAACAATTGTAACGTGCAGTGACGATCCTTGATAGATCGGAATGTCAGATGTTTGACACTAGCAAAATCTGCATGCAGTCCAAGACTACTAGTCATACGGGTTTTTGAAAATTTATTCCTCTGAATATCCGATTATTAATACGTTCGATATGTATTCGGGTCAATGATCGGTCTGAAAACTATCCCGTGATGAAATATCGAATGGTCGGTTCCATGCACCTTTTTTGTTTTTTTTTTTCTTTTCAACTGAAGATCTCAAATGCTTATGTACACTCCGTACAGAACTATGAAATGGTCAAATAGATATCATAGTAATTCTATTATCTGAGAACATGCTATCTGTAGTAGTTTATTATCAGTGCTAGGTCACAGATTCGTTCAAGTTAATTGGTCAGATGAAATGAGATATCAAAAAGTCTTAAATCAAGAACTATTTAGACGAATTGCATACAAATCCATCAAAGTTATCCAACGGAGAATCATCTTTGATATCTTCCCAGAGGCTTTCAATCCTTGTAGCCAACCCTTCAGATAATGGTCCCCTCTCGAGGGCTTCAAGGGCCTGATCCAATTGTAGACCAAAGCGTGCCCCAATAACAATCCCGTCGCCAAGTCCTGGCTCAAGCAATGAGTTATACGCCACCCATCGATAGGCAAGCTCGGCTTGCGAGATCCCAGTTTCCTTCGAAAAATCAACAAAGCTGCCTAAAGCCTTCAACATGACGGGCTTGTTGTAGAGAGCGTTGTACATTTTGGCAGTGTAGGTGCCGGACGGGTCCCATCGTCCCTCCCCCCCCAGCGAGAAGCTGTTCCGGGGTCTTGGTTAGGAAGCCCCCAGCAATTGGGCTATAGGCGTAGAAAGAAATGTTGTTCTTGCGCAAGGTTGGCATAATTTCTGTTTCTGTGCGTCGAGCGACAGCATTATAATTCCCTTGGTAGACTGTGGGCAGGACAAAATTGTTTTCTTTTGCGACCCGAATTACTTCTTCAACCTCATCCGCTTTGAAGTTGGATAATCCAAATCTTTTGAACTTCCCTTCTTTATACAGGTCATTGATCCCATAGAGAATTCTTTCAACTGGGACTCCGCGATAAGGGGCATGTATATAGAATACATCGACCTAGCGAAAGTTAGTAGTCTTGATCCTTTTTTCCATCTAGATCATGATAATGGCATGACTTAGCGTACACAATTGGTCTGCAATTTACTAAGACTTTCAAGACAAGACTTGACAACAAGCTCTCTCGAGGGTTCTAGCTCTGATAGACCTCCACAAAACTTTGTGTCAATCTTGAAATGGTTTGCGGCACCTGCCAGCCCCAGGAATTCTTCACTTTCGGCATATACAGCCGCTGTATCAATCTTCGCAATTCTTTTGTGCTCCAAATGCTGTAAGACACGCTTCACAGTTTCGACAGTATGGCCTCTGTATTTAGCAAAGAATCCGCCGTATATAATTTCAAGTTTATTGCTTGCCATTTTGGATTTTGTCAGGCGCGTCCGGGAGCAGTGAGAGTCGTGAATGCAATAGGGGAAGGCGAGGATTATTGCTTTTGAACTATCGGATAATTCAAGCCCTCAATTGACGAACGTATACGTCACCAGCTTGCGTGCTCGAAATTTAGTATATCTCGACTTTGACTGGCAAGGGGGGAGCTGAATTTGTATTACTATTGGCCATGAAAATGGGACAAATTGTGTTCCTTTGTGGGTCCTTCTCATATAGCTATCCCTTGCGTCTTGCAGATTCTAAAGATAAATAGCCCACGAATACAATTTCAAGTTGCAGTGATTGCTGTAATAAAACTTTACGGAAAAAGGTAACGGGGTCAGAATTGCTAAGATATTTGAGCATGGAGCAATTCAAGTTGAGTTAACACAAAATAGCGAAGTGATTTCCAATTGACGCATCGGTAATTAGAAAACTCGAGTTGAACTGAGTCAGACAACAGTTCCAAATACTATACTTAATATCAAACCACTGGCTATCACGGTATAAGTTGCAGGTTGTAGGCCTATAACCCCAGCGACACTCCAAGGCACGTACCAACGATTTTCTTTGGGCAAATGTCTTGATGTTAGAATATAATAGGGCGACACGAGAGACAGCCACATGATAACCCACACAAATCCGACCATGCGCTTCCATAGCGGTATGGCATGATCAATTGGAGGTTTAGACATAGGTACACCTGAAAAACTTCTAAAGATGCCTTGCACCCCGTCTTCCAGCATGATGCCCAGTGCACACCCCAAAAAGAAGATAAAGGAGCCCGATTCTTGTAGTGGAACACCTTGAATATAGTCACCAAGCAAATGAATGATTCCGGAAATGAGAAAAACAAGGTAGAGGTTTAGGTATCTCTTTTTGAAGGACGGACTGCATTGTCTCAGGATTTTTGTAGTCAAAAATTCACTGACTGAAGTCAAAGGCCATCTCATCAGCTGGTGCCAAAAACGTCTAATGATATCTCGTGTTAGAATCACTTAAAATGCGCGATATGTTCTTTGCGGGCTGTCCATACCCCCAAAATCCTCTCAGCGTATATGCATCCCAAACTGTTCCAAAGAGTGGAGGCCAGTTAATCGGATCATCCCCAATACTGACAGCGACCAAAGATCCAAATCGGTACAGTGAGTCGGCAAGGATTCGTGCGACTATGAACCATGAAAAAATGGTTATATACACCCGCGTCTTCCAGGGCATAGGCGGAAAGTACCCTGGCGCTATCTCCGCGCTGGGACTCGTCCGCTGAAGCGACCTTTCATAAAGAATATCGAGGGCCAAATATTGCCAGGAGAGAATGCAGAACTGTCTAATCAAGAATCGTGATGTCGCGATTGTGCCATCTGGTGATCTGAAAAGATACTTTGGATGATCAGGGAGTCCTTTCACTTGCCACGGCGTATTGACGCCACGTAAACCGAACACGAGTTGCCCGGAAAGATAAATAGGTGGGATCTGCCGACTAGAACCATTGGGTAAAGTGTGTAAAATACTGGATTTGTCGAGAGGGTTGAGAAGTAGCAAGTTGAATCCATGGACCAATGTGGCATAAGCCATCATCGAGCCGTGGCTAAAGCGTAGTGAGCTTCCTGCGAAGTTCTCCGACAAGGAATGCATTTGATAAGAAAGAAGCACTCCACATAGTACCCATCCAAGTCGCAACGGGGATCTCTTTGACGTTGAAATAAGTAAAAAGGCAGGTATGAAAACTTGAACCAAGTATATGGCACAAGCTGTGGCTGTCTTGGCTGTATCCTATGCCGGTATCAGTCGTATTAAATCCTGGTACCTACTAAGAGGGAGGTGAGCTTGAAGGCGCGACTACTACTAGTACTCACGACAATCATTTCCAAGGTTGGTATGCCAATCAGTGCCCAGGTGGGAGTAGGATTCCTCCGATAATTTGGGAAAGTGAGCCAGCAGAACGGGCTACTTGCTATATTATTGGCCGATTAGCAGACTCACAATAACTTCAAAGATCGAAACTTTGAACGAACCCTAACTTTGAGGTTGGAAGCACGAAGTTGTTAGGCAATATGGATTTCGCTCAAGTTAAATGGCACTCCGGAGTACTAGTACAGAGATTCACCACACATTTATTAGTATTTAACTTTCAAACATTCCTCGGCCATCCCGGTTTTACGGAGCCTAGAGCGGGACTCGGAGCGATGCAAGGGATAGATTCGATCACACAATGATTGGAAAAATCTTCCGATCTTCCGATCCGATAACACTATCGTGGATAACAATCGTATCGCGGATTTTGTCGATCCCAGCCTACCCCTTGATGCCCCGTAAAAATATTTTCTGGGTCCACTTCCCGCTTTATTTTGAGTAGTCGGTCGTAGTTCTCCTGTCCCCAAAATGCGGTGACCGAATCTGGCTCGAACGCGTCTGCTTCATTCTGATAAGCACCTCCCCCCGGCGTCAGGTTTCGCATTGGATCCATGGCATGGCTTGTTTTCTTCCAAATGTTTGCCACACCAGAAGGTGTTTCGTCATCACCCCAAGTCCGTTTATGCACAACGTGCCATAACCCATCACGCCATGCTGGTGTCACGGATGAGTATCCGGGTCGTCCCTTTTGATCTAGCTCGGGTAGATGCTTTGAGTATTTGAATGGAGTCGTGAGACAAACAAGTACAGCAGGAATTGAGGCCGAAGAATTGATATTCGATTCTGATGTGAGCATAATATCGTTGAGCGCTCTGGTCAGCTTATCTCTTCCACTTCTCTCTTGAAAATTGTGACGAGGAATTATTCGTGACGACATGGAAACCGGTATCTGATCATTGTTCAGAGACATACTGTCGAGCTTGCTTATGTTCTCCATGAACTTGCCGAAGGTAGGAAATGTAGTCATGTTCAAAGATGTCGATGCACCGAACTGATGTGCAAATTCCAGAATTGGCTTCATCGACGCTCTTGCCTGCAGATGGTCAAGCATAGATGTCGCCATGATCACGATTATTGGCTGACTTTTGTACATTCCCGGTTGGAAAAATCCGCCCCAACCTTCGTGTGCCCAACGCTCGGCATTGTTCACCATGGTTTGGATGAATGATTCCGCAACATGCTGCTCTTCATTACCCAAGGTGAGAGATATCATCTCCATGGGCCTTTCCTGATGTGCAAGGATACTGGTTTCCATCACAATGCCGAAGGTGCTACCACCGCCGCCTCTCAACGCGAAAAAGAGTTCGGTATTTTGACAACGTGTAGCAGTGATGAGGGTTCCATTTGGGAGGATGGCGCGCATCTGGTAAACATTGTCGATTCCAAGTCCTTAAACGACATGCTGTTAGATACCACCGCTCCACTGAACAGCAAACTTGAATATGCTTACCGAGCTCATTTGATAATATGCTATGACCACCGCCCGTGATCCAACCGCCAGATGCCCCGACAGTCAGACCGGTTCCCCCTACAATCCGAATGTTGTGTTGAGAGGCGAATTCATAAATACCATGGAATTGCTGACCGGCTCCAAATGTGACCACATTCCCAACGGATTCTGTACAGCCCTCGGGAATAAAGTTGCGCTCTAGGCGAATTGGAGGCTGATAGTTGTGAGTCCTGCGGCGGAGAAATGAGTCTACTGGGAAGTGTACCTAACCAGGGTAAACTCACCAGAGAGCCAACGCGTTTGATCCTGAGCTTCGACCAAGGTAGTCATGACCTGTGTTCTTGATAACGAGCTGGAGCCCATTTTCACGAATGAAAGCCAGAGACTTTTGTACATCATCGACGCTGCGTATATCCACGTATTTTGTAGGCACACTTCCGGGAAGGCATTGTCTCGTTGAGTTGAGATTGTCGGCAACAGTGAAGGAGCTTATCGTGCAGGATTCACCGGTTGACTGACAAGTGGCCCAATTGATCTATAAGCCACGGTGAGCATCGTCCATGATTCAACCTCGGATATGGCAATACACATTTTGATACCCGCCAAAATAGTCACTTGAACTTTCTTGTCGTAACTCCGTACATTTTGTAGAATTTTGTACTTGTTGGTGACCGTTATAGCTGTCGAAACAAGGAGTCAACATAGGTCTCCCATCAAAGAGCCTGCCAGAAATGCTCTGATTGAATGCTTTCCAGGTGCGCTGGTCAATTGAGATCAACGAACTACTATCCACGAAAGTGAATACCAGGCAAAGTAATATAAACATGTGATATACGACCATTTTGATGATCATATAAAATTGAATACACCACCTGGGAAAGTCCTGAGCAGAAAGCCTGAGGTTGGTAGATAATTGTCCGGTGTAGAGAAACTGATGTGGCTATCAAAGCTGAAAAGGGAAAAAGTAAACCAGCCCGTGCAAGCATCCCGAAACAATTATTACCATGCCCCACTCATTTTTGTATTGATCTAAACTCTCCTTGCCTTAGAGTAAGGTTATTGCATAATACATCAGATTGACCCACAAGACTATTTGGCATGTTCTCCCTGCCAGGGGCTCAGTTTTGAGTTTTTCTGGAATGTGGGTTGTCCGATGTATTTTGGGAATTGATTAGTTGCGTGTGACTCTGACACCGCAGTCTGATAGTGTATAGAGATACAAAGCATTGGCGCAAAACAAGGTCGAGCAATAAAAGATCACATCTATCCGTCACTCCCACGCCAGTTAAGATTTTCTACCATATACTCCGACGTGGCTTAGTTTTTTTTTTGGTCACGCCACTATGGCTCCGCGGCTTCCTTTCTCCCTGAAGTTTACTCTTTGGGCAGCTTTGACTTGGTTCGGATCACGCCTCTCTGGACTGCGCCTTGAATCACCTTTCTCATTTGCTACTTGGCTATGTGCTACATTCATTTCTTACTGCATTTTGAGTTTTTCTTGGAGAATTTGTGGCCGACCATGCTTTAGTCCTCTAAGGGATCTCCCAGGACCCAAGGTATGTGCTAGAGACCTTGCCTATACCCAAAATCAGATACTCATGTACCAAACAGAGTGAAAGCTTTCTTTTTCAAAACTCATCGGGGATCTTCGACGAGCCCCTGGGGAACCGTATCACCGGCTGGGTGAACACAATACCGAATGACGGCCTCCTTCACTTCTTCGGGTTGTTAGGGTCCGAATACCTCATACCGACCAGCGTCGAAAGTATCTCCGATGTTGTCACCAACCGTGCTTATCAGTTTCAGAAGGCTAGCGGGCTCCGAAGATATGGAGTTCGTTTCTTCGGCGATGGCATCGTTATCCAAGAAGGCGAAAAACACAAGAAAAGCCGAAAGTCATTCGTTCAAGTTTTCAATCAGCGACAAGTCGATAAGCTGAAGCCCGTTCTATCCACCAAAGCGTCTGAGATTGTGCAGCATGTGCGAGAAAAGTGTCTCACGAACGCGAATGGCGTATCAAAGGCTGCGAGTATCAACGTCGCTGAGTTCACCAAGTTGATATCTCTGGATGTCATGGGTATCATCGCCCTCGGTCATGACTTTCATGGAATTTTGGGCCAGAATCTGCAGATTTTTGAAGTTTTTCAGATGCTATTTTCTTCAAATGAGGAAAAGAAGTCTCATTTTATGTGGCATAATTGTGCTCCCCCGTGGTTTATGAATATGTTCCCTTCCAAGATAGACTCACAGATGGAGGTGGCCTACGGGAAGCTTCGCAAACGCCTCGAACAACTTATTCCGGAGAAGCTAGCTGCACTCAAGTCAACAACAACGACGGATCAGGATATTTTGACACAGCTTGCCTGCTCAGGGGACTTCTCAGATGATGAGATTATTCCTCAAATTGTCACTACACTATCCGCTGGGTAAGTAAATTCATCTCCAAATGTCAAGTCCACTCCACTGACCATGAGATACATGTAGGTTTGAGAGTACTGCGAGCACCTTGTCATGGACATTATATTGTCTAGCAGCCAACCCCGAAATTCAACCCTCCCTGCGAGAGGAAATAAGCGCTGCCAAGTCCTCTAAAGCTACCCTGAGCGAGGATGACTATGAAAAGCTGCCACTACTCAATGCAGTGTGCTATGAAACCTCGCGACTGTACCCAACCTTTGCGATGACATTGCGCAAAGCTATCTGTGATACCTATATCAATGGCCGGCTTGTTCAGGCTGGCACCTATATAGCCATTGTCCCTAGGGCTATCAATAGGGCCAAGCACCTATGGGGCCCTGATGCAGAAGAATTCATCCCGGAAAGATGGATTGACCGATCTGACCCTCTAGCTCCGAAGATCAACCAGCTGGGAGGTGCTTCCTCGGCAATCTGTATGCTTTCCTTTTTGTATGGGCCTAGAAGTTGTGTGGGAAGGGGGCTCGCATTGGCAGAAATCCGTCGGGTTACGGCGCGCCTGGTAGAGACCTTTGATATCCAGCAAACAAGCTCGACTATTCCACAACCTGTTGGGTGGCTGTCATCAGGTCCACCCCCTGAGCTGAATCTGAAATTTGTGCCGTCAACTATATAGACTGATAATGTTAAAAGTGATATCCTATCTTAGATTATTTTATCTTACATCATTCCTTTTCCTCTTTTCCCTCACTAGCACATTATCTAGTGACGGAGAGCAACGAGGCAATACTGAAATGGAAGAGAAAACGGAAACAGAGTCCAATATCGATTAAAGTCGAATCTCTTCAGTCATGAGCTGCTTTTTCGTGCCTTTCAGGGATTGTTGCTGCGTCTTCGGTATTATATCAGTCTAGTTCCTGGGTAATCCAATATTTGAGGAGGAATAGACGTTGAGTGTATCCTCAGTATCTGTGATCAATCATGTTGGATAATGCTGAGGCCATAGCCCCATGAACCTCATGCCTGCAGGCTTTCTCAGCCCACACCTGAATAGCTTCGTTTTCTTTTCGTTTGATTGTGCGACGTAGGAGTGTCTGAGGCCTCGTTTGCCCATAGGTAGATAGATAGGTATCGGATGAGAGGGTTACCTTCTCTCCCACCATAATCCACCGAATAGCGCAGCTCGCAGTCTATCATATCTGAGGTCACAGGGAATAACTCTTAGGAAAGCCATGGGGTGTTCATGACTGGTAGGGTTGTATAGATCGGCCCCCCACAATAAGGTAACCTTACGTGGGAACGCCGCCGCCACCACGTTATCTTATCGCCAGCAAAAATCTTTCCCCGACATCCGAGCAATTGCCATTTCTCCCCTCTTCCTCCTCCCACTCCACCTGTGATCTTCCATACCCCACCATGGCAGCTCAGGCGACAGACAAGCTCCAGGGCCTGGACCGTGGGTATTGCTTCAATCTCTCCATGCGACCTGAACTGACCAGACCCCAGTGAACGGCCAAAACGGTGCCAAGGCCGAGACCCCCGCGGCTAGCCAGGCCACCCCGGCCGAGGCGGAGGACGATTCTGATGATGACCAAGAGGAAGGCGAGGGTGCCGCCGATGCTGGTGCATCCGGAGGTTAGTGGTTACTTCTTTTCGCCAATTTCTATTTCGTCCTATCCTGCGTTGGGCCTACCCCGCATTTCGATATCGTGAGGTACAATAGAACAGGCCACTGACCGTCTCGCATTCTAGCCGCCAAAAAGAAGAAGAAGCGCAAGTCTAAGAAGAAGAAGAAGGGTGGTGCCAAGGTTCAGAGCGAGCCTCCTCGTGTCCCCGTCTCGAATCTCTTCCCCAACAACCAATACCCCGAGGGTGAGATCTGCGAGTACCTGAACGACAATGCCTACCGTACCACCAACGAAGAGAAGCGCTACCTCGACCGTATGAACAACGACTTCTTGACAGAGTACCGTCAAGGTGCTGAGGTTCACCGTCAAGTCCGTCAATATGCGCAGAAGAACATCCGACCTGGTCAGACCCTCACCGAGATCGCGGAAGGAATCGAAGACTCTGTCCGTGCTTTGACTGGCCACCAAGGCCTAGAGGAAGGTGACAACCTCAAGGGTGGCATGGGCTTCCCTTGTGGTCTCAGCATTAACCATTGCGCCGCTCACTACACCCCCAACGCTGGAAACAAGATGGTTCTAAACCAGGGAGATGTGATGAAGGTCGATTTCGGTGCTCAGCTCAACGGTCGCATTGTGGACAGTGCCTTTACCATGTCTTTTGACCCGGTCTACGACCCTCTTCTGGAAGCTGTCAAGGATGCCACCAACACCGGTATTCGGGTAAGTTTCCCATTTCGCAGAAGAGTATCATTTGAATCGGGCTAACAAAGTCCCCTCTAGGAAGCTGGAATTGATGTCCGCATGTGCGATATCGGTGCGGCCATTCAAGAGGCCATGGAGAGCTACGAAGTTGAGCTCAACGGTCAAATGCACCCCGTTAAGTGTATTCGCAACCTCAACGGTCACAACATTGAACAACACGTTATCCACGGCGGTAAGAGTGTGCCCATTGTTAAGAGCAGCACCGACCAGACCAAGATGGAGGAAGGCGAAGTCTTCGCCATTGAGACTTTCGGTAGCACTGGAAAGGGTTACGTCCGGGAGGATATGGAATGCTCTCACTACGCGCTTGCTCCGGACGCTCCCAACGTCCCTCTGCGCCTCTCGTCCGCCAAGAATTTGTTAAGTGTCATTAACAAGAACTTTGGTACTTTGCCTTGGTGCCGTCGTTATCTTGATCGTCTCGGGCAGGATAAGTATCTCCTCGGAGTAAGTTCAACTTGAATCGGTGGAATGTATTTAATGGACGCTAACTTTAAATAGTTGAACAACTTGGTATCAGCTGGAATTGTCCAGGACTACCCTCCCCTTTGCGACGTCAAGGGCTCATACACTGCTCAATTTGAACATGTGAGATCCCCCACCTACTCTCCACTTCTATCTGTTCCAAATTGTCGACTAACCTCGAACTAGACTATCGTACTCCGTCCCAATGTGAAGGAGGTCATTAGCCGTGGCGACGACTACTAAAATTCATATTAGCGATATACACAAGCAACTTGTTTGAAAAATTCATGAACTAGCCCCAGAAGGCAACACAATCCTGATATTCCTAGTAATCCACTCGCTTAGTTGTATTAATAAACATCACATGTAAATGTGGGGATAGTTGTAGTTGTGACCCCCGAACCCTGTTGACATGGTACCTTATGGCAGGGGATATCTACGAGCAACGAAAACAACCATAATTTTCGTCTTATCCGTAAGAAGTACTTGTAATGAAATATTCTGTTTAACCTGAAATGATCACCATGATAATACTAGACTCTACCAAATTAAAACCATGTAGATCCCGCCAAGCGCATCCATCCACGCAAGTCGCCCGTGTCGCCCCACGTGGAACTGGAACGACCGCCTTTTTCCCACTCCATCCAGACCGAATTTCTTCAACACCCCTAAATATCGCCATGACTACCGTTCAAACAGCCTCCCCTCACCTGAGGGTGTCGGCTGCCAAGTCATCTTCCTCGGAATCCAAAGAATCCCCTTCCACTCGAATCTCGCCCCCCGAGACCTCCGCCGTTGACGACCACTTCTTCTGGACCTACACCGAAGAGCCGCACCGGTCTCGCCGACAGGCAATTATCAAAGCTCACCCTGAGGTGCGTTGTGCATTGATACAATCATGTACCCCATATGTCCTACACGAAGGAATTGACTATTCTTATGGGCCATGGGCCCTGTTCCTGGCATCTCCTGTCTATGTTCCTGGATCATTGGCTAACCCTGGTTACCTCCCGCCATGTTTAGGTCACCAAGCTTTGCGGACCTGAGCCTCTCACCAAATATGTTGTCTTCGGCGTCGTTGCCACTCAAATCACCTGTGCATACCTCCTTCGCAATACCTCTATCCTCGACTGGCGGTTCCTGGCCACAGCATACTTCATCGGAGCCACCGCCAACCAAAACCTCTTCCTGGCCATCCACGAGATCTCCCACAATCTAGCCTTCCGCTCGCCGCTCGCAAATCGACTGTTGGCAATTTTCGCAAATCTCCCCATCGGGTTACCCTACAGTGCGGCGTTCAGGGTGAGTCCGAGTTTCCTCCCACGCTCCAACCAGCCAACCGTGTCCACTCCGCCACACGTATATTGGCCAACGAAAGACAATTGAACCCCTCAACTAACGTCATCTCTTCCTCACCAGCCCTACCACCTTACCCACCACAAATCCCTCGGCGTCACAGGTCTAGATACCGACCTTCCCACCGCAGTTGAGGCATTCTTCCTAGACTCCCTACTGGGCAAGACATTCTTCTGCACCTTCCAAATCCTCTTCTACGCCGTCCGGCCCATGTTCATCTACAGCCCCCCCATTCACCTCAATCCACCTCCTCAATCTCGCTGTCCAGCTTAGCTTCGACTACTTCCTAACCCAATTCGCCGGCTCCCTCCAACCATTCTACTACTTCATCGCAAGTTCCTTCCTCGCCGGCTCCCTCCACCCCTGCGCAGGCCACTTCATCGCCGAGCACTACTTCTTCTCAAACGTCAAGACCGGCGGCACAGAGTCCCTCCTCGAACTCAAGTTCAAGCCCGCGGCCAAAACAGACGGCCCTTCCGTTCTGGACGGCCTCGCTCCACCAGAAACGTACTCTTACTACGGCCCGCTGAATTTCTTCACCTACAACGTCGGTCTGCATAACGAGCACCATGATTTCCCGGCTATTCCCTGGACCAGACTGCACAAGCTGCATGATATTGCGAAGGAGTTCTACGAGCCGCTTCCTTGCCACCGGAGCTGGATTTGGGTCATTTGGACCTTTATCTTGGATAAGGATGTTGGTCCTTGGTGCCGGGTTAAGCGTGCACAAGGCGGACGTGTTGTTGGTGGCGGTGGTGGAACCTCTGGCAAGAATGCGCCTACAGGGCGTGGAGGGGAGGGTATTTCTGCTGCCTCGGCGGGTCCGGGCGGCGAGGAAGGCGATGGGTGGAAAGAGAGTGAGATCCAGTGTTAGAATAGTTTCTTATTTTTGTTCTTCCTTTTTTTCTTCTTCCTCTGTCAGCGTTTTGGGAGGTTCCCGCTTGTGGGGTTGTGTCATGACTACTTTCGATTGCATAGTGCCAGTATTTGATGCTGCATGTATATCATGTAATCAATTGGGACAAAAGAATGATTCTCTCTTTCGGCCTACTACTAGTAGCAGTTCTTTCGTAATTTCCAAGGGTTTATTGGTATCTACTTGGACGAAAGACGAGTTGTTTGGGGATATGGATGGATTTTGCAATAAAGACACAACGCTCAACTTTCAAAGAGCCTCCGAGAAACAACCACCTGCAGCAACATCAAAGAGCACGTTATCTATTATCCGACAAGAAGCAAGCACGTAGGTTATCTCACGGGGGCTCGAACATCGTTTATCACACAAAAGAATCGAAGACGCTGAGTCCGTTCATCGTAACATGATATTAGACAAGACAAGGAAAAGGGCGAGGAGATAAGAGAAGGGAGAAAGGGAAAAGAACGGGGGACAGAGCGCCTCGAAAGCTGCAAGCTGAGAGCCAAACACGGAGGTGGAATAAAAGGAAATATGGATACCGAGGAAGAAGGTTGTAAAAGAGACACAAGAAAAAGGCTGATGCTGGGAAACAAAACGGCGGGCTCTTCAAGAGACACGCGCGGTTAGATGGGAGGAACGTCGAAACGTGATCGGAGGCATGATAAAACACCAGGGAAACCAAGGACATAATAGATCATAGGTCACACAAGCGCGGTTAAAAGAAGAAGTAGGCGATGAGGAAGCTGATCAGGCAAAGCCCAGCAACCATCTGCACCGGTACGCCGGACTCGGTTTGTTGGTGCGATTGTTGCATGGCTGCCGGAGCTGCTTTGGCATCGCCGCCTGTCTTGCGCTGTCGCAGACCCTGATCTGCCAGTCGGTCCTTCAGCCGTTGGATCTGTGCATTGGCATCTGCGAGCTGCGCCTTCAATTCATCGCTCGAAGGAATCACGCTGGCCACAGCAGCCTTGGCGTTCGAAAATGTAGTGGCGGGTTCGGAGGGCTGGGGCGACTCAGACTTGGGCTTCTCGGAGAAATCGGGGGCGGGAACGGGGGACAGTTGCTCGGATTTCTTGGCGACAGGAGCAGGTGTTTCGAAGTTTCCACCGGGAGAGTTGTAAGCAGGAGGCTCGTCGTCCAGGACCTGTATAGAGGTAAGTTTTGTGCCTGGTATGTCAGTAGGCACCCGGCAAAACATACCGAGTCGTTACCCTTTGATTCAGGCAGAGTAGCATCCGCAGCGAGCCAAGTCACACGAATCTTGCGCTCTACCACGGCAGACTTGGGGGATCTTTCAAACTAAAGAAGTTGAATGTCAGTATAAGGACCAGGGGAATACCTGGATTCTGTTCAAACAACATACAATTGAGGTCACGTTGGCGTGTTCCATATCAGGCGTAACAGCCACAGACTGGACCAGGAACTTGTCCTTGCACTTCGCGTCGGTAGCAGGTTCATCCTTCAGAGCCTGCAACAGGACTATCCGATCCTATCAGCTTTGTTCCACACATATCGGCAATCGGGAGGGGAACGAACCTTGGACCTCGACAGCCCGGCCGGGCTCGATACGGCCGGAGTTAGGGCGCACACAGTAGCTGAAAGAAAGTTAGAAATCAAAAACGGTGAGACCGCGCGGTCGATATAAGGAAGGATACGTACTGCTTGGGGGCAGTGGTTTTGACCTAGAGAGCGGGAAAGAGACGGAATCAGCTATGTTCGTGCCTGACAAATGCCGAGGGGAAGGAAATGTGGGCGTACCTTGAAGACAACCGAGTCCTGACCGGCGTTGCGCAAACGCAGGACCTGGCATACTTCCTGGTTGAAGGGGCCTGTTTATCCTCGAGAATTAGTTTCCGAGGTCGTTCGAGGTCTGGACCGTGTGGCCGAGGTCGAGGCACTTACGTTTGAAGCCCAGCTCGGGGGGGGTCAATTTCGACAGACATGGTAATCGTAAGCGCGAAATAGGACGAGGGCGAGAAATATGTGTATTCAGCGGTGGCTTAGGATCCCGCGACAGAGGTGCGATTGCGAAAGAGAGAGGTGAGGTGAGTAGGGGTGTGGTTATCGAGCCAAGGGAGTTCCTAAAGTGGACAATAATCAACTCCTGAGGCGCGGGTTGCTGGCTGACTCAGCGGATCAGGTGATGTCACAGTGTCGCGGCCGAATTAGGACGATCCAGTATATACTTCTTTACATGGGCCTGTGGGAAGACGTAAAGGAGAAATATAGAATAGAAGAGGGTCACTTTCATGAAAGTTCTCAAGATCTTCGGAGGCAGCCTCGGTGGTGAGTCTCTTATCACTGCATGTGAACCTCCACAGTGGGGTTTCACACTCAGAATTGGCTACTAGAACTATAATGGGAGAACATGGGACAATATACTCGAGTGGGTCACAGTATAAATAGTACCGTTACTTTACTCTCGATGATGAATAAACTAGTAATAACTAGTAGGTATATCTTTGTGTTCTATCCAGGAACAGGAAATATATACCAATCCAACTTTATTGTCTTACTCCTCGGGCCTCTCATTGGCAGCATGTGCTGCCGGCTGAAAACTAGTCTTGGGGTATAAGACAAATCTACTAGTAGCACTAGTATTGTTCTCACCGAGTCCCCAGATATGCTTCAGATTGGGTTTGAGATCTTTAATAATCTAATCTATTATTTAAACTGTTGAGTTACTCAACGCAAAACTTGGGATCTACCCCGGAATCACATACTTTGTTTTGACGTTTGTGGTCCGTTTCTCGTCTAGATAGCCTCGGTCCTTGTTTGGGTGGTTTTCTCCTACAACGATTTCCTTCTATCTCTATATTCTGTCCTACCGTCCCATTTGATGAAATTTCATCATTATGAGGGTTGATGGTCTCAATTGGCCGCCGCCGCAGTACTCTTAACTAGTAACTACACTACGCACTACAAACCATGTAACTATTGAGTCAGAGCGTATCATGTTGCGTATATTATTCAAATTAGCAACATCAGTCCTGCAGTCTGCGCCACTGTAGACTATCTTGGATTGTGTTTTTGTTTGACCATAAAAGAAACCTGTAACAAGTGAAAAGAAATTGAACCCATGTTTGTATAATTCGCAGGTTCCGGACCCGCACTTAGTTATCGCTCGCCGCCTTCGCAGCTTGACGATACGTCACCCATAAAGCTCCCGCTCACCGACATCATCACAACACCATTTGCATCGCGCTTTGTCGATTGACGCACTACCACTCAACCTGAAGCCCTTGTCCAAATACTGGGTATTTTTTAATCATCACCGATCAGCTTTCTGCCACCCACTCGTTCCCCGCAGTCGATTCGCCCTACCCCACCAAACATGGCCTCCGATCTTGACCAGCTCATAGAGATGGGCTTCGACCAGGAGCGAGCCCAACTAGCCGTTGCCAAAGCCGGAAACCGTGCGTAACTATCTACCGATTATATACAACTTGGTTGTTTTTGTTAACAACCAGCTTAGTGCAAGGGGCATTGGAATGGCTCGAGGAAAACCAAGACAAACCGCTGGATGAGATCAAGGCCGCGCAAGAAGCAGAGGGTGAAGATGGCCCCGCTCTCAAGCCTGGCGAAGAAGCTCGCAGTTTAGTCTGCAATGATTGTGGCAAGAAGTTCCGAAGCCAGGCGCAGGCCGAGTTCCACGCATCCAAGTCCCAACACGTCGATTTCTCAGAGTCCATGGAGGAGATCGCTCCTTTGACCGAGGACCAGAAGAAGGAGAAGCTACAGGAGCTGAGAGAGAGACTTGCCGCCAAGCGAGCTGTGCAATCAGTGCAGGACAAGGCCGATGACAAGAGAAACGAGGTAGGCGACACTTCCGAATCCAGTATGTATGGCTTTGCTGACAAATTCTGCAGCAAATCCGAATGAAGGCCACAAAAGAAAGCCAAGACGCGAAGGAGGCGCTGGAGAAGAAGGAGAGGTTGAAGGAAGCGGCCCAGAAGAAGAAGGATAAGCAGGATGAGATCGATGCCAAGAAGCGTGTTCAGGCACAGATCCAGGCGGATAAAGAGGAAAGGCGCCGCAAAGCCGAGCTGGCAAAAGCCGAACGAGAAGGCAAGGCTCTTCCCCAAGAGTCCGCCCCAGTCCCTGCTCCAGCCTCCAAGCCAGCATCCGAACACAACGAGACTCGCCTGCGTTTCCAAACCCCTCAAGGAAACATCATGAAAAGACTTCCCGTTACGACAACGCTTTTCGAGGTTGCTGCGGCTCTCAAGCAAGAGGATGGCGTCGAGGTCCAAAGTTTCACTCAGACCTTCCCCAGGAAGACCTGGAACTCCGAGTTTTTCGGCGAGACATTAAAGGAACTAGGTCTTGTGCCCAGCGCAAGCCTTATTGTTCAATGATTCGGTGTCTCGTCAGGAATGTTGGACCCTTGAAGAATGAAATGTTGCTTAGTCAAGGATGATAAATGAACAACGCATATTCAAGTTCTAAGACAAACACTTGTTCTTTTTTTTTTTGCTTTCCATATACCTAGGTATCAAAAAAATAGCTGGTAAATCGAACAAGAATTGCCGGTTTAGGCCACCATAGTACAACCTTAATATGGGACGGGATGGCTGCCTGGCGAATAAGGCGCTTATCAACATGTGACATCGCGATGGGATGGCCCGCGTGTCACTCACGCGTTCAACACGCCCTCTCCACTTCCTCCCAAATCAACACAACAATACACCAATATGCCAGCGTGAGAATCCCAGGTCCCAAATTCCCAGCTCAGACCCTAGTTTGAGATTATTTGCGCTCCCCAATGGACCCAGCCTCTGATCGATTTGACTGCAGTGTTGGCGACCAACATCGAGGTGGACCCGCATCCGTCGGGATGCCAAACGCCCCATCCACCACCGCGAACCCCTTCGACGAACCTCAGCGCCGCATGAGCGAGTACACAGCACAAGATATTGCCACCCTCCAAGCGCGATTGGACAAGAAACTGGGCCCAGAATATATCTCCAATCGACCAGGTGCCGGAGGCCAGAAAGTGCACTATCTTTCTGCTGATAAGTGCATCAACCTCGCCAATGAGGTTTTTGGATTCAATGGCTGGTCCAGTTCAATCCAGAAGATCGACATTGACTTTGTATGGCAGAGTCTGCTGTATCGAGCCCTTGATGTTTAAGGCTAATGATTATAAATCAGATTGATGAGAACCAAAATAGTGGTCGTGTCACCATGGGTTTATCGGTCGTTATGAGGGTCACACTTAAGGATGGAACTTACCACGAGGTGCGTACCTCTCTTTTGGTTAACAAAGTCCTATTACGATAATTTGCTGACCATCTCCAGGATATCGGTTACGGTCACATCGAGAATGCGAAAGGCAAAGCGGCAGCCTTCGAGAAGTCAAAGAAAGAAGCAACAACAGACGCCTTGAAACGTTCACTTAGAAACTTCGGAAATGTACTCGGCAATTGTGTTTATGACAAGGACTACCTTGCAAAGGTCACCAAAGTGAAGTCTACACCGGTAAGATTAGCTGGATTTATCATGGTGGTGGCCGTTCGGCTCATCTTCAATACAGGCCAGATTTGACGTTGAGGAGCTTCACCGACATCGGGATTTTGCACCGAAGCCCCAAGTGTCGAAGCCTCAAGCGCTTCCCGCGAAACGAGTAGCAGAGGATGACCTTTTACCTCCCCCGCGGCCCGTCGAACCTCAGGCTGCTAAGAGCAGCAATGCAATGACTAGCGGCAGCTTTGACGGAGATGGTGAATTTGGCAGTGAGTGTTATCATCCTGCTCGGATTTTTACTTTTCTAACGACAATAGGTGATCTCTTTGATGAAGCTGATTTTGCTGTGGGAACGACGGGGAACCCTGATGAGATAACAATAGAAACAGAGGCTCAACGACAGCCGCCAACCCCCCATGAATCGACCACCGCCTCCGAGAGGGCCTCCGGCAGGAAGATTCGACAACACCGTTACACCATCAAAACCAGAAAGGTGGAACCCCGGGAATCAAGGCGCCAGACAACCTCTGCCCCCAAACGGTCGACCCAACCCCTCAGCTATGCCTGCTCAAGGCCGACATATGCCCCCGAATGGACCTCAAAATGTGCCAAATTCGAGACCCGGGGGGCCACCTCAAGTACGCCCTACCCCTGGAACCAATCTTCAAAACCCTAACGGGCATCCGCCAGTAAAAACGGAACCTGCGGCAGGATTAAACCAAGATCCACAGCCGCCGCCTGGATCTCAATCAGTCGGCTTCTTCTCGGCCCGTGTAGCAGACATGCTACGTGATAACCCCAATGCTGGTCCTGTCCCGGGGAGTCAATTCGACCCCCATGCCGAGAGTCCCTCCATCCGGAAGACAGCGGGCGTGGATCATACCAAGAGCGTGCCTATCTCCAGGCCGATGCTTTCCAATGCCTCTCCTGCACCCAGTAACTCCCGAGATTTCGTCAATCCTGCTACCGACTTTCAACGGCGGGTCGGTGCTCCCGGGGGTGTCGCGGGCAGCCCGGGGGTTGGCAGTCCCTTATCCAGAGGCCCATCGACCTCGACATTTCGACCGTTGACCCGACCCAATATTGATGCAAGACCTGCCCCCAATGCTGCAACCATTGACCGGGCGAGTGTACCGCCACAAAATATGAATGGAAAACGACCACCTCTGAATGACGTTACCAACGCTTCACCCGGTGCCAATCTAACTGCCGCCCCTCTGGCCGCAAGTCCCACTGACCCCAAGCGACCTCGGGTGTCCGATGTTGGACAACATCAGCCGCCCCAGCCCCAGGCCCCATAGTGAACAACGTTCCGGTTCAATTGATTCACGGTGTACATCGAGGGAATTAGCGAGTATTGTCATTTTTATAGGGATTTGCTTCCATTTTACGGCGTCATATCATTTGCATGTTTCTCATGCCGGGAAATGGGGAAAGGCGTTTAGGGCTTGGATATGAAAACCCCCCAGAATGGGGTTCCAATGCATTTGTCTGGTCAAGGCGAAATTGATCCGAAGAGAAATTTCGGTTTGAGATAACATTAGATACACAACTGTGCGAAATAAACGGGCTCTTTTTATTCAAACTAGGTTCTAGTTGAGAGAGGGGATGGAATTCTAACTACCACTGGCATTCGGCAAGTATGCAAGGCGAAAGGTTTTCCCTGGTATAGGCTCTTTACAAACCACCTGGGAGGAGACATAACTAGAAAGAGACAAAAGACTGAAGTCAACTGGAGCAGCCGCAATCTCGACCCGCACAGGGGGGGAAGAACAAGGTAAAAACGATCGCAAGAGACCATTGATGAATTTGCAATTCCAAGGTTGTCGTGCAACATTCAACGAAGTTGTAAACAATTAGAACTTTCCGTGGCCTTAATCAACCCAAGCGATATTAGCCGGGCTTTCGGCAACATCTAGGTGGGCCACAACCGAAGCTGTAGTAGCATCTTCTCCCAGTTTCCAAACTTCAATAAAATTCCCCTGTGAATCCGCGATGGCAAAATATTCCTCTGAGAAAATTGCGGGTGTTATGGCATTGGAGGCACCACCAGATCCCGACGTGGGAACTATGAACAAGGAATCACTGATAGCGCCAGTGGTTTCGTCAAGCGAGTATGCAGCCACAAATCCGGGGTCGGTAGAGGTTCTGGAACGGACAGTGGCGAACAGATATTTGGGGTACTTCCCCCTGTCCTGTGGGACCGAGAACTTGACTTCGTCAGACCAGTAGAGCGAACTGTTGGAATAGCCTGGTTGAAAGATTGGAAAATATTGAGCATTCGAACACAGCGGTCTAATGGGAAAAATTGGTGGACTTACCTGATGGAAGCAGAGAAAATGTCTTATTTCTTCCGCTGATAAGGCCCGTTGTTTCATCCCGGTTGAAAACAGCAAGCTGATTGTTTTGCTCGAGAATCACATAAACGAATGACCCCTGCGGCGACACAGCAAGATGTCTTGGGTTGCCGCTCATATTAAGTTGCTGAAGCTTTGACACACTGTTGGTTGCTTCATCATAGGAATGGGTCCAGATGGAACCCCCCCATGTCATCCCCAGAATAGATAAATCTGTTATCACTGCTGAGTGCAAGTCCATGGATTCCAGAGTCACTGCCGTATGTGATATTGGCTTCTACCGATTTCAAAGTTCCGGAAGATCCAACTTTGATAACCTGTCCAGAGCAAGCTGTGGAATAGGGAGCACCAAAAACAGTGAATGGTTTAGCGGTTGACGCAACGATAAAGTTGACATTGTTGCCTAGTATAAGAGTTAGCGCTTGTATGTACACTGATCTCGGCAGTCTTGTGATTATTTCAAACATTTTTCAGAAATCGAAACATTTCCTCTGTGGGATAGTGAGTAGTCCCGACCGATCGCATAACTCTCATAGGTGTTCTCATTTGCAATGTAGAGGTTTCTGTTACTCGTCTGTTCCAACGTTATTAGGTGTTAGTATACCTATTCATGGCGCAGTGAGCAGGAGTGATGACTGACATCTGTGGCTATCCACTTGGAACTTGAGATGTCAAGAGTTCCATTGTAAATGATGCTCAATTGAGAAGACTTCTCGTTGAATGCAACTCCATACAAGGAACTTCCAGTGAAAACCCCGGAGTAAAAATGATGGACATGGCCCAGGGCCGGTAAAGACAAGAGGGCACCGAGAAAACCGCGAATGAGAAACATTGTGTTTTAATCGGGCGGTTGAGTCAAATTTCTACTAGTAAAAGTATTTGGCAGACACCTGGGATGGAGTAATATAACAAGGTCTACGGAGTACGGTAGTAGTATGTTCGAGGCGCCTACTGTCGATCAAAGTGGGTCAAACGGCGGATGTCGTCTTCAGGGGCACATACGTAATTTGCTGACGTTCCTCACCCAGCCGGAAAGCTTGTCATTTCTTAATTTGATGTTGAGTAGATAAAATCCAGTCTATGACCATTTAGTTAGTGACTTATTCCGATTAGTAACGCTTGAAAATAAAAAGCGCATCCACAGGCAACCCTGACACAGGTCACACAGTAAACTGGAAATTTCCTTGGGTTCCAAAGATGGGAAAAGCGTAGCTTCCCAACGGTGCTAATAGCAGGTCCTGATACTAGTAGAGAAATGATTACCTAGAAGAGGTTGGCAATGCCTGGGATGAGTTTACCCAAACCCGGTACTACTTCAAGGCTCAGGGTGTCGATAAAATTGTTGATACTGCTTAGGTACAGGAAGTCTAATATCTAGTGGTGACATCGTCTTGGTCAGCTTTTTGAAACAGAACTTGAAAGGAAGGAAAGAAGATCGCAAGATTGATTAAACTCTAGTTCATAAATTAAACCCCGGTGGAGCAGAAATGACTTGAACATAAACTGTCGGCATCTTTTAGCTCTAATACCCAGGTAGGAAAAATAATCTTCTTAAAAAATATGCAGATTTAAGGCAAGTGCGCAAGCAACATGTGAAGGATAATTTGTCCGAGTCGTTTGTAGTCACTGGCATGGATTGATTTCTTTCTGATCGTCTCTCGCCCTCATACGAGGCTCTAAGGGGTCCAAGTAGGCTGGGGAGCCTGAGTGAAGTCGGCAACCGGAGGATTGGCAAGGACGTTGTCATCATAGGATGGGTAGATAATCAGCCCATTTCGGACAACGGAGAATTGAGTCCATGGAGGGGTTCCAGCAGCGTAGTTGCTAGTGATGGTGAAGTCGCCGCACTGAGTAGGGCCTCCGCTGACATCAGGGCCATTCACGATGTAGGTGCAGTCGGTGGTTTCGGCACCATCGAAGATGCCAAAAGTCCAGGTACACGAGCTATCATCGTCGGTACATACGCGGACAAGGCCCTGGATAGTCCAATCGGAGTCGGCGGATGTGGTGGAAACGGAAGTGGAAGTGGAAGTGGCACCGGCGGTAGGAGTAGGGGTGAAGGGCGCAGCAAGAGCAACAGAGGCAGCCAGGAAAGTGGCTAGAATAGTTTGGGTAGCGTGCATGATTTCGTTTTTTTAGGTGGTTCAGGTTGTGATTTGGACTTTGGAGTCTATGAGGCTGCTGAGGATTTTGGGTTTTGTAGGTGTGAATGATATTCTCATCTTGATCGAGGATATTGAGGCTATTTAAATCTTCCGGGTGCCAGTGTTTTGCTGAACCGGCAGTGATGGAGCCCTGTTTGCTGGAGGCTTAGACAGCAGCAGGAAGCAAACGGACAACCATCATCGTTCTGTCATGGTGGGATGCCCAAACATGCGGTCTCAACGGAGTGGGGAAAGACAGCAAGATATCTAAGACTCAACCAATAGGACGAGGTTGCTGCGGCTTGCCCCGGACGCCTCGGACGCCTATCTATGGATGTGGCTGGCCTTAAATCTGTTTTGAGCCGCAACCCGATTACTGCGCATTTTATTTCTGGAAACTCCATGCAAATTAAATGTGAATTGTGAAGCTAAATTTAGCCGGAGAGGGAACCCTACAATGAAGTATGCTATATTCATGATCTAGGTCTATTCGGAAGGCTGAAGGCTCCAGGGCTCTTGGCCGACATGATCATTTAGCAGTGCCAAATTCGCTTCTTCTGAAAATTATTACAGAGAAATTCACTAGTAGTATTTTCCTTTTTTTAAAAAGAAAAAAAAATTTCCTCTGTCCAAGGATACGCATGGGCCAAGTTTTGATATTGGTCTAGAATTGTGGCGTAGCGGCCTCAAACGTCAAGCTCTCTGCGAAAGCTAGAATGCGGCCTAATTTTGATTAAGGCGCACAAAGGCCAAGTAAAATATGACGACATGGAAATCTATGTGCTGGTCCTGGTGGCAAACATTTTGGTTTTCCCAATAAGTGAAGATGTTCTTTCTTGAAACCAAGCAGTGTCGAGAGAGCTCTGACCGACATTCCCTATCGCGTATTAAGTATGGCTCTAATATTTTATGCGTGAGAAAAAAAAAATTAGAAGCTTGACATTGCTCGGTTCTACCCAGGCGGCCTTCCAGCTCCCGGCTAAAACGTAAACCGACTGCAAACAGGTTCGTGAGATGGGTTATAGTCACCAATTGTAGATTTCTGTCATAACTTGCAGGGCTGCATCGCATGGGCATGTACAAACCCCAAAGAGCGAAATCTGGTGACTCCATAGGATAGCCCAGCTTATGAATCCCTCAGCTAGGAGCAAAAATGTTTAATGTGTAGTGTTTTGTCCAAAAGTTGATATAGTTAATGGTGGCAATGTGATTTGTCAGCCACGCGTTGACTAAGGATCGCAGCGCGCATTCAACTTATGCCCGCATTTTTGACGTCTCTTGATTTGCGAATGCTCTTTTTCGCATTGGTTGGAATTTTTCACACCCACAAACTCATACGTAAGGATATATGAATCTGATGTCAGCTGCACAAGCAAATAGCTCCGATGCTGGGAAGGAATTCAGCTGTCCATATTGCCAGAGGTCTTTTCGGAGATTAGAGCACTTGCAACGGCACACAAGACGACGTATGTTCTCCGCCCTGGCGTATTGTTGCAGCACTAATTCATACAATTTAGATACTAATGAAAAACCGTTTTCCTGTCCCTGTGGAGCTTCGTTTTCTCGTCGTGATCTTTTACGTCGTCACGAGCGTGTCTCATGTCACTTGAAGAGTCCCAATGATTCACTTTCGCAGGTCGTGAATGGTACTCGAATTTTTCTCTCAGATCATAGTGACCTACCGCATACAGGTTATGGCCGTACTCCCGGGTATGGAAACGAGTCTCAGCGCCATGCCGGCTTTCCCGCTTACCAACCTCCTCCGTCCTTGAGCTATAGCACAAATGTTGACTCTTTCACGTAAGCTTATCACTTCCGTTTATCGATACCTGTGGACACCCTAGAAATATTTTCAGGTGTGAAAATCTCGGTTTTTGTACTAGTATAACATAAAACTGATATAATTCAGTGTCTCGTCTCCTTCACTCAACGCTCCTTCGAGAAGTCCTCCTACAGAGCAAGGTGGACCTCCTGCAGTTGAGTTTCCTACCATATTCCCATCTCCCCAGCTCTCACTAGGTGAGAATCCATATCTTCGTCATGGGCATTACTATGAAGAGCTGACATCCTTGTTAAGCCACTCAAATTATTCCGCATTTCGCATGCCCCAACGTCACTCTTTCAAATCGATCTAGGTTACTCATGTCGTTAAGGAGGGTAGAAAAAGAGTTCCCCAATCCGATTTTACCTTCTGCCAATGCATTAACTCGTTTCCTGGCTGGTTACTTCACTGGGTTTTATCCTCACTGCCCGTTCACGCACTCCCCAACATTCAAACTCGAAACGTGTTCACCAGAGCTTTGCTTGGCCATGATGGCAGTGGGAGCACAAGACAGATTTGAGACCACTTCGGCAAGACTGCTCTTCCGCTTCTCCAAGGCATTGTTATTTGATAGCCAACAGAGAAGTATAGCTAGAAACCAGTCTGAGTCTTTGTCAGAGGGAGGCACGTCAAGTTTCGAGTCAATCGACCGGCTGGGGTGCTTGCTTTGCCTCGCTCAGTTTGCGACATGGCAAAGTGACGCAAGTCTGAAAACGGAGGCCTGCATTTTACAAAGTCTTCTTTCTCAATCCTTGCGATTGAGCGGCCTGGAAGAAAATCCACAATCGATGGAACGCTGCAGCTGGGAGGAATGGACGCAAGAAGAATCAGCACGACGGACAAAATTTTTCGCGTTCTGTTTCCTTGGAATTCAAAATATTGCCAACGATACACCGCCTAGCATTTTGTGCGATGAGATTAACCTGAGGCTTCCATGCTCTTGTCCGGAGTGGACTGCGCCAGATGCAGTCACCTGGAACCTATTGCGACAGACTACTCCTAATGAACAAGGACTGTTCCGTGATACTTTAAACGCCCTGTTATCTCCAAACTACCGACCGACCTACAGCAATTCGCCTGTTGCAAATTATGTTCTGATTCATGGACTGCTGCAAAGCATTGTTTGGACTCGACGCTCTGTATCCGGTACCTTGTCATTGGCCTCGTCAGAGGATTATGAAGAAACATTCGAGTAAGTCTGCCACATTAACCAAGCTTCATAGTTCCTTCTAGAAGTTTCGTGCTAATCTCACTTAAACGATACTAGCAATGCTCTGCGTAGATGGACCTCATGCTGGCAGCAAACACCAGAGTCAAACCTTGAACCTCTAGATCCCAATGGTCCTCTACCGTTCAAATCGAGTGCCCTTCTCAGCCTTGCCTACGTTCGAAATTGCTCCGGTGTGTCTAAATCGAGGAATATCTTCTCCTGGATACCATCCAAGATCGCTGAATCCCTTCGATCCTCTCTAATCGTGGACCGCAAATGGAGCTCGCTCTTATCCGCCTATCACGCAACAAATTTCCTTGCGACACTGGTCAACCTTGGTATTCAGTATTTCAAACATAATCAAGCGGTACTTTGGAGCATTGAGGCCACCCTTTGCGGCCTCGAGTCCTGTGTATTTCTTGAGAAATGGCTATCTCATGTCCAGAGTACCAAACAAGATAGCCCCTTAACAGGTACTTTATATCCCCCCCTTTTCTGTCCTGTATTATTTCTTTCGGTTCAATTGGACACTCATATTCTTTAGATCATGAAATCCGACTCATAGAATGGATTCAAGAGGTTGTTCATGAGGGCTTATCGTCAGTCAATGACTCCTCCTTTGAGGGCAACATACGACCCGTCCTATTACCAGATCAGATCATCGCAATTTGGTCACACATAATGCTAGGGAATTCCCCATTTCCGTTCATAAAGATGATAGGAGAGACCCTAGTTGCATATGGAAAGAATTAATACATCTCAATATTTCAAGATTGGAACATTGAAATGTCATAGTATTCTTTTCTCCAATAATAATAATAATAATAATAATCTTGGAATCAAGCCAAACATTCATTTCTCAAAGGCAGGTTTAATCCACCTACTTTTCACACGCCGGATCCTTTTTGTCCCGCTGCATAATCTAAAAGCAGCCGAGATGAGCGATTTCTAATTCCATAAATATCAGTACCGAAAATGCTCCGAATGACCAAGCAAGATAGTATCTCTCCGGGGTCGGCCTATCTTTCTAACCCGTACCTAGGTATGGAGTATCGTGATGGACCAAGTTTAGATATCGGGATGACTGAGATGGGTTGTATTGGGTTGGGGGAGTGGGTCGATTTGGGGATTGGGGAAATTTCCCCACATAGACCGAAGTGATTCTCCACGTCGTGTTGGAGATCGAGCTGTTTGATTCGATTACCTTCAAAGTTTGAACTACCACGTCGCAGTAGATAGGGATAGACTACGCTACAGTGCGTGAGAAACTAAAATTTGTTTCTATAGGTGACGTTATCCTTGCCTCAAGGAAGAAGTTTAATAAGCATGGAACGGAAAACTTCCAAGAGTGCACTAGGTAGCCTGAAAATGCTATATAAACCCTGGAGTCAGGCGTCGTTCGTCAGTCGTTCCATTCTATCCGAACATCATTAAGCTTTCAAGGTTGAACATTCAGTCGAATTCTGAACGTTATGTCGCAACAAACTGTTATTCGCCTTCCCGGCGAGCGGAACTCGATCCAAAACTTCAAGGCCGTCCAGGAATCTATCCCAGTCCCTGCCAAGCACGAAGTTTTGATCAAGGTTCACGCTGTGTCATTGAACTACCGGGATGTCGGTGTCGCCCTCTCGTTATACCCATTCCCTGTCAAGGACAATGTTGTCCCGTGTTCCGATGCTGCCGGTGTTATCGTTAAGGTTGGCGAAGGCGTCAAGAATGTCACGAAGGATGATCACGTCATTACTACCTTCGATCCTACCAATATTTACGGCCAACAAATGGATTGGAACAACGGCCATGGTGCACCAGTAGATGGTGTCCTCCGAGAATACATTACCGTCCCCGCTGCCTCCGTCGTCCAAGTCCCCAAGGACTCACCCCAGAGCTTCTCGGAGTGGTCCACTCTGGTCTGTACTGGTGTGACCGCATGGAATGCCCTCTATGCCCTGACGCCACTGAAGCCCGGACAAACTGTACTATTTCAAGGTATGTGACGATTTTTAACAAATATTCGAATCCGTTGTATACTATCTTCAAATTCTGACGACCGTTTTAACATTAGGAACTGGCGGCGTTTCCCTCACGGGATTGATCCTAGCCAAAGCCGCAGGAGCAATTACTATTGTGACTTCCTCTAGCGACGATAAGCTCGCCTTAGTCAAAGAAAAGTTCGGCGCGGACTATACCATCAACTACAAGTCTCATCCTGAGTGGTCCAAGGAGGCCTTGAGACTCACTAACGGAGAAGGCGTCGACTACGTATTTGAAAACGGTGGTTCCGGCACCATCGCTGAAAGTATCAACTCAGTTAAGATGGGCGGCAATGTTTCAGTCATTGGGTTCCTTTCCAAAGCAAAGGAAATGCCTGATGTCGCAAGTCTAGCTCTTGCTAAGGGAGCGGTGGTTCGCGGTGTTGTCGTTGGATCTACGCAGCTTTTGCAGGAGGTTGTCCGTTTCGTTGCCCGCAAAGGTCTTCGTTTGCCTGTCGAGAAGGAGTTTGGTTTCTCCCAAGAGGAAACCATCAAGGCATTTGAGTATCTGACTTCCGGAACTCACATTGGCAAGGTGTGCATCAAGGTTGTTGGATAAATCGGATCAGCAAGCTTGTAAAGCCGTGTGAATCAAAGAATGCGGCAATGCGGCGATGCTGGAATATGTGCGTTTTTAGTAGTCAAGGTTGGGAAGATAGCATAGCAAACTTGAAACAAAAGAATAGAACGGTTGTATTGAATTTGAAACTTCTGCTCTTAATTACAACGGGTGCCACATCCACATATTCGTCTCCGAGTAAATACCAACTCGACGTTTCGCATCCCATCGCAAAGGAGTAGTCTGTTTCTCATTATTCAAAAGCAACCCATTCAGTTTGCTGCCTACAAGCCAGCGGCCTCCATCTTCATCGGTGAGCACATCCAACGCTAGCTTATCTCCGAACCGCCGCTGCCATTCCGCAGCAGAGGCGACCACTGTGAAACTTCTGACCGCTGGCTTCACGGCTTTAGCTCCCATTCGCACATGCTTTCGAATTTCTTTGTCAAATGGAAGGGGCTGGTCGGATGTATTAGAGCTTGGCCATCTGAATCCTTGACGGAAGGGGCCCTCTTGGATCCAACTAAAGTATTGTTCGAACGGAATGTGCGGATATTGAGACTTGTGCGTTGGTCGGACCGGGATGACCAACGCCTTTAAATTGTTTTGGCGAGCCAAGGATTTGAAATTTTGATGGAGAATTCCGGCAAGGCGCTGGCCTCGGTAGTTATCTGCCACGACGACCAGCAGCCCTGATAGGGCATTTGGTCGATTTCGTAGCCACGCTGTGGCCTCATCTTTCTTTTGATCCCCGGTGAGAGGCAAAGTCTCGTCTGATGGGAGCTCCCCTAGTCTTGCTCGTGCTTGAATAACCCCTCTGGCCAATATTGTCTCCCATCCTCCATCTGGGAGAGTCGAGGCGCATTCAGGAGGACCATCCGCGTAGAGTGAAACAGTTGGAGCTCGAGCCAGCTCTGGCCAAAAAAAGGGAGTACATACACCGGTAGCAACTACTCTCTCATCCGAGTTCCGTATAATCATGGTTTGGTACCGGGCCAATTCTTTGATCTCTCCTAGTTGTCGATAATACCGTTTGAAAACAGCTCCCTGGCTCCATAATGGAAAGCTAAATACGCCATGGTTTGGGTCTGAATGTGTAGGATGCCAGAGATCTGGGCGTTCCGCTGCTGTCACGAACCGATGTCCCAATGGAATTGAGGCTGAAGTTCCCTTGACGGAGCTTGTTCCAGAGGAAGTAGTTGAACCAAATGTCGCGTAGTGGATAATCCCTGAACTTTGCTCGTCGCACGTGGCAAAGGAACTCTGCAAATCGCGTGTTTTCAGTAGGGGCTCTCGTTCCTTGACGATATTGTTTTCGTGGAATCGTCCGCTTCTTGGTCCGGAAAGCCAGAATCCTATGGCAGTGGCTGCAGCCACGGCACCAAGGACTGTAGTCATGATCACCCAGCCATATCGGTGGTCAATAAGACCTCCGAGCACGGGACCCAATATCAATCCAGCAAACTGAGCCATATACTGGATACTACGTATTCTCCCAATAGCATCATTATCGTCGAAAGTCCCCGGGCTGGTTTCGTCGAGCTCGAAGAGAGCGTTTTGCATATCGGCCATCATGGCGGGATTCACGGTATTAAGGGAAACACCTATCAGGTATAGAAGCGTAATCAAAATCAACTGGTGCTGTATCGTGTTGTGCCGAATAAAACGCAAGCAGATAAAACATGGTGTAGCCAAACCAAATCCGAGGACTGCGTGTGTACGTGTGTTGAATCGATCAGGAAACGAGCCTATGAAGAGTGCTCTTGTGTTAGAAAGTGATCACGATTGTGAGTAGTGGCATGGCTTCAAGTTACCTGAAAGGGGACCAAGAACAACAGTCATAGTGACTGGTAAGAGTGTACAGCCAGCTTCCAATGAGCCCCATTGGAAGTGGTCTGTTACAAAGACTGGAAGTGTCTATATTACTGTCAGCGAGTTTCCAAACAGATATTGCGGTGGCAGCTAACATTCAGAAGAGCAGATATAAGAAGAAAATAAGATAGAATGGATGTTGCTGATATCATAACCCGAGGTTCCCGGATAAGATGCCACATTGTGAGAGTCTCGCAGGAGTCGTCTCTCCTTCCGTCAAAGTCGTATGCAGTAGCATCATCCGAATCTTCAGTTTCAGATTCATCATCAATTTCAGGTGCATTCGGCCACTTTGTTTCAGTGAGTCTGTCTATTATTGCCGAGCAGAAGATGAGGTTGATTGCAAGTAGTACAAGGACCGCTCCAAATGCAGCACAGTATCCAGCATAATGGTAGATCATTCCACCGCAAAGGGGTCCAAAGATAAGCCCGGCCGCCACAAAAGTATGCAGGTAGCCAAAGACATAACCCTTTTTCTCCTTTGGGGCGGAACCAACCATTATAGATAATCCAGTCACGAAAACCATCGACATGGAAGCACCTTGTGTGATCACGGCAAGCATGTATAAGTGCAGGGAATCGGCAAAAGTGAACAATAGCGTGGAAGTGAGAAGCAATATTAAACCGAGTAGATAGAAGCGTTGAATATTTTCGATTTGATTAATCAAGTGGCCAAAAATGGGCGCACAAACGAGGGAGGTGACTGCGCCAATTATGAGCATCACACTGATCCAATATTCACCTGTATCTAGATCAGCTCTATGTGGGGGTTCAAAAGGTCATTGCTGGACATACGGTTTTCAACCGCAACCTCGGCTCGTGTCACGAGCGCTTCTGGCATAATTGGAATTATCTTCAGAGATATCAGAACGGTTTAGCGAGTTCTAGATTGCAGATGTGCTCACCATTCCGTAGAGAAAAATGACCTTTTAAGCCGAGGCTATTTAGCTGAGGATATCTATAGGGGGATCAATTTTATCATTGAACTTACTGTAAATAGCGAAAGTCCGACCGTCATGAGAGTGAATCTCTGAGAAGAATTGAGTTCCAAAATCCAGGCATGTTCATCGCGCCTACGTAGGATGTATGATATTGGAGTTGACTCCATTATGTTCTCAAATCGCGATGCTGTAAAAAAAAAACTGTAAAGACTGATAGAGAAATGTAACCTGAAATACTAGCACGTTTCAAATCATGTGCGAAATGATCCGTGCTATCACATAGGATACTTAAAATATCAGGGCTGGTGAGGAAAGGACAGTGTGCAGAATACCACGAACTCCGAGTCTCTCAAATAATCGATCGGTTGGTGATTAAAAGCGTTCCATCATTGAAGATAAATCAAGGGGAAGGGGCCCCCTTGTTTAATGCATGAATACTGTATCGTATCCATGACGACTGGTGATAAATCTACCTGCAGAAGCACGATGAGACCCGCAGCTGTCGGTGACGCCGCAAGGGCAGCCAGCCACAAGAAATTCCCACCAATCCTAGACCTCGTCTAGCTAGCATACAAGAGAATTTGGAAAACGCAAAATCTCTGCACTTTGCATTTGGCGCAACTATTTCTTTCTTTTTCTCTCTTTTTTCGTTGACGAGGTCTTGAAATATCAGCCAACTACCGTACGGAGTACAGATACTAGCTGACAAGATCAGCGCTAGTGGTCTAATGGAGTGACACAAAGTGTCTGAGGGCCAATCAAAGAGGAATATGCCCCACGGGTTGTCGTTACACGGCATAGGCCATTAAAATTCCCTTGCGATGTATCGAATTTATCCATGAGAGGAGGAAGAGCTGAAAGGTGGGGTATACTAGTTATTTCTCAAACCGCTACGGAGTACTCCTCAACTCCTCCGTAGATAAGACTATACTTGACGGCGTCGAGATACTAAAGGTATCTATTTACCTGGATCGACAGTGGAATCCATGTTACTTATCACGTAAAGCAGCTGTATCTGCACCCACCCTCTTCCACGACTCTAACAATCTGTCGTTTTCACACAAATCTACACGGCCAGATTCAGGCATTCACGCTAAATTCTCATGTCGCGTGACCTCATTTCACCTCGTCCGGGTCCAATAGGCACACCAACTTGAAATGGGAAATTCTAGAATCGAGGAAACTTCAAGTTTCCAACAAGAGCAATACTTCCTGGTCTCACCTGAGTAATGATGAGAAACTTGAAGATCCCAGTGGAGTGACTCTAATCCAAAAATAGGCCATATAATAGCATATCTAGCAGAAGATTCCGCACTGAACACGGTTCTCTGAAGTGATGGAGGGGTTACAAAATCACGGTGAGAGTTCTAGGTAGGTGGCGTCACCAATGATGACAGTATGAGTGGGGAGGCTGCAGTCCGGCCCCGGAGTTCTGGTATTGGAGATGAACTACTCCTAAGAAACCCTAAGAAACCCTAAGGTAAGTTCCTGAGGTTGCCCCTAGGGCTGCCTTTATCTAATCTGATCATCAGTGCATGTACCCGATCGAACTAGCTACTACCTAGGTACCAGCAACTCTTAGGCTTGAGCTCCTTGGTGAGAACTTAGGTCAAAATTCCAAGTCCAAGAAAAAATAAAATCATACTCGAAAGATAACGACTTCTATTCTTAGAAATCCCTCATAGTTCATAGTTCTGTAGCATACCAATCTGAAAGAGTGCCAATCCCGCAATGACGCCACCCGATCGCCAACTCTCTGCCGACTCCGACTCCGCTCCGCTTTCTTCTCCCTCTCCAACTCTCCAACTCCCTCAAATGTAACCAACGCTCTCTATTTCAAGGCAATGCCTCCCCTTCGCCCCTCAATATTTATTTTCCATGTACATAAACCGAGCCTAGTCTCATCATCCCGTCAAACCAGTCGACACCGCTATCAGCACCACCACAGCGCAGCAATCCGCAAACGACCCCGACCAACAGCACTAAATTCCCAATCCTCCCACTCAACCCCAACACCAACACCAACCCCTATCATATTCACCGCATCATTCTCCAGCACCGGCCCGCGCCCCGCAAAAGAAAAAAACCACTATGAAACCCTCGGCCTACCCGTAACAGCCACCGCAGATGAGATAAAGAAGTGCGTCCGTCAAGCTCCTCGCCAGTACCTAGGCAGCTAGCCACCAGGCCCTCCCCCTCCCACGCAATAAACCTTGGAAGGCAAGAGAAAGAACTCGAACTCGAACACCAAACTAAAACCGCTCCCTCTGCAGAAAATTCTACGCCCTCTCTCTAAAACACCACCCAGACCGCAACCGCTCCGACCCAACGGCCAGCCAACGCTTCGCCCGAATAAGCGCCGCCTACAACGTCCTCGGCAACGTCTCCAAGCGCTCCTCCTACGATCGAGATCATGGCTTCCATCACACGCAACACGCACACCGACACCCCGCCACGCCGTCCGGAACCCACAGCAGCCACAGCGCCCATGCGCATCACGCCGGTGGCGGAGGCACTTATGCCGGGTCAAGACCTGCCAGCGGCCTGAGTAAACGGCGCGGAACATTTACAGGCCCGCCGCCGAGTTTCTATACGCATGGGGGATATGGGCGGACTGGGCGGACGGCGAGCGAGGAGGGGTTTAAGGGTGCGTTTGGATTTGGGGATGGTGCTGGTGCTGGTGCTGGCGCTGGTGCTGGTGCTGGCGGGTTTGAAAGCGAATGGGCTGAATTTACGGCTGGACATCGACAGGGTCGGGAAGTTGATCCTGAAGATCCGTTTGATTTCATTCGACGGAACCCGCTGAGGCATTTTAATGCGCGGGCTCATTATCGGACGCAGAGGGCGGAGGATTTGAGGAGGGGGGAGAGGAGGAGGAGTGAGGCTTATCATGATATCATCAAAGAGCGCGAGGAGGCTGCCGCTGGGACGGCGGGGTCTGGGACTGCGTCTACTAGTGGGCCTGGGCCTAGGTTTCGGTTTGATTTGGCTGGTTTGGTGGGCTTTACGGGGATTGTTTTTGTGGTTTTCTGTTTGACGGAGTATGTGAGGGGTGGTCCTATCACTGGGGGTTCGAGGAAGGACTCGGATTCGAAGGAGTGAGATGTGCACAGCCCTGGCTTGTCGAGCTAATGATGTTTTTGCGGGGTACCTTTGTGTTGCTTTGAAGATGATATCCATCGCGGGTCTAAAGAGGTCGGGAACCTCTGACGCGGGTGGGATCAGCTTGTACATACTGGGATGCTATGTTGTACCATGCAGATATCGGGGTGTCATGTTTTACAGCTACACATTTGAGCTGTGCTGCAGATCTACCACGATCACGTTTACATAGAGAAATTTCACCAGACAAAGGAAATTTAGATTTGATATACAAAGTGTTATCGAGTCAAGACTACCATACACACTCAAGGTTATCTGCGAAAGTCCATAAACCTTCGTTCTCCTCTTACCAGTCCAATAAGATCGGGAATCGATTAAACGAAGAATTAGATATTACCCGGGAAGCAATTGCTCTCTGGGCTGGATACCATGATGCTCATGGAAGACATTTAAGCCTCGAAGGTGAAGCTGGCGCCAACCTTGTGGGCAGCCTGGTTCAGGTTCTGGGTATCGAAAGAGGCACCGAGGCCGAGGGTCACACCGGGGCGGAGGAGGACGTTGTAGGCGAGAGCGGCAACACCACGGTCGTTGATCTTGGCCTATATAGTGAAATATTGTCAGTCTTTTTCATTTCACAATAACCGCTAAACAGGGTTTTAAGCTACGCACCTTGGCGAAGGAAGAGGGGTCCAGGCGGTACTTGCTGGCGACCTCGAGGCCGACGGCGTTGCCGGAGTTGGAGTCCCAAGAGGCCTTGGCACCAGCCTCAACCTGAGCGTTGACGCGGTGGTAGTAGGAGGCGGAGAAGAGGGACAGGTTGTTGCTGGCGGTGATGGCAGCGGAGTACTGGGGAACGCTGTAGCCGACGGCAGCGGAGTACTTGGTGATGGCGGCCTTGTTGACGTCGTAGCCACCCTCAGCACCGACGAGGAAGCCCTCGTGGCCGAGAACAGCGTCGAGGTTGGCGGTGGGGCCGTTCAGCAGGTCGAAGAAAGCACGGGCGTGCAGGTTGGGCTGCTTGAAGTACAGGTTGAGCTTAGCACCCTTGGACTGCTTAGCGGGCTGGTACTGGGTCAGGATCTCAGCCTTGAGGCCCTTGGCAATGTTGTTGTCGAGCTCAAGCTTGGTGTCGAGAGCGTTGGCGGTGGTCCAAGCCTGGGTCAGGGTAAGGCCTGGTCGAGGGCGATACATTAGCTTGATTGTGTGCGTGGTGGAATTCGAAAAAACAAAGAAGTTCACCTGGCGCGACACGAGTGGGCCGCATAAGAAGGTAAATCTCATGGGCCGAAACTCGCGCGCGCTGGGATCGGGTGGTCTGCGCCGGGAGGGTCCCTTACCAGTGGGAGCATCGACGTACTTGGCCTCGAGCTATGGGGGAATTGGGTTAGCCATGTTTTTCGATGCAAAACCGAGGGTGGGAGGGGGGGCTGTAGTGGGAACAGGAACAGCAAGAAGGAAAACTCACCTGGCCGGCAATGGAGCCCTCGTGGGCGGACTTGCCCTTGACGGTGAAGGTGACACCGTTGGGGGCCTTGGACTTGACCTCGAGGTTGGCTGGAGCTGGTTAGTCGGATTATTCGTCATCGGCGACATTATTGCGGCGGGGACAAACCGGGGCTGGCGTGGTAGAAGTCCTTGTTAAGGAGCTATCCGGAGAAGGAAATCAGCTGGGGATTCCGGACAAGCATGGATGAGTATAAATTCAAATTGAATGAACATACATCGTTGGCCGCCTTGGCGATGTCGGAGAAAGCAGCGGGAGCAGACATTGTGAATTGAGTTGATGGGGGATGAAAGGTGTGAAAGAAGGAGGAAAGCGATGGGGAAGAGAGAAAGGTCGACTTCAAGTTGGTTGGGCAGGGGGGGTCACTCGGGTGGACTCCAACCACGGGCCGTTGGTCGGCACTTGATTGGCTATGGCTGTTCCCGAGTTAGCCCGTATTATGTAATCGTGGTTTTCCCCGGTAAAACATCACTCAATTCAATAGCGCTTGTTACAATACGGTATATTGACAAGAACTATATCCGATTGGTTCTATTTATACTCCGTACTCACAAGACCTCAAGCTTGGGGGGAAATCTACGGAGTATATAGGTACCGGTTTAATAACTCCATTCAAGTTGGGATGCAGTAGTTCTCTTAGACTAAGACTCTTTCAATGCCTCTACTCCGAGTCCTAGTCCTAGTCCTATGTGATGTTGATGTTGCATAGCAATTAGTTTCAGCAACCTGAACAACTTGAATGGACATATTTAAGAGCTCTGCCTTATCATGTCATCTACTGTACCCTAGGGTAAGATTTAATAATAAAAAAGCGGGTATATATACACCTTGATTCTATCTAGAACTAATCTAAGGAAAATAAAGCGATTTTGTATCAAAAACAGACACTTTTTACTCGGTGCTATCGTACTTGGCGTTGTGGGTGGAGATGGCACTAGGATTACCAAGTTAGTTTCGCCGGCAATTCAAGGGTCAAGAAAAAGAGGGGGGAAAGGCATAGGTTTACTCACCGGCCACTGGGGTCAGTCTGCTTAGACCAGGTCGGGGTCCAGCGCTCGACGGTACCAGCACAGTAAGGGGGGAAGTGCTCGTCAAACATTGTGCGGTACCAGTAAGCCTCCTTGGTGTCGGGAATATCAGAGCCCCACTCAGGCTTGGGGTTCTTCATCATCTCATCGGTAACATGGGCCTCGGCGGCGTCCTTGAGACCGTCGATCCAGCTGTAACCGACACCGTCGGAGAACTGCTCCTTCTGGCGGTAGAGAATCTTCTGGGGCAAGTAGGGCTCGACATCGGGCTCGTCGGTGGTGTCGAAGGCACGGCGGATGATATACTTCTCGATACGCTCCTTGGTGATCATCTTCTCGGCAGGGTCGACGCTCATGGCGGTCTCGAGGAACTCCTTGTCCAGGAAGGGGACACGAGCCTCCAGACCCCAGGCGGAGGTGGACTTGTTGGCACGCAGGCAGTCGGCCAAGTGCAGGTTCTTCACGCGGCGGACGGTCTCCTTGTGGAACTCGTCGCGGTTGGGCGCGGCGTGGAAGTACAGGTATCCGCCGAAGATCTCGTCGCTACCTTCGCCGGAGAGGACCATCTTGACGCCCATAGCCTTGATCTTACGGCTGAGCAGGTACATAGGGGTCGAGGCGCGGATGGTGGTCACGTCGTAGGTCTCCAGGTGGTAGATGACGTCGGAGAGGGCGTTCAGGCCATCCTCAACGGTGAAGGTGAAGGCGTGGTGCTTGGTGCCCAGGAACTTGGCCACCTCCATAGCGGCGGCGGTGTCGGGGGCTCCGGGCAGACCGATGGAGAAGGAGTGTAGTTGCTGGAATGTGGTGACGGTGGACAGCTCGTTCTCGTCGTCGATACCGACAAGCTCGGCGGCGGCAGCGAGCTCGGCCTTGGTGGCCTTGCGGGAGGCCTCCTGCATGCGGAGGGTCTCACGTTGGGCGATGGAGGCGACCAGACTGGAGTCCAGACCACCGGACAGCAGGACACCGTAGGGAACCTCAGCCATCAGACGCTTGCGAACGGCCTTCTCCAGGCTGTGACGGAGCACCTTGTAGTCGACAGGGGCGGTGGGGACGTTGGTGGGATCCCACCACTTAGGCTCGAAGTAGCGAGTCAACTTGTCGGTCTTAGAGTCGTAGACATGGCCGGGAGGGAAGGCAATGATGTCGTCGCAGACCGGGTGCAGAGACTTGAGCTCGGAAGCGAAGTAGACAGCGCCGGGGGTGATGGAGGAGCGGCCGAGGTAGAAGCTGGTGATACCAATGGGGTCACGGGCTGCAACAACACGGTCCTGCTTCTTGTCCCAGAGGACCCAAGAGAACATGCCATCGAGGTGCTTGGGAGCATCAATGCCGTACTCCATATACTGGTGGAGGGAGAAGTGTGAGCCAAACCAAATTTTGACGTGATATATAATATCAAAACGGGTCCATTGAAACATACCAGGGGAATGACGACCTCACAATCGGAGTGAGTCTTGAAGTTATACTTCGTCTTCAGGTTTTTCCGCAGGATACGGTGGTTGTAGATCTCGCCGTTAACGGCGAGAGCGAGGGAGGAGTCATCGTTGACCAGGGGCTGGGCACCGGAGTCTGAGGAAACGAAAACCAGTCAGAAAACCGGTATGATTGAAAAGAGAGCTCTTGAATGTGCCCTTAAATGATTGTACTTACCAACACCGACGATAGACAGACGCTCGTGGGTCAGAACTGCATATGCCGGTTAGCCCAAATGTACCCCACGGCGATCGCCGATCTTGCTCAACTCACTTGTGTTGTCGCCAATGAAGCTACCGCCTGTTATAGAGGACAGTTGTTAGTTTCATATTCCTGCCTTGACTCATAATAGGAGGCCCATCGCATTGCAATTCCAATTATGAATTGTGACTCACTCCAATCGGGACCACGGTGGCGCACGCTGTAAATCGAGGGATAGGTTAGCGGACAGGGCTCAATTGCTGAGATTGACGGGGAATCGGAAAGAGATACTCACGCCTTGGCCATGCGCAAAGCCGTGGGCTTGAATTTTTGCACATCGGGGTGACTGTCATGGAATTAGTGGGATCCCACATTTCGTGCGCGTAGTGGGGGACCGGGGAAAAGGACCACCACGCCGCGGGGGTGGATTTAATGGATTGAGAAATGGGGCATTGAAGGGAGGAGCATCGGAGTGAAGTTAGAGGGAACATACTGGTGACACGCGAAGATTCCACACATGTTGGGCGACTGATTAATGAAACAATTGACAAGAGAAGAGAGATGAAGAAAGAATGTGAGGCCAAGGTTTTTTGGTGTTCGGCGGGGGGGGGGCGATGTCGGCAGTCTTTGAGTCACCGATAAGATAAAGTGGATATGGTAATTGCATCTGCCAATGACTATGGAGATGATGGAACTACCACTCTACAGCTCCATTGGTACTGGTAGTCTTACTATAGACTTACTAGGGTAGTAGTGTATTGTAGTCACCATTGCGCCGCGCTTGTTCAGTGCTAAGAGAGATGCTAGAATTCATGCAGTGACCATCCCCCCCCAAAATCCCAATCCAATCCCGGAATAAGAAATACCCAATCCAGAACCCAGTGTACAAACACCACAATTACCTACATAGGCGGGTTCTCGCGGACAACCTGGCGCACCTTGCGCTCATAACCAGGGCGGTCCTTCTTGAACATGTTGTATGCTTCGGCTTGCGCAGGGGATTCGGGATTGGGGTCGTTGAGAAGATCCTGAATACCCAGGAGAATCTGCTTAATAGTAATGGCAGGTCGCCAGGCCTCTTCCTCGTTGAGAATAGACAAGCAGACAGTGCCAGATGGGTAGACATTTGGGTGGAACAGCGGAGGAGTAAATTTGCCTGCGACAAGACAAGGTCAGCCATACATAATTCCATCAAGAGATCCCTCAGCCGTTCAACTGGTCTGTTCTGTGCGCGATCACAAATCGACGATTCGCGCTGCTAAAGAACCCGGATATCGATACGTACATTTTGGTGGCTTGGTCGGGTATTCTGGAAGGAAGCGCGAAGATCGCCTGCGTCAGTATGTCGGATCGTCGCGAGGAATGCGATGCGCAGATGCGAGGCGAAACTCACCATCGGGGAATATCACGTCCAGCTTGAACACACCTCCATCCCACAGGGTGTCCTTCTTTCCGGGGACGGCGCATGACCAGAGCTTGAGGTCCAGTGTGCCTTGATCGGTGCGCTTGGGCTTGGCTACAAAGCCGAAGGGGTGGTCGCGGCGCCACTGCTTGCTGTATTAACCGGGTCTATCAGCCTCTGTCTCTTCGTCTATATCTCTATCTCCGCGCGTGGTGCAGCATTGGCATTGCGCTGGCTCTAAGGTGATCACTTACCGCTCCTCTTGGAGGCGATTGAGGCAAAGAGACATGCTGAGTGGTTGGGTGGGTCAAAAACGGGAAAAGGCTAGCGCTTCACCAGAGCGAAAGGAATGAGGTTGAAGAGTCGCCGGAGGTCGGGACGATGAGTAATGTCAGAGGTGAAGTCAAACTTCCGGGGGAGAGGTAAGGGAAGGTGAGTGAGGTGAGGTGAAGTGAAGTGCCAAACGCACTTCTGCGTGTTTGATGGCGGCCCCGCGGATTAGTCAGCGGTAACTATGAGGCTGATGGGAGCATCCAGAGAGATGTAAGAGAGACAGATGAGTATTTGTGGGATACTTTTGGTATCAAACTACTGAAAATCCTACTGCCCAGGTGTTCTCTTCTATTCAAAAATCTTGAACCAGTCAAGGATCCCCCGTAGAACTATCTCAGGCATCCCAGCTCTCGACCCAAGCTGATCCCTGCAAATTTTATAATAGCCCATTGTCAAGGACATTGTCGAGTGACCTTTATCAAAGAATATTCTAAAACAGTCCATCGAAATAAAGAGATCTGTCCAGTCATTTACACCTGGCAATTCAATCAAAGACGGACCGGGCCTTCAAGCTGCATCTTTGACAGCATAAGTAGCCTGCCGTGCCCTGGCCAGATCGCAAGTTCTTGCGAAATACAACCTTGGACCTTGGAACCCTTTTGTCAAATCTTCATCACAGTTGATAAACTTGAGTACAGCCTCTAAGGGTTACTCAGGCATCGGAGCTTTCAAGTTGGTGCAGTGGGCAGTTTGCCCTAGCCCTCGGCTTCTTGCTGGTGATATTCGAACCTTTCCTTGGAGTTGAAGAGCTTTCTTTACTGGAGGTAATACTCTCCCAATTCACCAGTCGGAAAGGCCCCGATTATTCTCCAGCTCTTATCATTCCCTCCGGTCTAACCTTCGTTCCTCGGCATAAGCACCTGGAGGTAAACCCGTCTTATAATGTGCAAAAACGTTTACTGGCACTGCATCCTCTGCAACGCAACAATCGGCAACTCGAGCATCCCAGACCTTTGTCATTATGCCACAGTAAGTGGGTTCGAATGTCTTCCACATGAGCAAGAGCAATGGCCGATCCCATTGTATTCGACATGTTTTACCTGCAGAGAAGAAAGAAGGCCTCGCCGCGGCCGTCGCCGTCGCCATCACCATGGCAGGTACTATCCAGCACCAGCGACAACATCAGCAGTTGTAGTTGAAGAGGGAATGCCAGTCACACAAGCAAACGATGATTATCATTTGAAAGAAGGGTATATCTGGGGTTGGATACCCATACCCACAGCATGCAGCCTCGCCGCCCAGTCTGTAACTGGGAGTGACGATTGGCATTTTCTAGAATGCGAGATTTTTGATGGTGATGAGCAATCTCAAGTATCAGATGCCACGGCTGGGAGTATTAGGGCGTTTGAAGAGGCCGAGGAGGCCGAGAAGGCCGAGAAGGATACCTGGGTCTCAAATTCCGACTCTCTTCAGGTGTATCGACCGAGTACTAGTAGTACAATCCGTCGCTCATTCATCCCGGTCCCGGTTCGTAGTAGAGCTTCCGAGCGGGCTAGACAGGATAACAGATCTATGCGGTCCAATATACCTGTTGCTAGCCGCAGGGTCAGAAGAGAGCAGAGGCAATCCTCGATTGACATGGATTCGGTTTTTCCTGGTGGAGAAGCTGAAGCTGAAACTGAAAGTAGAATAGTTGGGCTCAATGACTTTGATTGGGAGCATTTTGATAGTATCACTTTCTAGCGAGTCGTAGTCGTCCAAGACTCGGGGAGTGGCATAGTTCGACAAGTTCATTCTCCAATGATTATTTGCAAAAGCTAAGTGGCAGAGTACCTACTAGTAGTAACACGTTAGATCGCCTGGCACTTTACGATGGATACTGACCAGGTGCCCAGGTGGTCGTTACACAGGTGAGTGATGCTACAGCTGGGGATACTATCTAAGTATGGACTTTTAATATATCCCTATTACCTACTATCTAGGTAGGTATAGAAATGGTCCGACTCCGTTAAGTTTAGTACCTAGGTAGGTTTTGCATAAACTCGAGTCTCTGATAACCTTCAAGTTCCAAGCCCTGGAGCCCTGGAGGTTTATTTTAGTGGTGCCAAATTTAGGGTTAGTCGTATATATTACTTTCCAAGTTTTTAAGCTTGCCTGTTCAAGTTCGTTTGAGGCTCTCCCTTTTCCCAAAGAGGCTCTGTCTGTAAACTTACTTCCAGGTTCCTTAATGTGGTTTAGAATGTAGCCATGCGGGCTTGGAAATCTCCTTGATTAGCTATATTATTTCTATCACAATGGAGCTCCAGGTAGGAGAGCAGTTGTAAATTTTTCGAGACATAGCACAAGTAAGTTACTCTACATAAATACCCTGCGCAAACTTTTCGGGGTCAAAGTATCGAGCAGTGATAGCGTTTCCGTTGAAGATTCGTCCTTCAAGAGCATTGACGGCCTGAAAAGGTAAATATTGTTAACAAAAAGCTTTGAAAAGTGCAAGTAGTCGATAAGGCAAATTTCCCAATTGTTGTAACTTACTCGTAAAGCGGATAGTGGGCTCGTGAACTTGACAAATACCGGGACCGGGGTGCCGACATCTCTGGCAACGTAGACGCGTTCTACACTTCCATACTGTAGACCGAGTTAGTATCAAGGTCCCCAGAACGCTGACGAATACGGATGGAAAGAAAGAACAAACCTTCTCAGAACATTCCTCACCAATCTCCTGCATCAACCCACCACCTTCCCCGCTCAACTCCGTATCCAAATCCATCCCATCAAGCATCCCCCTCAAAACAATGACCTCACTCATCACCCCAAATTTCCCCGGATCATCGCCCCCTTTCCTCTTTCCCCCGATAATCGTACCCCGCCCAGAAGGCGTAACAAATCCCCCACCCTCGGAATCGGGCCTTTTCTTCCGCTTCTCGACCTTGACTTGCAACGGCTTCGCAATACCCGATCCATCCGCGCCCAGACCGGACCCTTTCGTCCAGCCGTATTTCGAGAGAAGACGCTCGGCAAAGCCCTTCTGGCCGGGACGTAAGGAACGGGCCCCGGTCTCGTTGTTTGATCCTTCGGCTTCGGCTTCGGGGTCGTTCTCGGGGGCTTGTTCTTGGGCCATGGCTTCTTCTAGTTCGGCTTCTGAGGCTGGTATGTCGGCTGGAGCCGGGGGAAGTGTATAACGGACTGGTGCTCGGGATATAGTTGCAGACGGGGGTTGGAAAGTGTCTGTAGAGCGTGGAGGTGGGAGTGATGGAGGTGGAGGTGGAGGCTCGGTTTGTTGTTGTCGGCGCATATATGCGTCTTCGCCGGTAGGGTCGTCTGGAGGTGGAGGAGCAGGAGGTTCTACCGGTGGTGGTGGTGGTGGTGGAGGGTGAGAGCTATAATTGTCGGACATGGGGACATCATTGCTGGAAGGCTGGCCCATACGCGCGCGGCGTGCGAAAGCATCGTCGCCAGAGGCATCGTCGGGGACTGACGCGGGCGGGGGAGGGATATCATTGAGATTTGGCGGTGGCGCAAAGCTGCTAGGCGGCGCAAAGTTGCCTGTAAAACGTTGTCAGTAATTCGATTCGAATCTGTATTCAAAGAAAGTATGGCGCACGGTTGACTGGACGTTCGTAAGCGCTATCCGAATCCATGCTCGGTGACCGCCTCATGCGATGGGCGTATAGGCGATCCTTCCACTCTCGCACTTCGAGGATCTTCTCGTCGCTATGGCGGTATGCTTCGTAGTTGTTTGGTCGTGAAGGGTCGTAAATATCATCCCAGTTCTGCGGGACAGTTCGCTCCTCGCGGTTGTCGTTGTTGTTCTTCTTGCGCTTCTTTCGACCGCCTCGTTGCCGCTTCTCGCCCATATAATACCCGAAGTCATCATCTTCCGTGGCAGCCCAGTCTGCAAGTGTGGTTTTGCCAGCAGGTGCAGGTGCAGATATAGATGTTGAGATGGAAGTAGGCGTTGGATCTTGAGTGGCTGGTGGCGCGGTCGCTTTGGGGAGGGTGGATTTAGCTTTGGGTTTCTGGTTGGCGGGTTGAGGTCGCTTTATAGTTGGTTGGAATCGGAGAGAAGCTGTGCGGCGGAGATAGTGAGCAATCACTGCTTGTCGTGCGATGATGGAACAAACTCAAAAGTACCAGGATTGAGCTGCTGCTTCTTTGCAGCGGACTCGTCGGGTTGCGCGTCGGCGTCGGACTGTTTGAAGACAACGGGAGCACGGGATATGGTCCCTGGGGCGGACTCGGCGGAGGGATCGAGGAGATTAGCATATAGCGACATCATGCCTCCCCCCTTGGCTGGGGTGGATTCGGGTGGCATGGTGAAGGTGAGGTGGGGGAATGTTAAAGGTGGTAACTGGCAATGAAGGAGATGAAGATGAAGATGCGAGATGTCATGCCCGATAAGCTGCCTACCGCCTCGGGACCTGCCAGTGGGACTGCTAGTCCCTCCTCCAATCACGAATACAAATACGATGAGTAGTTAACTCAATTACTGCACGGTCTTAGATCATGGAGTATTTCATAGTCTCAAGTATGCTAAATCCCTGCCTCGCCATAAATGCAAATCAACAGCACTGGCGCTCATAGACCATCCTGCATACCCTACAGCTGCTGACGAACGGCAGACTTGAACTAAACCCCATATCCCCATTAGCCAGATGAAGGGAGAAAGAGATGAAACAAGAGAAGCAGATGTAGCACTCACAGGAATAATCTGCGCCTTCTCCATATCCCACACACCCGAACGAACATAAATGTCATTCTCAAGGATCTTGCGGACCTCTTCCTCGTTCTCAGCCTGAGCCAACATCATACTACCCTTGAAGGAGGGAGTCTCGCCCTCAGCAGGGTGAGAATTCAGCATAGCGCCTGGGTAGAGCCGATCCAAGTTAGTACCTAGTGATATGAAGAAGGTAGAAAGTAGATGGAAGGGGGAGAGAGACATACCACCAGCAACAATCGAACCACCCGCAACAAGAGGCTTGACGCCCTCCAGATGTAATCTTGATTCATGAAGAAGACCAATTAGTTACTACACTCACACACTCTGGCGTCACCTATGAAAGCACATCTCGCACGGCTGATTGAAGGCAGCGACTATTTGTTATCACTCACGGGCGAACCTCCAGGCGCTTAGCCTGGGCACCGGGCTTATCCGGCAGAATGCAGAGGAATTCCTTCTTGGGTGCGGTCGACATTGTGCGTAGGTGTGATTGAAGGGGAGAAAGAGTAGTACTAGCAGAAGAAGAAGAGAGTGAGATGGAGGGGGGGAAGTCCGGCGCGGAGGAAAAGTCGGGGGTGGGGGAAAGCGGGGAGGCGAAGCATTGCGGGACAAATAGATTCGAATTCGGATTCGGAGTGGGATCTATGTAAGCTGCGTGTTGCAGTGGTTGTACGGAGACAGTGGGAACTTTGAAATTGGTACTGGGATTGACCAATGGGTTGTTGAAGGTATCAATTATTGCAGGGTTGGAATGGACTGGGGTGTTATTCTGCCGGCCGCGTTGAACGGCTACTGGCGGAGGCTGTGGGAGTACTAGCTTCAAAACTTGATGAATTTGTGATAGTTGGCGTACATATAGCTATACAGTACGTCTTTTGGATGAGGTTTAGAATGAAGAGGCTGTGGATACTCTCTTATTACCCTTCAATTTTGAATTTCCCCTCCTCACTCAACTCGGTCATACGCCGAGTCGGCGAATGAAAGAATGGGAGAATAGTAAAGAAAGTGGATAACGAGCTAGAGAATCCAAAGACCTGACAATAATAGACCGGTTCTTAGTCTCTAAGGAAGTTGACAAGAAAAAAAAAAAAAGGCAAACAAAAAGAGGGCGACGGGGAACAGTGTCTAACCCCATCGACAGGACGATCCCTAGAATAGTACTTCCACCCCAGTAGTCAAACTGGAGCAGAGAAGGTGGAAAGCAATGACGGGTAAACGGCACAAATTTAGTATATCAAGGCCTCGAGAATTGGCGAACTCTATAGACCTGCAATCCGGCCAAACAGCATTTTCCCCCATAGCGCCATGGATAAACACAACAATACACAGACACAGCCCCTAGAAGCACGACACGAAGAATAGTAGATTATGGAACATCATTAGGCTTCCGTCGCGATGCATCCATTCCCCCAACAAGGGGGATGACAATCACAAATGGAAAATTGAGAGGAAAATAAAGAAGAAAAAAGTGGGTTGTATCGAATACCGTAGGGGAATGCCACTTGCTTGATCTCTCTAGTCTTGGCACCCCCTTATAGTCTGATTCGAAGTGGAACGGGAGGGATGATTGATGGGCGGCGGTTGAATGGGGGGGGGCAGTTCAAAGATCAACTTTTAGCCCTGGAGCGCGCCGGCCTTTCTTCCCGGGGGTTCGTGAGGGGATGGACGGGCGGACGGGCAAACAGAACATTAGGCCAGCTTAGTACGCCTTGCGATTGCCCAGGTTACCCGGCTTCTCATCCGTGTCGATGTGCCACACGACGTAGTTGGGCAGTCCAATCACTTGGTAGCCGGCACGCTTTGCCATCTTGGCGAATCCCTCCGTCTCGGCCTGGTTCTCGAAGGCGTACGCGGGGAAGTTGATTCCGGATCGATGAACGTCGGCCTTGACGAGGATGTTGACGCCACCAATGCCGTCAAGCTCGACCTCCTCATCCTTGTTCTTGCGCCAATCACCCATGCTGACCAGATATGTGCGGCCGGTATCGTACTCCTTGTAACCTTCAGCGAGAACGACATTGGGGTCCAGAGTAGCACGGAGGCGTTGGGCCTTCTCGGAGTCGATCCAGGAGTTGTAGTCGACTAATTTATCAAGTTAGAAAGTAGAAATGGGGTGGGAAAGATAATCTGGAATGGGGGATAACATACAGCGACCCTCTACGTCACGACCGTCACGGTAACGGTGGAACCAGATGTCTGTGAAAATCCGATTAGCTTCATTTTCCCGGAGCCTCTTCCTCGAGAATTCACTTACTAGGGACGAGGATATCCTTATCGTGAGCCATGAAGTCTTCAAGGATTCGTTCAGGGCAGTCCGTGATATCAACATCACGCCAGTAGACCCAGGAGTGATCGGCCTTCAGGGCCGAGTAGAGGAGATAGTTGCGGGCACGACCGATAGCCTTGCGGCGAGGGCCCTGGGCTGCAAATGAGTGTCGCTCCTCGACACTCATCTCCACATCGGCACCAAAGTCCTTCTTGACAACGGTCGCGCTGCGGAAAGGAATCTTCTCATCGGTGTGGTGCTGAATGCGATCCAGTTCCGAAGCGAGAACAGCCAGGGTATCATCCTTGCAGTCACCGACGAGGAAGGCCAGATCGATCAGTTCGTGGGGGTAGGTCAGCTGGTAGAGGAGTTCGAAGTACTTGGTGAGGTAGGGGGCGGCGTCGCGGAGAGGGGTCAGGATGAGAACACGTTCCCGGTTGTTGACGGCCTTGATGGAGGATTTGATGGGGTTCAAGTCGACCTCCTGGATGGAGGAGCTGTTGACTTCGTAGGCTTCATGGTGGTTGAAGAGGACAGGGGTTTGGGAATGGGCGTTCCACTCAACCATCTCGTTGAGGGACATCTCCATAGGGGATTTCGAGGAGCCATAGCAGTAGAAACTAGACGCAGGAAGAGGTGAGTATATTGAACGATGGATCAGGTCCAGACTAGATCGACCAGGGAGACGTGGGAGGAGTTTTTGCATACTTTTGCATCTCAGAGGCAGATTTGCTGACACCGCGCCACAACAGGATGATGAGGCCGGTGACGGCCAAGGAGACCAGGAAGCGAGTCCTTGTGAGGAGGACTAAGACTGCGCGCCATGGCGGGAGACGCGACCTGGCGGATTTCCAGTTGACACCACCCTTTGGTAGCAACATGATGGGTGTAGGAGAGACGGGGGTTGGTCGATTGGAGGGTAATTAATTCTCAGGAGCCTCGACGGCGTCGATGCCGGGGGGTTGTCGCTGGGCGCACCGAATATTGATAAAAACCCCTGACCGAACGAATGAGGCCTCAAAGGGAGGAGAACCGCGGAGGAGGTGGTGGAGTTGGGTGATGATAAGGACTGGAGGAGAGAAAAGAGGAGGTGGACTTTGGAGGCGGACGGGATCGCCGGAGCCGCCAAGCCTGACAGGAAGTACTTAGCATATACCACTTACTACAGTATATTTACTAGACACTCTAGAGTATAGCTAGTATAGACATATCTAAAAGTAGTCTAGAATTGTAGATATTGAATAGATCTAGTATACCTAATAGTAGTACCTAGGTAGGATATTACATTTCCTATACTCCAGGGCTCATAGCAATGCCCAGTGGCCAGACCCTTTTACCTAGGTAGGGCCTGGTTTTATTTATAGCCCGAGTCTGCGTGTATTTCTAATACTACTGGGTATTCTGTAGTATGTATTCTATAACTACTATATAGTACCTAGGTAGTACTATTTAACTATCCGGTAGCATCAATTCTTCGCAGTTGGAAACTATCTCAGGCATTATTCTAGTAAATAACACCTATACCTTACTAATTTGGTCTGGTGGAGCCCCTGATACATAGCCAAGTTTCAGAAGTAACACCCAATACTCCATACTTCGTGTCCAGTAGTCTACCAACTACCAGTTAAGAATTACACAGCACAGATAAAAATATAGAAGTGATCGATCAACTTCAATTTCTCAGTGAATGGGGAATCAATGGGGCAATCCCCAATCCAAGTAAGACACGCGGAGACGGGTGAAACAGTCTTGACCCGCCCGTGGACGCCTGCTGCATGAGGTGTCAATTTGCATATACCTACTAGATAAATACTAGTAGTATGTAGAGTGTATGTAGTTACTAATTACTACATATCTATCTAGACCAATATGCAGGTACAATATCTAGTCCAACAATTCTGCCAAGTCGTGATACACTCAGATCCCCGGTGAAAATTCTTCACGTTCTCTGTCTGCCTGCATCGTCTCCACGGGCCATCTAGACCGCTCCACAACGTAACGGGTATCATCATTCTATCCACTTCAAGTTGGAAAAAACACAACTACACAACCACACGTCGATGGATCGATGGAGCAGGAAAGAATTTGTCAAAAGGCTGGCTGATGCAAAAAAAAAAAATCAACAAGCCGGGAATCTTTTTTCAAGAGAAAAAAGTAGGAAAGGGGAATACTATGGCATTATAGCCTACCAGATCGATAGCAGCACTAAAAGGAAGACAGTAACAGGTAGCCACCTCCTAAACTACACAGTGATAAGATGAAGTTTACAAGAGAAGCAGTTTGTGACATACAATGTATAATTGACAATCGTAACTATTAACATGAATCCCAAACATAGGAAAAGTTCCAAATACTAAACAGATCCACCAGATCGTATATGTCCAAATCATAAAAGCGCCGATAGACAGAGAGGCAACATAGGGAAGAGATTGAACAAGAAGGAAAAAAGCCCACCCATTTTGTAGATGACAGAGGAAAAAGACGAAACCGAACAAACGAAATAAAAGAAGAACCACCCGAACAGAAGAAGCTAAAACGAAATGAGATGACAAACAACTTGAAGAGGATCAAAACATGGCGTCTCCCACGGTTCAAGTCCAAATAATGTTACAATGCAGACGCTAAGGGGCAACGCAGCCCGGGGAGACGGAGGATTCACGAGCACGCTATTCGTCAGGAAGACGCAGGGGTAGGGGAAGAAAAAGTATATCGACACGGCCGTCTGCAAGGGGTGATCGCCTGATGCGGGGGAAAAGAGAGGGGGAGAAACGAAGGGGTGGGAAGGGATGGGAAAGGGTGAGCGGGAAGTGGAGAAGAAGATGAAGCAGAAGAGGCTATGAGGGTCGTGAAGGCGTCAGGGTTTCAATAGTCGGCGTGCACGATTTGCTGCAGAGCTCCGGGTAGCTCATGGCGACGCAAGCAAGGACTGACGACGCGAGGAAGGGAAGGCAAATGATGATGATTGAGAGGGGAGGAAAGCGGGAGATGATGGGCCGGTTGTTGGTGGCGTGGAGTTAAGGTATGAGCTGCTAAAGGTCTGGGAGGTGGCGCTGAGGAGACCGTCGTGGTGACCGAAGTGACTATGGGCTGGAGTGTGCACAGCTTCAGGGACATTCGCGGCAGCGATCTCATCACAGAAAACTCGCAGTCCGGGGAGAGCCTTCTTTTGACGCTTGTGCTCGGGGACGTCAACGAGGGACGTGGGGGAG